GGGCTTTAAACGATTAATATCGCTTCATCTCAAGACACAAACATTGTCTATTGCCTGGCGGACACATTGTAGATGCATTACTGTACTTTAAATAACCTTACATTAGTCTACATTGATGAAATGAAAACACGTTTAAAAACATAGTTACAGAATATGTTGATACATTTAAACAACATTTAAATGAAATGTAAATGAAAAACTATGGTAGGGGATCACAAACGACCATCAACAAGTGGGTGGCCAATGTCATCATTATGACAGCAGTAATCTTAATATGGATGTCGTGATGTTTACTTAAAATATGTAAATAGGAAAGTCGAGGTGGCCGGGTGGTTAAGGGCTGGGCTGGCACCGCTGAAATTCTGTCTTCGAACCCCGGGAGCATCCCCCCAGTGACCTCGGCGACTCCTCGTGTGTCGGGAGATCGCGGGCTCGGCCCGGCCACCAATACTGTCGCTGCACAGGAATCCATGATACCAACACGCGTGCGCGCGTGTGTCTTGTCACTGCATTTGGCTCCTCTGAGATTTGTAAAAGATGACATTTACAATGCACCGACATTACTCTTCAGCAGGGCGCGTGGGAGAGTGCTGCCACCTACTGCGTGGTATTGCGGCCACTTGAAGGGATTTCAAAGAGTAGTTCTATAATGTCCCATTCCGAGGGCCGTTCTCTAACACGAGGATGTCTCTAACTCGGGCGTGTTTTTTTAATTTTCATGGAAATTATGACTTCCTACTGGCTCCTTCCTCTTCAATGAATGGTGATTTGGGATCTTGGTTATTCTCAGCTCTACCAACTGCTCAAAGCAGCAAAATTAATCCTGAAAGCGACTGACCGGCGGGGCTCACAAACGAGAGGAGTCCCCTTGGGTGGGAGCTGTCACCCCGATTAACAGATCAACCTCCCGGAGCACAGCACGAGGAAGTGAACCCCCGTGCACACGTGGAGTGGCCCAGGCACGGCAGGTTCACCTCGCCCTACCCAAGGTGATCCGCACAGGAGACGGGGTCACTTACACCTCCTGCTTGTATCGTACAGGCCACGCGATGGCAACTGTGCCCATCACCCCGAGGGCCTCTCCAAATCTCTCATTCTGAATACCACCGCCAGGCTCTTCACCCGCACCCATGAGTGAGAGGACATCACTCCAAGCCTCAGATCCCTATACTGCATCCCCCCAACTCCACGTCGGATCAAATCAGCGTATCTCCTCGCCACTTGTAGGATACTACATTGCTCCAGTCTCCCGTCTCGCCCTATTCTCCGCCTCGAACGCCGCACTCTCGTAACCGAGGCGAGACACCGGTAGATCTCCACTCAGTGGAGAGCCGATCCCCCTTCTCATGCGCTGCTCCTCTGCTTGTTCTTGCGGTCTGGAACTCTCTCTGCATGCTGCGTGGTGACGAGCAAAGGGCAGTGGGGCCACATTTGTTGTTGTACTGCACTTCTGTGCTCCTGCTGTACTTCATACCGTTCGTCTATGCTCCCCGCACCGGGGTCATAAAACCCCCATGACCCAACCGGCCTGGCGGAGGCCCCCATCCAGCAGTGGACAGAGAATGTGCGCGTTCGTGCGTTTCTCGAGACGCGCTTTAGCCTACCGTGAGCCCAAAGCGCGCACGGCTCGGGCAGTGAAGGCGCCGGGCGAAGGGCATCCACTGTGTGTTGTCTCACAGCGACTTGTGAGTTGGTATATTTGCAAGCAGCGCGTCATTAGCATTCGTCCCACACAGGGCAGCGCGCGGCAGCCTGGCAGTGGCGCACTCCGCGTGAGAGGCTTTTGTTGACTACGATGCGAGCGCGCTGTCGAATGTTCCAGGGGGGGGGGGGGGGCTGTGTCGCGTGCTTATTGACTCTTGCCTCGGTCACGTTAGCAACTGTTCGGTGCAGCTGCATTCAGAGCGCGACTCTGGTCGGTACGGGCCCGACCTGCATTTCAAATCCCGCAATTCCAGTAATCACGATTACCGCCACGAACCGCGTCGTCATCCTAACGGGATGTCACCGCTCATTTATGGTGCGTGCATTCATCACAAACGTTAGCATCGACAGTAACGAGACGAGGCTGTGTTTCGCCCGCAAGTCGTATTCACGCCCACCAGCCTGAGTGGCCACTGGACGAATGTCTCGCAGTAGGTATTCTCTTAAACAGGCACACGCTGTGCTCGTTTTGACTTTTGAGTCTCATCAGCAGAGCGTGACCCGTCAAGAATATATTCCTGGGCCGCCTCTTGTTATTGGCCATCCATCACCACTGGTATTGCTATAGGGCCCTCTGTGACCGCTACGGGGCCCATACAGAGATGTACACGCTTTCATTCCGCAGTGGATTGATCATGGCTGATGGTGATAACGATAAGATATAAAACATGCTATTCCGATTATGACATTTCAAATATTGCAATGAGAAGATACAATACTAATCAAAGTAAATCGTATGACTCCAAAATAACTACGCGCCTTAATTTGTGTCCATGACTTTTTAATCGTGCATTGTACAATTGTATAATTGCTCTACATTAACATCAGCTGAAAGGAAGTGCGGCTCCCAGCAGACATGCTCCACACTCAGCAGCATCAACAGCAGCCTTCCCAGAATGGAGCCACACGCTGTAGCCGCAGGGATGGCTACAACAACACTGGGAGGAGGATGCGTGCCTACATCATCCTCACACACAAAGAGAACTCCCTTCACTTGTTTCCCCGTTAATATTTGAGTCAGCATGGTGACAGAAGGGCGACTGCCTCTACAATCTGCAGAAATCTGTTTAAAGAAATCTCAGACGGCCTCCGATCTGTCTGTCTGCCCAGGTCCTTACTGTGCTCCGTAAATAAATATACGTGCGTACTCAACTCCAGTTTTGTTATATTGTATTTATTTGTGTGTGTTTTATACGTTGATTGCTTTGTTGTCATTGTTCTTTGGTTTATAGATCTAAGCATCTTGTTCACCTCTAGCCGTTTGAATGAACCTCGCGATGTGATGAGATGCGACGCACGATAAACACACAGTGAAGATGATTCAGTGTGAAAAGTGGCATTATTTTTAAAGTCATAATGTGGGCCTTGGCCTGTGTCGCATGACACGAGCAAGGTGTGTGGCACAAAAAAGAAGCTCCGTGTACACCCAGAGCTGGGCCGTGACTTCTCCCAGGTATGCTGCTGATGCGTATTGAAGTTGGTGCGATGTTCACAAACACACCGGTGGTCCACACAGCGGCACTTGTGGATCTGAAATGCCGTCACTTGCAATCATTTAACAACAACAACACAAATGCACTGCATACAGATGTTTGTTACAGCTCATGGGATACAATTAGACACGCGCGTCATTTCGTGGAAACGCACGGCTCTGCCCTTCTTTGTAAATGATTTTTGGAAATGTAAAAACAAGTTGGATGGATATCGCGGTGTCTGAGAGGACACCCGGAGGTGACGAGGAAGCGCAGTGCCACTGCGGAGTGAAGCCGTCACTCGCCGAGCGAGGTTCTGGCGGAGCGGAGAGCCGCAAGTCGATCCGGTGTCTTCCCGTAAGTCGCCCGACTCTGGGTCACACGGGGAGGGAGGGAGTCCCCTCGTGCCGTGACATCTCATGACACTTCACAGTGCAGAGCAAACAGGGCGGCCAAACCAGCCAACTCATTTTATCTACACTTCAAATATGTCACCAAACCTGAAAAACCAGGTGTTGCATTAACATTCTTTATTCAACTTCACAAAGTAAGCGATAACAATAGGTTGGTCTGTTGTTCTAGAGGAAGATGAATAGTGGCTATACAGCTGTGTGAATGTTTTTCACAGGGGGGTGGTGGATGGTGGCCAAGTGCGATCACTGTTTCTCGTCGTAATCGCGGTGTTGGGGGGAGCCGCGTGGCCCACTGAGCCCCAAATGCCGAGCCGCGTTCTGGGGCCTCGTGGGGGCCTCCAGGGGGAGGGGGTCGCGAGCGCCCCCGCGTGGCCCGCGCGGTGACTGCGGCGCATGGCACCACGGGCCCCCGCTGCGTGCTCGCCCACCACAGCGCCTGCTCCACATGGGATGCTTCGAGGGAAACTGTGAGTGGTTCTGCTGCTGCGGCGGTGATACCGCGCCGGGTGTGGGCAGAGTCGCCCTGCTGCTGCTGCTGCCGCCGCTGCTGCTGCTGCTGCAGGCGGACGTGAGCGTGGCCACGGAGGGCTTTGCGTGGAGGTCCCAGTGGTGGAGCGGAGCCGGCGTCGGCCCTGTGGCCTCCTCACGCATTCAATGGGGCCACCCACCTTGTCCAACTCTCTGCCTCCCTCCACGCATCTCGGCGCCTGGATTACGGCGCAGTTGCACCGCCTGCGTACTCTGTAGCCACGAGGCCCTAGTCCGGCATTCACTCCGTCTCCGAGATCTCACCACGGCCCCCAGCGCTCGGTATTTCCCCAAACCCGGGCCACGTCTCTCGTTTGGCACAAAACGAATCGCGGCGCGGGCCCTGCCAGGGAGCGGCTGGGCCTCGGGTGGCAGCAGCCGCCAGTGGCCGCCACTCCCGGGGGTTGGAGAGGCCGCATGTCCCGCTCCTCTGGCTGCCACTGCCGCGTTCGTCTCCACGGGGGGGGGGGGGGGGAGTACCGGCTGACTGGCATCGCGGAACCGTGAGGGGGGCTGCGGGGGAAAGGCCGTCATCCAGCAGTGGATAGATCACGGCTGACGATGCCTGCATACTTTGCGGTGGCAGCACTTATTAAATGTCACTTCTGCCCACCGTAGAGTCACGTTGCATCGGGTTACGGTGCGGACTTGGCATGAACTCCCCCGTCATGAGACAGGGACACGCTTCAGATGAGTCTCGGCCATTTTTTTATTGTCTTCCACGTGTTCTGGTCTCAAACTCAAGGCCCAAACACCTCCACATGTGTAACAATAGACGAGTTTGAAACGCGCCACTTTCCTGAGTGACGTGTGGCCATAATTTGTCCAATTCAAAGGCAGCAACCGCCGTTTATTGAAACAATTGCAAAGGCGTTGAGATGGTGATTGGCAAACATTGTGTTCCTACGTTTCCACACAAATGTGATGTTTGTGTACCTTGCGCGTAGCTTCTTGGCACGTACGCTGATGTTATGGTGGGTTTGGTGGTGGGGAAGTGCGTTGGCAAGCTACGCGGTGTGCTGTCGGGTTGTTGTGCAGTGGAGAGGTGCTTGAGCGTCATGCAGGCCGGCTCCACCATGCTCAAGCTCCGGCCCGGCTCGCGTGCCGTGGCCTGGCACAGCCTGGCCTGGCACCCCGTGCCACGCGTCTTCTACCTCGACCAGAGCCGGCGACGCATCTGCTGGCGCCCCTCGCGCAAGCGCCACAAGGCCGCCAGTGCGTGCCGCAGGCTCCAGCTGCACGCACGACCACCACCACCACCACTCTGGACCGGGCGCGTGACGCGCGCGTGACGCGCGCCTCGCCGTCATCGTCCGCGTGCGCGCGTGTCGCTCTTCCCCCGCAGTTTGCATCGACGCCGTACGGGAGGTGCGGCAGGGCTGGCCCGTCGGAGCGGCGTCCGGAGACTTTCATCCAGAAGTGTCGACGTTCGCTCCCTACGACTTCTGCGGAGGCCGTGGTGCCGGGGTGGACGCCGCACTCGGCCCGGGGGAGGCCACGGCGGGCGGCCGTGGCACTTTCGGGCAGCCCGACTCGACGTGCGTGCTCAGCGTTTTCTACGGAGCCGTCGACGGACCGCTGGTTCTGATGACCGCTTGCCGAGAGCAGGCCTTGGCCTGGCGTGTGGGCCTCACCATGATCATGGCCGGGATGAATGTGGGCTCGCCCAGCAGTGGGCCCACGTTTCACTGCCATGAACAGTATCCGACCCACTCGGACGGCACGTGTGCGAGTGTGTGTGAGCCAAGAGGTGTGCAGTGTGTGTGCGCGTAGCATCTGTGACGAGTGAGATCTAAACCTGTCCTGTGCCTCCCCGAGGTTGACACACACTTAAATGGGGATGCAGGTGGCCGGGTGTGCCGTGCCGGCCCTGCCAGGCGCTCGCTAACAACACTGCCTCCACGGGCTGTACGGTGAAATGTTGAACGTACAGTGTGCGATGTCACGTTAATAGTTTGTGTGGACTGTGTAGGACGATGCGGCAAGTTGAATGTGGCCATAGGTGAATATCAGGTGATTGAGGTGAGAGGTGAATGAGGGGTGAATGTGGCGAGCGGTGAGTGAGAGTTGGACGCGTTGCTTGCCGGAGAGAGGGAGAGCCAGGGAGAGATCTTCCCTGACGTGACCCCCAGGCTCCTGGTGCGCACGTTTGCCGCGGCCGACAGGAACGGCGACGGGCGCCTTGCGCTGGACGAGGTCCGCGCTCTGCTGAGCAGCCTGAATCTGCGGCTGTCGCGGCAGCGCCTGCACGACCTCATCCAGGTGCGACCCTCGCCTCCGCCGCCCTCTCCCTTTCGCCTCGAAGTCTCCCGCTCGCTAACGCACCGTCCCTTTCCCTCTGTCTGCCGCATCGCGACACCATGGGAGATGTTGGCGGCTTGGGGAAGCCTTTGTCCAGCAGTGGATAGATCGTCTCTGGCGAAGATTATTCAACTTGCTAATTTTTCTCACGAGCAAAGGGTTGCGGCCAAAGTTTCGTCTCTGCAACGTTCGAAGATTATTATTTGCTTACTGGATTAGAGCAATAAAGGCATAAATGTAAATCATATTAACCATGCCACATTTGTTGAGGACACAGTCATTTTAACAACAATGAAAATTAACGACAGGAAATTATTGAATAACTTAATAAAGCTGCAAAGTTGGGCTCAAGATAAACATGAGCAAAACGAGTGACGTAGTGACACAATTATTTAATCAGATCACCCCCAAAGTGTATATTTACCTCGACCACATAGTTTTTTCCATAATTTCTGGCCATGCACTACCCGTGTCTCATCAGTTGATTATTTGCTCCCAATGTCAGCATTCCGTGCACCTCCGATTATCACGATTGGCGACGTACGGAGAATCATCTCGCGCTTCCGGGATCCGCGCAGAAATGCCCGTGGCACAGAGTGCCCGGTGCGGTGCCCAGCTCACGAGTGGCGCTCAACATCCGGGAGATCGCGAGGAAAGACGATGTCGACAACTCCGCTCGGTGACGCGTGCGCCCGTGTGTTTTGTTTGCCACGCAGGCAACGGATGTGGACAACGATCGAGGGTTTTTATCGTTTGAGGAATTCTCGTCGTTCTACGCTCTGATGTCGTCACGTCGCGACCTCCTCATGCTGATGAACAGACACGTTCACAAGACGCAGCCGTGGCAATCGGACGCCAGTGGACATTTTGATCGTAAACCATTGTGGAACGTCGGTGATTTGGCCAGATTCATGACGGAAGAACAAAAGGTGCGGTCACGTGCGCTGAATTAGAACGTTTATCCGTACGCTTCGCTGGTTTCAATGTGGCGAATGCCACACGGATTTTGTTTACGCAAACGGTTTACACCGGAGAGTTGTTTTTCCCAGGTTCCCGGTGTGACGAGGGCGATGTGCTTGGAGATCATCGACAGCGTGGAGCCAGATGCGGAAAACAGACGGCACGGCTGCCTGAGCTTAGAAGGTGCGTGTGCGTGCGTGCGTGTGGCAACCCGAGTTCAATTCTCACTCACAGCCAACATTGGTGACGAATATCCAAACCGGTCCTGGGCCTGCCCTCGGTCGACTCGGCCTCAAATTGAGTAGTACCTGGTGAGGTGTGTTAACTGTGCTGTCCTGCATTGGTGTGCTCTAGCAGCACTTGCTCTCAGTCTGTTAGACGCCACGTTGCAGAGTGAATCTGAGTTGTACTTGCTGAGCTGAAGCGGCACCTGTGTGTGGGAGTCTCGGGTTATATTTGTTGTGAACATTGGTCGGCATCCTCTAAAACCCAGCTTACACCCCCCAGCTTGCAAACATCGCTTGTGTGATTTACCTGTAAAGTCCGATCACACTTGTTATTTCCACATTGTGTTGGATTATTTTTGTACCACAGGTTATCACTTGGGTAATATCATTTTATGAATGGATGTTCGGCTAATGGCAGTGAGAGAGAATACAGGATTCATGAACGAACATTTCACGAACCATGAGCTGTCATCCCGAAGCAGCGAAGGCTCTGATTCGTCACGCTTCATGCAAATAGACATCTCTAGAATGATCAGTTTGAGGTTGATTGAACACAATTGCTTTTGAACACGAGTAATTCTGGTTGGCAATGATAAGCGTCTCCTCCCCGCGCCGTTAGGGGTTGGGGTTAGGGGCGCCGTCTTTGCCGTCGTTGTGTTTGCTAGCGGTGCAAACTGTGTGTGCGCGAGCAGGGTTGACCGCGTACCTGTGCGGCCCCGCAGGTGACGCGGTGGACCCGGCCCACAGCTCCGTGCACCAGGACATGGGCCTGCCGCTGACGCGCTACTGCATCGCCTCCTCGCACAACACCTACCTGACGGGCGACCAGGTGACGTCGCGGGCGTGCGCCGACTCGTACGCGAGCGCGCTGCGCGCCGGCTGCCGCTGTGTGGAAGGTACCGAACGGCGCGTGGGGTCGCTGTGAAACACAATCTCTGTTGAGACTGGAGGAGGAATCCGATGAGCTATGAGCCTCTTTAACACATGTCCCCAGTAGGGGTGGGGTCCACAAGTTACAACAACAACAACACACGACACTATAGGAGTGCTAAATAGAGAAAAGGTGAAGCAAGTCACTTAAATAAATAAAGATAGAAGTGAAAATTGCATAGGTATATCAATTCCTCTCTACCGAGGTCGAAGCGCTCACACGGCTCTCACTCCCTGTGGAAATCCACAAACAACGTCCCCGCTTGCTCTGCCATGAAAACCGCGATTTGATGCCGAGCTCTCCATTCTTTGCGATAATTTCACTTGCAGGGTGCATTAGACTCGTGTATATCCACGTCTGGTTACATATTCGTGCAACAGTCACCCTATGTCTGTTAAATGTTTCAGTAACTTAATTATAATTACATTAAGATCGGTCTAAAGATAATGTCTCAGCAGACTTCTGCTACAGAGAATTTAACATTGATTTATGTTCGTGCAATATTCCCATGTGACACTTGTTTTTGTGCCGATTTCTATTTGCTTCAACGCGGTACTGAGACAGGAGGTGGACTGATGAAGCTAGTTGCAATTACTGGCGAAACGTCGTACTCAGATTGTAAATGTTGTGGATTTGCTCTCCAACATACGGTGTGCTGTACTCGTAACATATTGGCACGTTCTGTTTACGTGACATCCCTTACTGGTTGGCTGTGTCGGGTGTGGCGGGTTTAACGACACATTTATTTTTACGCGATCTAACCCAGAAAACCCTGTTGTATTATGTATTTCATTTGTATTGAGCTGGTCACTTTGGTGACCCAGGTCAATCTCGCAATTGAGTTTCATGTTGGTTTCTTGAGTTCTTACCAGGGTCAAACAAATTAACTTTTCACTTCTTGTCCAGGGAGGAGGCTTCTTCCACTCTGCGTGCAACGAGCAGAGGAGAGGAGAACTCGGTGGTGTTCGCTGTGCTAGCTGCAGCCGAATGGCACGGACACTTCTTCTGGGATGCCAATAGGGGGGATAGAGTCAGTTCTGTTCTGTCTGTTAGTAATTCGAACGTGCAATCTGGCTGGCCCGATTTTAGCGTGACGCCGTTGTAACGGAGGAATATCCACATTCCGCACTTTGACGTGAAGTCTCTATCTTCAGTCAGTGGTCTGCGCAAGATGCGGAGAGAATGTCACAGATGTGTCTGGCGGAGCGGGCATAGCAGACCGTGCGCTCGCTCTCCTGTCGCGTTTTGAAACGACCTCCGTAGTCGACAGCTGGGACGGCCCGGACGGCGAGCCGATGGTCACGCACGGGCGCACGCTCACGACGCGCATCCCCTTCCAGGACGTCCTGCGGTGTATCGGCGCCCACTCCTTCACCCACAACCCGTGAGTGAACGCCCCCCTCCAGCCTCACGCTCCCCCCTGCAGCCTCACCCCCCCCCTCCAGCCTTACCCCCCCCTCCAGCCTCACCCCCCCCCCCTCCAGCCTCAACCCCCCCTTCTAGCCTCACCCCCCCTCCGGCCTCACCCCCCCCCCCCTCCAGCCTCACCCCCCCCCCTCCAGCCTCACCCCCCCCCCTCCAGCCTCACCCCCCCCCCCCCTCCAGCCTCACGCCCCCCCCTCCAGCCTCACCCCCCCCCCTCCAGCCTCACGCCCCCCCTCCAGCCTCACCCCCCCCCCCCCCTCCAGCCTCACCTTCCCTCCTCCAGCCTCACCCCCCCCTCCAGCCTCACCCCCCCCCTCCAGCCTCACCCCCCCCCCCCCCTCCAGCCTCACCCCCCCCCCTCCAGCCTCACGCCCCCCCTCCAGCCTCACCCCCCCCCCCCCTCCAGCCTCACCCCCCCCCCTCCAGCCGTGCACCCCGCGCTCCAAGCTCCGGTGCCACAGCGAGCGGCCGTCCCGCTCGGATCGAGCGACGGCGGCGGCAGCGTGCAGTCCCGGCACGTCGGCAGGTTACGTGAACAAGGTGCAGAGCGCCCAGGGCCATGGCTGGCGGTACATTCCAATGGGCGGAGGCATCACGCTGCAGAGCCGTGAGGAGTCCATGCAAGTCACGGGGGTTGTTTGACCATACTTCACCACAGTGGTCGGCGCCGCTAGGTTCGTAGCGCCGTACACGGAACGTTGCCCCCCAACCGAAACGCGACTGACTGCACATGAACAGGAATCCAAGATCCAGTTCACGTCCGGTGACCGCACTGCACAGAACGCATTTAATTACTAGGAAATGGGGTGAACGCAACCATTCCCACTGATACGCAACAACTTAATCTCGTAAACAATGTCACAGGGGCCCTTCACATCAATCATGTGGCCGTGGGATGACAGGAGGGAGCCGAGGGATTTGGATGACACCACAGCTGATGAGCCCGATCCTGCGATTAGAGAATCCGATGTCAACAGAGCACATTGACATCGGTGAGTTAAACGCCCAGATTTTATCCTGTTACGGAAATCTTGCGTCCCATAAGGGGACTTTACAGGACTGACGCAAGCCGGCTGGTTTGTTTCAAAGCAGATGTGAGACCGCCGCGTGACAACACGGGGAATTCCGTCGGTGTTTGTTGCGCTCTGGCAACGCTCGACGGGGAGGAGACTCAGAAGGGGGAAGCCTCCAGAGCGAGGACTCTCCAGGGCGGCAGACGCCGCGCGGACTCCGCACGGACTCCACATGGACTCCGCACGGACTCCGCACGGACCCCGCGCGGGGTCCGTGCGGAGTCCGTGTGGAGTCCGTGCGGAGTCCGTGCGGGGTCCGTGCGGAGTCCGTGCGGAGTCCGTGCGGAGTCCGTGCGGAGTCCGTGCGGAGTCCGTGCGGAGTCCGTGCGGAGTCCGTGCGGAGTCCGTGCGGAGTCCGTGCGGAGTCCGTGCGGAGTCCGTGCGGAGTCCGTGCGGAGTCCGTGCGGAGTCCGTGCGGAGTCCGTGCGGAGTCCGTGCTGAGTCCGTGCGGAGTCCGTGTGGAGTCCGTGCGGAGTCCGTGCTGAGTCCGTGCTGAGTCCGTGTGGAGTCCGTGTGGAGTCCGTGCGGAGTCCGTGCGGAGTCCGTGCTGAGTCCGTGCGGAGTCCGTGCGGAGTCCGTGCGGAGTCCGTGCGGAGTCCGTGCGGAGTCCGTGCGGAGTCCGTGCGGAGTCCGTGCGGAGTCCGTGCTGAGTCCGTGCGGAGTCCGTGCTGGAGTCCGTGCGGAGTCCGTGCGGAGTCCGTGCGGAGTCCGTGCGGAGTCCGTGCGGAGTCCGTGCTGAGTCCGTGCGGAGTCCGTGCGGAGTCCGTGCGGAGTCCGTGCGGAGTCCGTGTGGAGTCCGTGCGGAGTCCGCGCGGCGTCTGCCGCCCTGGAGAGTCCTCGCTCTGGAGGCTTCCCCCTTCTGAGTCTCCTCCCCGTCGAGCGTTGCCAGAGCGCAACAAACACCGACGGAATTCCCCGTGTTGTCACGCGGCGGTCTCACATCTGCTTTGAAACAAACCAGCCGGCTTGCGTCAGTCCTGTAAAGTCCCCTTATGGGACGCAAGATTTCCGTAACAGGATAAAATCTGGGCGTTTAACTCACCGATGTCAATGTGCTCTGTTGACATCGGATTCTCTAATCGCAGGATCGGGCTCATCAGCTGTGGTGTCATCCAAATCCCTCGGCTCCCTCCTGTCATCCCACGGCCACATGATTGATGTGAAGGGCCCCTGTGACATTGTTTACGAGATTAAGTTGTTGCGTATCAGTGGGAATGGTTGCGTTCACCCCATTTCCTAGTAATTAAATGCGTTCTGTGCAGTGCGGTCACCGGACGTGAACTGGATCTTGGATTCCTGTTCATGTGCAGTCAGTCGCGTTTCGGTTGGGGGGCAACGTTCCGTGTACGGCGCTACGAACCTAGCGGCGCCGACCACTGTGGTGAAGTATGGTCAAACAACCCCCGTGACTTGCATGGCGTGAAGTGGTATTTATCGAGCAGTAAATTGAGAGAGGCTGTCTGCTCTCGCCGCTCTGTGTCGGTGGCAAGACTTGATCGGCGTTATTGTTTAGAATACGGAATTGTTGGTTGTAATTGGATGATGAAAATTAAAGGCCAGTTTCTCCGAATTCCTACCGCCATTGACCCGTCTCGTTGTTACAATGGAACAAAGTCCGGAAATGTTCCTCATGAGATTTCCCCACTGCTGTCTGCACAGTGGTGAAACGTTCCATTCTTCACTTTCAGATATCCGGTCATCGTCTCCCTGGAGAATCACTGCAGTTTGGCTCAACAAGACAAAATGGCCCATTACTTGCAAAGCATTCTGGGAGACCTGCTTCTGCTGCCCTCTGACCTTCCAACAGCTGATGATGCACAGTGGCCCTCGCCACAGAGCCTCATGGGAAAGATTTTGCTGAAGGTGAGGTATGTAAATGACATGTAGCGGTGATGTTGTTGGCGATGATAGCGGTGATGTTGTTGGCGATGGTAGTGGTGATATGAGCGATGGTAGTGAAGATGCACGGCCTGGCGGGTGTGACTGGGAGCGCAGGGTAAAAAGATCTCGGTGACAACGCAGGGCGTGGACGGCGTGGAAGACGCTGAGTTGGAGAGCGAGACGAGCGTGAACCGTGCCCAGGTGAGGTGGCACCGTGCCCAGGTGAGGTGGCACCGTGCCCAGGTGAGGTGGCACCGCACCGCACGCGGTTGAAGTGAAGCGGCCGCGCTGAGGAATAAAGTTGGGCGTCGTCGGTGTGCCGCGTGCGTGGTGGCCGTGGCCACATTGTGCCCAACCCAACAAAGGGCGCGACGTGATTTATACTCACGGTGCAGATGTCCCAAGGAGCACGCGGGGTGTTTGTGGCGATGTGCATGAGACGCGGTGAACTCCCGCAGCGGGGGACGGGCCCCGGCCATATGCTGTCAGCAGTCAAGCTGGGGTCTTCCCACGCTGGCCACAGCCCACACACCTCACACACCCCACACACCCCACACACACACACACACCACACACACACACACCACACACACACACACCCCACACACACCACACACACACACCCCACACACACACCACACACCCCACACACCCCACACACACACACAACACACACCACACACACACACACCACACCCCACACACACACCCCACACACACCCCACACACACACCCCACATACACACCACACACACATCACACACCTCACACACACACCCCACACACACACCCCACACACACCCCACACACACACACACCACACACACACCACACACACACACACCACACACACACCACACACCCCACACACACCACACACACACACCCCACACACACACCACACACACACCACACACACACACACCACACACACACCCCACACACACACACACACCACACACAAACACCACACACAAACACCACACACACACCCCACACACACACACCACACACCACACACACACACACCACACACACACACACCACACACACACCCCACACACACACTCCACACGCTTGCCATAGCTCAGACCCCACACACCCCCACACACCTCCACACACCCCCACTCCCCCACTCACCCCACACACACTCCCCACACGCCACGTTGTTCCAGTGCCTCCCCTGTGCCACGGCAGGGAGGCGGTGCGGCTGGCGTGTGCCCCTGTGCCGAGGAGGTGGCGGCGCACGGAGAGGGGCGTGCCACGGTGCGCCGCAGCCGCTCTCTCCTCGGTCTCCTGCCGCGGCGCAAGGTGAGCAAAGCCTCTCGCCACGGCGACCACGACCGGCGTGGCCTCCGCCGCTCATTCTCATCTGACACGCACCTCCCTGCGCCCCACTCTCGCGATTAAACTGTGTCGCCCGTAGGCGCAGAACTGCCGCGAGAAGGCAATCGGCAGCAGCTGTGGCGACAAACTCCCGGGTTCTACCAAGCGCCCCGTGGCCTACACCGTCAGGTCAGAGGACGCAAGCGGGAGGGGGCTCGCGCGTCAACTAGCACGGCAAACGCACGAGCGTACGTGCGCGCGCACGGGCGTTCGCCCCGATTGAGGAACGGCAAAGCAAAAGACCGCTCCTCGGTGCGGTCGCAGCCGACGCTGTTAACGAGTCCCTTCCCCCGCAGCTCCCCGTGCCAGGGGCGGGAGCCACGAGGCGAGGCGAGCCCGCGCGCGGGGCCTCCCGTCCCGCGGACCCGCCCGCCGTGCCTGTCGCGCGCCCTCTCCGAGCTCACGGCGTGCTCGCGGGCTCGAGGAGCCATCGACGTCGGCTCGCACGGTGAGAGACGCGCGTGGGGTCCGGCCTGCGCCGGGGTGCCCGGGTCCGTGGGCGGAGGGACGGGGGCTCCATACGTTGCCGACCGAGTGAGCCGAACGGCCGCCGTCTCGCCCCAGGGCCACCTCCCCGGTGGAGCGTGACGTCGTTTGCGGAGCGGCAGGCCTCCGCGCTGGCGTCGGAACGCGCGCAGGAGCTGGCGGCGTTCGCGAGCGCTCGCCTGGCCCGCGTCTACCCCTCGGCCCACCGCGTGTCCTCCAGCAACTACGGCCCCGAGCCGTTCTGGAATGCGGGCACTCAGATGGGTGGGTGGGCTCCGGCGTGGCTCTCGGCACGCCGCCCTCGCCGCGTCCAGGTTCACTCTTGTCGAGCGTGGCGGCGCCGTCTGCGACGCGCTGACCTTTGAAGGCAGGGGTTGGTGGATCACGTGGCGTTTTGTGAAACTCCCAAAACCCTGTGCGTTGTGAGATGGCCAGAAGATGGTAGCACAGTGTAAACGAGTTCTTAAATCCACCTGTGTGGAGATTTTAATGTTATTCGCTCGTGTACACGGGATTTCTATGGGCACATGCAATATCACTCCTTACAATGGAATTGGCCGAACATTCCGATCCAGAACACTGCTGAAAAAACGAAAGTACGTGTGTATAAATGCATACCTTCTGTTCCACTTAGGGTGCTGTCAGTTGTTGGAAAGTGGAGATTGCAGTGACGGCAGGTAAATGCCGCAAGGGACGTCCGTGACCTTGGGAGTGACCTCATGCGCTTCCCCTTCATTCCAGTCTCTCTCAACTACCAGACGGAGGGGCGGCCCATGCAGCTCAATCGAGCAAAATTTGCAGCCAATGGGAACTGTGGATACGTCCTGAAGCCGGCTGAGATGTGCACGGGTGAGTGTTATCCTTTTCAAACATCGTGTGAGCGCGACTGCACGGCGTGGGGAGGCCCTCATCCAGCAGCGGGTTGATGAAGGGCTGTCTAACCGCATGTTTCACGTTGTGGAACGAGCATCACACAGTACATTCAGCTCGCGGTGCCTCTGCGCTCTGTCGCTGGCCCGCTCTCGATGCTTTCCCTCTGTTCCCGTGAATTCAAGTTGGCCGTTCTATTAAGATCAGATCGCCCCCGCAAAAGAAATGTGGAATTTCCACAGGTGGCTCGGGGCCTGCCCGGCAATGCTCACGCTAACGCTAACACGGAGACTCTGCCACTCGCGACCCTTGACCTGTTCCCTCAGGCCACTTCAACCCTCTGAGCGACGATCCCTCCCGGGGCCGGGCTCGCACGTACATCACGGTGCGCGTCATCAGCGGACAGCGGCTGCCCAAGCCCGCCGTCTCGCGGCTGCCCTCTAGAGACGAGGTGAGGACACGCCGCGAGAGACACGGGGGAGTGGAGGTAGCAACACAATCTCCGTTAAATCGTCTTGCCCTGGAGAAGGATGCTCTGTCACATACGTAGGCTTCCCCCCGTAGGTCACAGGGGAATAATGAGAGTCTACGTATGAAATGAAGACTCCGGGAAAGCGACGCTTTTGTAAATTCAAGATCGCGACTCCCACGCACGCAGCTTTCGGCTCCTGCAGACCAAAGCCCGGGAGGCCACCGCGACCAGGCCCAGAACGGGTCCGCAGTGAAGAGCAGCAATGCCTCTTCACTCGCACGCTCCCGCCTCGCCTGTGAGAGGAGCCGTGAAGCGCTGATAATGGAAGCACGGGGACTGACCATGTGTCGGGCTTGAGTGCGGGGCGTGAGTGAGTGCGGGGCGTGAGTGTTGTGCACGATGCATCTCCACGTTGCGCTCAGATCATCGACCCCTACGTGGAGGTGGAGGTGGTGGGGCTGCCGGTCGACTCCGCGGTGCGGCGCACCAGGGTGGTGGACGATAATGGCAAGGAGCAAACACACACAAATCATACACAAATTATACACACACACCCCATACGCGCACACACACCATACGCGCACACACACCATACGCGCACACACACCATACGCGCACACACACCATACACACATCATACACAGACAGTCCATGAAGGCTCCACGGGGGATCTGCGTATTTGTCTGTCGGTGCACGAGCCGCGTTGTGCGTGCCGTGTTCAGGGTTTCAGCCACTGTGGGACGAGACGCTGGTGTTTATCATCCACATGCCGGAGCTGGCCATGGTGCGATTCGTGGTTTGGGACGACGACCCCATTGGGAGAAACTTCATCGGACAGAAGACGATCGCCCTGTCCAGCATCCTGCCTGGTTCGTGCTAAATCTCTCAGCGCGCGCATGCACACACACAGCACACTCGCCACACACAACACACACACACAGTGCACTCGCCACACACAGCATCACACAGCGTACACACAGCACGCACAACCGCTCACCAACAAACACTGCTCACCAAACATTCCCTCTCGCCATATCCACACCACTCACCAGCAACATGCAGCAAGCAGACACTCAGAATTCCACTCACCATGCATATACCACTCACGAGTACAAACGAGAAAATTAAATCTGTAAGCGAGCACCCACAAAGGCCAGGATGGCACACCCCCTGCACCATGCCCGGCCACTTTTCTCCTCTGTGCTGATGTTTACACCACGCTGAGGTACATTGGGTTGGCCTCGGGCCAAAGTTTAGATATCACTTGCCACCGAGTTTAGCTATGACTTGGAATCGAACTCGGTGCACGAGTTACTTTGAAACCATACCCCACACTAATGCACTACACCCTACGTACTCCGCACAGATGGCTCGCCATGCCCCCCTGTGTCGAGCCACAACTGTTCTTCCTCTGCCGCCTGTGCCGGGCCGCAACGCTCTTCGCCGTGGCTGATGTTGGGCTCTCTGCTCCACGCCGGTTGATGCTCTCTCGCCTGGCAGGTTACCGCCACGTGCGCTTGGAAGGCCTGAGCGAGGCGTCCATCTTTGTTTACGTCACCGTTGAGCAGATCCACGGCAAGGCAAGCGAGCGCTCCGTCTACGTGTTCCCGCGTGACTCTTCCCAGTGCCTGTGAATGCCCTTGTCACGGATTTTTATTGCATTGTCTCCCCACTGTTTTCACGCACATCATCCATATGTAAGTCACTGTGCCTCATCGGCTTTTCCCAGTATGAAGACTTGAGATGCTAATGAACCAGGTTTTTTACTTTGTGTGGTGTCGAGTGTGCAGATAACACCCCCAGCCCCCTTAAGTTCAACGAATCGTTGATTGCGGGATCACGATTCGATTGAGAAATCGTGTTATTTTTTGTCTCGTTTGCACTCCCTCGTATGTTGTCTCATTCAATTAATTACCCTAAAAGTTACATTCGCGAACGATTGCATTTACCCATACACGCCTGGAATTCAAAGTTTCCACTTATTACCGGAGTGGGATGGTTCAGTGTGGTGGCTTGTGGTAACAGGCCTTCATAAGCAATAGCTAGATGAACGCTTCACAATAGGTTGTGCATCGCACAGTTCAATTAGCAGGCGTTAGAATTCCGACTGCACTTGCTGAAGGTGGAGGAGTTGCAGCCGCTTGCTCGTGTATGCCCTGGTGTGTGCATGTATCTCGCGTGGCCGCGTGCAAGGCCGCGTGCAAGTCCTTGTACGTACGTCTGTGTGCAGGCGAGGCAGGCGTCCAACCTGATGCGAGCTCTGGGTTGCAAATCGAGGGAATGCAGTGTGGGGGATGCACCTCGTCGGAGGCACGGCATGAGAGCCACCCCCAGGACCTCTCTTCCATGAATCGTCCACCCTGGACCTCTCTTCCATGAATCGTCTACCCTGGACCTCTCTTCCATGAATCGTCTACCCTGGACCTCTCTTCCATGAATCGTCTACCCTGGACCTCTCTTCCATGAATCGTCTACCCTGGACCTCTCTTCCATGAATCGTCTACCCTGGACCTCTCTTCCATGAATCGTCTACCCTGGACCTCTCTTCCATGAATCGTCTACCCTGGACCTCTCTTCCATGAATCGTCCACCCTGGACCTCTCTTCCATGAATCGTCTACCCTGGACCTCTCTTCCATGAATCGTCTACCCTGGACCTCTCTTCCATGAATCGTCTACCCTGGACCTCTCTTCCATGAATCGTCTACCCTGGACCTCAACCGATCGCCCCTTGAGTGTGAACACACTTCGATCCGGCTCTCAGCCCTGATCCAAGACAGATTTTATCTCAATACGGAACCCAAGAGCATTGTATTCCATCAGATGTAAGGGCAATGCATTCTTCCAATTCCTCTCTTATCTTCAAGTTTTTCACGAGCACTAATCAGCTGCTTCAATGAAGGGAATGTGCAAATGGAGCTTTGAACACAAAACACCTTACCCGTGATTAAATGTCCTAGCATTTACCCGCGAGGCATTGTTGTGGTGTCACTGTGTACGCAATGGGTAGTAGGGTTTATGGGAAGTGTTTTTTTTTATTTAAATTAGGGTTGTAAGAGGACTGTAAGATACATTTGTATGATTTTATGTAATTTGTAAACTTTTTAACTTCGGATTTTAATTAAGTATATTAAATTATTGGAATATAAACTGTATTGTGTGGTTTGGAGTAAGGTTTGTTCATTGCCAGTGGACTGTTTTTGGGCCGTGTGTGCAAGGTCACGTCTGTGTAAATTTCCTTTAGAAATAACAGCTGCTGCTGTGATAGACGCCATCAGTGACCACATCACGAATGCGTCAAACCAAGAGTTCGTCTCACTAAGTGTCATAGCAATGGTCTCACTAAGTGTCATAGCAATGGCCTCATAGCGACTCAGAGAAAATGTGTCAGACTGGGTCACAGCAACCTTGTCTAGGGCATCAGTGGCCGCTACTTAGTCATAACGACTGCACCATGGTGACCATTACAGACTGTCAAGGCTGTCATAGAGATTGCGTCAGAGACGATGTTGTACCTCCTGTTATCGAGACTGTCTTCACGACCGCGTTACAGGGGCTGCCTCGGCAACTGTGCCAGACGCCATAGCGACTGGCATAATGGCTGTGGAAATTTACAAAAAAATATTACATGTAAAAAATATGCAACAGCTCATGGCGAAATAGCTAATGGTCACTTGTACAAAAGGAAAAATGTGAGCGTATTACATCTGTAGTGGGTTCAATTGAGGCACACTCAACTTGAAGGCAACACTATTTATTAACACATAACAACCAACGTGAACATTATATACAGGGTGGTGACCACCGATCCCAATCTCACGAACACTCGGGGAATACTACACAGCGTGGCCAGGGCAGGAGACGGGCTGCCTGGTCACAAACGACTCGACTGCTGATGTCTTCATCCCGGGGTAGAACAGCCCAGCTCTCTGTTCACACCCCGCTTATAACTCCCGCGACGTGGCCGGCTCCACCTCAGGTCACGCCCCCCTTCTCTATCCTTCGGGAAGGTACGGGCCCCCAGCACGTGACCCCCCCCCAAGCTCCCAACTGGGGCCCCTAGCCTCCCTTTGTCCGATGGGCAAAATTATGAGTTAGGAGGCTGGGCATGAGCTGCAGCGATGAGGACGTGGGGGGCAGCAACACAAGGCATGGACGTTTAGCAGCGCAGCGTCTACCACAACACGACGCCACGACACGTCGTGTTAATGACCTTTCATATCTTGCCACCTATTTGTTTACCTGACGGAGGTAAACTAAGTTAGGGTGTGTGACTAACTCTTGCACATTGAGGCTCGACAAATGTAAATGAACACCAAATGGTGGAGGCATTTGTACTCCAGTCAAATTTGTGGAACATTACATAGCTCACTGCAGTTAAATAAAGGCCGCATAACTGCGCTCGGTGCAGGCTACATACGCTGTCGTGAGGTGCACATGCTCCCCTCTTTCTGGTAGATGGCGGTCTACTCGTTGCCCTGGACAGGTGGCAGGAGGTGGTGTTGTGTGGTACATTCAGTGGAATAGCACCCGTTTGTATTTCGTGTTGGGAATCTGCCCACGTGCCTTGAGCCGTCGCACGGCTTCCCGCAGATGCTTGGGCTGCAGGGGAGGTGTGTCCCCCCACTCCTCGCACACGTCCAGCGCTGCACCACGCACGCACGCAAGCACGCACGCACGCAAGCACGCACGCCGGCACAAATACAATTACATCCGCTGGATAAAACACTGGGATTAAACACAATTTACTCAATGTTTGAAAAACATGTTCAGGTTACATTTAAAAGATGACCAGGTGACAATCTTCATGGCTGGCAGCAGTAGGTATGGGTTGTACCTCAATACGTGACGGTGTAGCGGTTAGCTTAACCACAACATGAGAACGTGCGCTTCTCTGAGAATGACGGATAAAGCACAATTAATGGCCAAGATGATGGTGGTTGTGTTCCAAAGACTACATTTAAGATTTAAAATAACTGTAATAACTATGGTTAAAAGATTGAAAAGCATGTTCTGATAGACATGTGGTTATGCTACAATATTTCAAGACTTGTCTATTTTCTTGTTAAACTTGTCAGAATTGTCAGAAAACTTCAATACACCACCTCCTTACATATTGCTTGTTTATTAAGATGTGTCGGTCTCACCTCACTGGTTTTAACCATGCGTTTGTAATGAATGTTACCAACTGGGTAGGTATGCTGTGTTGGAGAGAGAATGGGGCTGACCTGTCTCCACAACTTCCCCCACGAACACCTTGGCGATGCCGGACATGGCGATCACAACGTTCTGTGACACCGAGCAGCCCGTTATTGACTGGATGAGCTGAAATCAAACACGATTACACATTAGCTCGACTTGCCAGCCTTTTTAATGTTTAACAAAGCTATACATTTCAAGCACAGGTAAATGTTCAGCATTACCAATAAGACAGATCACTTATTAGTAAATATACAGCGAATCACGGAGAGGAGAGAATTCGCACTGCTGTGAGGGAACTCCATGCCAGTGCTACGTTACGGACACCCACACCGGGCATCACCGCAATAAAAAATCATGCTGCATGGGCAACACCTCCGCTCTGTTGCCCACACGCAGGAGCTCGTTTGTTTTCTGTCCTGCACGTCAGCAGAATATGTGAGGTGAACACTAAGTTCAAGTAACAGCCAGGCTTAAGCGATGCGGAGAAGAATCCGTTTGTGTGCGAGAATTTCACACCACATCAGGAGTGACGCATCTGGTGCTGCGGATGTTACGCTTCCCCACAGCTACAAATATAAAAAGTGGTTTTAGAGAATGGGAATTCTTGACAGTCTTAGTTGGGAGATTTGAGAACTGGACATTTCCACTGAACCCCAACAATCATAAATATGAATTTGTTTATTAGTTTCAGGCTTGTGTATTTCTACAAAATCCTAAGAAATTCCGATGCATGTAAAGACTTTCATCTTATAACTAAGTGACAATGTGAGCGACTCGTTCCCCTCACAAGAGATGCGGGTAATGAGCAGCAGTGCCATATTACACGACTATCACAGTAGATCCACACTGTTTTATTACTGTGGGCAACTACCCCACCCTACATCACCGATGTGCTGGGACACAGTCAACCACCCAGAAGCACGCACGTGGCAGCAAAGAGGGCTTATCACATTCACGGCGACAATTCTATCTCCAAATCCTGGCACGGAGGAGAATCAGAGATCTGCCGTGTGGATAAGAGGACTTGCAGGTAAGAGGATGACCAACACCAGTGCCTCTGTAATGGAATACTTTAGTATTTGAACATAGATTACAGGTTTAATTGCAGTCACATAGATTACTTACGATTTTAATTGGGACTGACTTGTTCATCATCAATTTATCAGCCATCCACTGAAAATGAATGACCTGAAATCCTCATGCAACTGCAGGCAATGTTGATGTACAATGTGGGGAGTGAACGTCAAGAGGTTTTACACGCAGCCGATCAACAGCACTTGTGATTGGGTTAACCGTAACTTCAGATGGCACGTATTTTTGATAAACATACTCGTAGTAATAAACAGGGTGTCTTGCTTGATTAAAACCACGAGCCTTTGCAACAAGCGGTGAATGCGCTACCGCTGGGCGACGTCACCGCCCCAAAACATGGGGAGGTGTTATTATTTCTATACCTGTGGAGGAGGCTCAGTGTGTGGGGTGAGGGCACGTGGGGTGAGGGCACGTGGCTGGGTACCCGTTTGAAGGCGGCTTTGGGGAAGGCTGCGCGCCGGTACATCTCATAGCGGTTCAGCTGCTCCTCCGAAAATGACGACACCAGGATCCTGGAAGGCGCACACGACCACCACCGTGTCCGTCATCACGAGCAAAGAGGGCATACGACAGTGCTGCCCAGTGCCACTTTCATTCTACCTCCACATTGAAATACCACGGAACTTACAATCAGTATCCATTTACATAGACTGGTGAGTGAGCACGGCACAGTGCTGTATTGTGAATCTGCCAGTCTTGAGTTTGGATTTCAGGCCACGGACAACAACAGTGGCGAGGGATATCTGAGCTGATCCCGAGTGGTAAACCCCCACCACTCACTGCATCTTCTGGATCTCGTCCTCGTCATGCTTCTGCCGTGCGCGCTCCGCTTTCTCTCGCTCAAGTTTGGCGCGGGCGGCGGGCGAGGACGGGTCCGAGGACGGGTCCTCCTCGTCGGCTCCCAGCGCTGCAGCCGCCGCCGCCTCGCCCGCCGCTCCTTCCTTGGCGTCCACCTCCTCCCCGCGATCGCTCAGAGCCGTGGCCTTGGGGTCGGCGGCCTCCAGCAGCGCGGCTCCGCTGCCCGCGCCTTCCATCACCGCTCGCTCCGTGCGGGCACCAGCGGCTTGTGCCCTGCACGGACACGGCAGCAGCAGCAGCAGCAGCGCCAGGGCTATCAACGCGGGTTCCACATTCAATATACACAAGTTTAACGTCCGGAGGATCATATTCTTGGTTCTTTCGGTAAAGTCACGTAGAAGGGAAATGATCAAATACAGATTTTTTTGTATTAATATAAAAATATTTGTATATTTGTATTATTTTAATATTTCCCTTCTACGTGACATTACCGAAAGAACCAAGAATATGAATCCCTGCAGTCACGAAAGCTTTAAATCAAAAGTCCGGAGGATCGTTACACAAGGTGTGGCGAGGTTGAGCAAAATGTGTGTGGTTGTTTGTAAAGTTTGTGCCATAACACGTGACAAGCGCTGGTCTCACAACTTAAATATCCAACCGAGACATTAAACGCGAAAGGTCACAGTTCAAATATCAGATCTTCAACATTATACTTCGATCACGCAGAGATCACAACGGAGTTCGTGAACCCATCTGTGTGGATCTATGAGCGTTATCTCATTCTCCAGTTTTCTCCCACACGCAGCATTCGTGTCGTACCTCAACAAGGAAATTGGCAAAACCTCACAATGCAGATCGCTCTTGAAAGCGCGTCTCGCAGCTCCACCACCACCACCCGACACGGACAATCAGCACAAATAGTTCACCGCTTTAGCCCACCGGTGTGTTGAAGCGTGAAACCACAACATTCACAATGTTTGAGTACGAATTGCCCGATGATGCTGGATGTAATTACCTGCGAAACGTCGTACTCAAAAAATGTAAATGTTGTGGTTTCACGCTTCAACACACCGGTGGGCTAAAGCAGTGAACCTTTTGTCAACGTGACACTTGTTTGCTGATTGGCCGTGTCGGGTGGTGGAGGGTTACGACACATTTATAAATAACGCGATCTAAACCCAAAAACGTTTATTATGAATAATCTTGGTGGCGAAAGCCTGCCGCGTGTTAAACCAGCTCCCCCAGGGCCACGCAGGCCGCGTGCCGCCCCGCCGCGGGGAATCTCCCCGAACGAGGCCGTCGCGCCGCCAGAGCGCCCCGAAGACGCCACCCGATGTGGCCGCCGTCGTGGGGCGCCAGGTCGGGGGGCTCGAGCCCGATTCTCTTGCACAAGCGCGAGGCAGCGACAGGGGAGACGGAGCACACAGCAACAGGCAACGGAGAGGAGCAGCAGCAGCAGCAGGAGGAGCAGAAGGCGCCGACTCACCGGCGTGGTGCCGAGAGGCCGACTCGAGTGGCTGCACCGCCGCCTGCCCCCCCCCTCCCACACCTCGCCCCCCTCCCACACCCCGCCCCCCCCTCTCCCACCTCGCCCCGCCCTCGCCCGCTTCGGCGCTTCCCATTGGTCGGCGCGTGTCGAGCGGTCGCAGCAAACCGCACCGCGATTCGTCTGTTCGCGCACGTGATCAATGGCGGCCTCTCCCGCGTGTTCCCGAAAAAACGGTCTGACGCACTTCCGGTAGTGGGAAGGGGGCGGGGTCTCTGTGGGGGGGCGGGGTCTCTGTGGGGGGGCGTGGTCTCGGTGAGGGGCGTGGTCTCTGTGGGGGGGGCGGGGTCTCTGTGAGGGGGCGTGGTCTCTGTGAGGGGGCGTGGTCTCGGTGAGGGGGCGGGGTCTCTGTGAGGGGGCGTGGTCTCTGTGAGGGGGCGTGGTCTCGGTGAGGGGGCGTGGTCTCTATGAGGGGGCGTGGTCTCTGTGGGGGGCGGGGTCTCTGTGAGGGGGCGTGGTCTCTATGAGGGGGCGTGGTCTCTGTGGGGGGGGGGTCTCTGTGAGGGGGCGTGGTCTCTGTGGGGGGGCGTGGTCTATGTGAGAGGGCGTGGTCTCGGTGAGGGGGCGGGGTCTCTCTCTGCCGGTGTCGCCAGGACCCTCCTGGCTGCGTCTCGCCCAGCGTCACCTTCGCTCTCCGCAGCCGCCGTCGCCATCGCCATGGGCTCCCGGGCCTCGTCCCTCCTGCGCGACGAGGAGATCGAGGAGATCAAGAAGGAGACGGGGTGTGAGTAGCGCCGCGCTGCCTGAGGGGGGACCCGCGCCGGGCCTATAATCCGCGAGCGGGGAGCGGGATCTACGGGGGGGGGGGGGGGCAGCGAGAGCGATGACCAGAGACGGGTCCGCGGCACGGAGTCTGCGAGGCAGAGACGGGCTCTGGCCCCAGGGCTGGAGTGAGTTGTTGATCTCTCGTCTCTCGTGAGCTTGGGGTCAAACTCGTCAATGTTAGAAGCGTCGTGTGTGTAAGAGTGCCCTTCTTACAGCGGTGAAGGCTCCGCGCGACTCAACGGGAAGCGCCGTGAGGCAGCAGCAGCAGCAGCCCGCGATTAGCGGTCCTCGTCGTCTTGACCCCGAAGCGCCGTGAGGCGCGAGAGACCTCCGCCTGGGGTTTGACCTGTGAGTGGTGTCAAGCTCGCCTGGTCACCACCACCACGGGGACATAGAGAGTACAGCACAACTCCCTTCGCAGCTGCTCCATCTGTGGCTGCATTGGTTGCTTGGTGTCATCCTGGGGACATGGCACGCGACTGACACGGCCGTGTGGCTGGCGCACTGCCACTGGGCCGCATTGGCCCTCATCCAGCAACGAATTGACAGAGGGCTTTAACGCACGGGGCAGCTTCGTGTGTGTGTAGCATGGGGCAGGCACGGGGCAGCTTCGTGTGTGTGTAGCATGGGGCAGGCACGGGGCAGCTTCGTATGTCTGTAGCATGGGGCAGGCACGGGGCAGTTACGTGTGTGTGTAGTATGGGGCAGACACAGGGCAGCTTCGTGTGTGTCTAGCATGGGACACACACGGGACAGCTTCGTGTGTCTGTAGCATGGGGCAGGCACGGGGCAGTTACGTGTGTGTGTAGTATGAGGCAGACACAGGGCAGCTTCGTGTGTGTCTAGCATGGGACACACACGGGACAGCTTCGTGTGTGTGTAGTATGGGGCACACACGGGGCACACAGAGGGCAGCTTCGTGTGTCTGTAGGATTGGGGACTCACGGGGCAGTTTCATGTGTGTGTAGCATGGGGCACGCACTTCTCGGCCCTATCCATTCTATTACACGATTCTGCCATGGCATATTCTCATGTAAAAAATCTCCATTCATGGGATTTTTTTAAAAATAGGAATCTTGAATGACAGATTCTCATGTTAAACATTTCCACTGAATGTGATTTTAAACTGGGAATCTGCCATAGAATAATCGTGGTTCCTGTATGAATTATCTAGACTGGAATTGTGGGAATGGAATAGGGTTCCTGCAGGAACTGCTGCGTTGTGTGCATGCGGTCGGCTTGCCCCGATAGCGCTACTGTAATGCCCTGTAGGGCAGGATCGTGATAAACAAAATTGAGAAAACAGTAAGTTGCCATGTACAGGTAGGAGTGTGGTTAATAGGAGACTCGGACGATCGGGTCCCGGGTTAGGGACACTCTACTGTGCGTAACGGGAGTACAGCGGGGAAGACAGCACGAACATCTCACTGCACCGCTATGAATGGACCGACGTTTGCGCCATCTTCACACGTGGCAAGTTAGCAATGCATCGATGCAGTGGAAATGGATAAGTTACTGTTTAGGCACATTGTATGCACGTTGTATGCACGTTGTATGCAAATTAAAACGCGGTGGCGCTGCGATTCTTGCACCCCGCAATGAACTGGACCACCTGAGTTTGATTCCCAGCCACGGCTAACATTGTTGTCGAGTGATATCTTAACCAGTCCGAAGTCTCTCCTTCACCAACCCACATTGACCAGCGTGGTTCAGTATGGTCAAACAACCCATGTGGCTGACAAGATGTGGGGAGGCCTTCCAGAAGTGGCTTGACAAAAGGGCCATAAATGTTATTTCATATGCTTACATTACAATTAAGTCACTGGAGCTAACAACTTTAACAGTGAAATATAAAATATGAGAAACAATACAAATGCGATGGTAAATAGACGAAATAATCTCTTAATTGCATCGCAACCCCAATCGTGAGAATCCCATCAAAATCGACAGTGGGTAAATTATAACTTAAATATTGCTTTGCTATTGGACAGTCTTTACTTGGCCCAACAACAGAAGCGAATTCATGTGAAGATATGAAGCCAGAGGGAGTGTTGCCTTTTTATTATGCGTAAGCCTCTACATGATTAATCAATCCCTCTTGCGTGCAGGGTCACTACGCCTGCAGCCCCTTCGAGAACAGCAGTCGGGCTCCGCTCATCCGTTCACCTCTGCTCCTCAATTAGCGCCGAAGCGAGGCCAGAGAGCCCGTCGACAGCAGTGATATTTCACATCTCGTTGTGGGCTTTAACAAGTGTGGAATGCATTCCAAAAATATCCACTGACAAAAAATACCGAAATGCTTTGGAAAGTTTCCTTTTGCAAAAGAAAGTGCTGTAAGTTTCAGTCAATGCTGAGTGTTCAATCGGTGTCAAAGACTGCACCTGCAAAGGCAGGGCTGATGCAACCTAAATGGGGCAGAGCTCCTGGTGGCACTGTGTGTTTGTCTGGCGTTATCTGTAGGTTCAGCAGGTGATGTTGGTTCATTGAGGAATGCTCATTGTAAAAAAACTTGTTTTTTGTGCAGATTTAATTGGGTTTTTTTTGTGAAAACATTTAACAAATGAGCAAAGGTTTACAAAGTCTTCTTGGGGGAATAGTACCATGGGTACACAGTGTGACTGCATTGTAGTTTGACGTTAGCATATATAGGTAAGGTGATAATGTATGTTATGGTGCCAAAAGCACAAGTTGCGAAATTAAAACATGATTAACTACCAAATGTTCAGTGCTTAATGCCTATTTTGCAGCTGCTATTTCAGATTTATTTCCCTCTAGACCAAAGTCTAATCTCTTTATTATTGTTATTGTCACGCTATTTACTTGGGAAAGCTTCACCTTGGCTCGAGTCTCTTTTTCAGGAGGGTCCTGCCACGCAACGTTTCTTAAATCCTTTCACCTTTGCACACCTGGCAGTATAAATGTATACACCAGCATAAAAAAGTAGGCCCAATACCTTCTGGACTGGCTTTCTTGAGCTCCCTCTAGTGGAGGCCCTTTCTCCAGCAGGACTGCCCCTTTACCCATCGTTATTACTGCTAAACATTGCCCACTCTTGAAGCTGTGCCCTTAAGTGAACGTGGGGCACGGCTTTATTGCGTGGAGTCGAATGTGTCTCTCTGTCTCTCTGGCCCAGAATGTGCCTCTGGCCCAAGAATGTGTCACTGCCCCAGAATGTGTTACTGGGCCAGAATGTTCCTCTGCCCCAGAATGTGTCACTGAGCCAGAATGTGTCACTGGGCCAGAATGTGGTGTCCGGGTGTGGGCGTTGTGTCCCCACGGGCGCGCTAAGTCGGGGGGATGATGAGCTGATGGAAATTTATTGGCTGTGCGAGATGTGGAGCAGTGACGACTGCAGCCCAATTCTCAGCGCTTTAGCGGGGAGGTAGATTAGCCAGTTTGATGAGAGTGACGCAGAACATATGGGACACCGTGATGGCTGCCTCACTCTTTCTCTCTTTCCAACACGTAACTGTGACTCGCACTTCTGCATGTCCCATAACTCTTGAGTGAGACAGCGTCCGTCAACGAGTGTTTTTAATTAGAATCACTCGTGCAAACTGCATTTCATACTGTTGCACAATCCGAAAAACACAGAAGTGTATACTGAGTGATCATACTTGTGGGAGAAAATCTGAGAACTGGGAGAAAACCCCACGCATGCTAGGGGGCAACAGTTTTCCCATTCAGAAGAAATAAATGTAACCCGCACTTTGCTGTCCTTCCGTCTCTGAAGAAGCCAGGGTATGGCACCTCGATGCCCACGGGAAGGGAGTTTCACGTAGTTGAGCGACTCATCAACCCTCGCCTCCACAGTGCTGGATTACAGGTGTGCGTAGCCACTCCCGCCCGGCTACGCATAACTACTTTGACCTCTCTCTCTCTCCCACAGTCCATAGTCACAATACGATGAGCTCTACGGTCTACACTAGCTGCTGATGCGTCTCCATTACAGTTCTTCTCGCTGCCTCCGATCCCAGTGACTCATGGGGGAAGGGGGAGCTGAGTAGCGCCCGGGGCTGTGGGATGGGGGGGGTCTATAAGGCTCACAAGAGGGGAGGGGCCGAGGGTGATTCAATGAAATTAACCCCCCTTCCCCTGCCCCCGTGAGTCATGAGAAGCCGCGGAACGAGAAGCAGGGAGGATGGGGGGGAGGCAATGGATGGGTAGATGAGTTGGCAGAGGCTCGAGTGACGCGGGAGTGTCTCTTGGGCCCCTCTTCTATTCTGAGGCCTCTTGTTGCTGCCATCCTCAAGGGAACCCAGCAATGGGTGAGGGTACAGCACTGGTCAGGAGATCTGTGGAACCATGCAAACAAAGCCTCGGGTCTCGCTCCTATCCCTCCATGGTATCCACAACAGCACTTTAGTGACCTCGGCCTCTTGACATTAAACACACGAACCACGCGAATGATGCTACGAGATTGGCGTAATTACCTGCTTGGTCGTAGATTTTAAATATATTTTTCCTTCAGGATGTTACAAGCTTGGATCAAACAGCCCAGCGCATACAACCCGTGTTTGTGGCTACAATACAAGATATAGGATACCTAATTTCCTAATCCTATTTACCTGTAATTCTAATAGATGAGAGAGATGCTGGGGCTTATAACCTGTGAAAGTAATTTATTTGCCTGAGAACCTTAAATCGATCCAGGAGTTGTCACATTTGAATTGGGGGCCGAACTCCAAAATACATCTTAAGAAACAATGGAGGTTAAATTGCCATTTCTCCTTCATTGTTTCCTGACCACAGACGTTTTAATAGTACAATTAATAAGCTTTAATTATCTAGCTTGCAATGTTCCTTTATGCACACGACCATTCCGCAGTTTAGATTAAATTGCAGAGACATTTTAACCGCAAGCGGTGCAGGAGCGCAGCCGGTCAGTCCATTCACAATCTGCTACCATTTGTCTTGGAGTGTCCCATTACTAACGGACATAAGTAACATAATGCTATCGTCTCGTGATGTGTCAGGACCTGTCAGTATCCAGGTGCATTTAACAATGATCCTTTCACCTCACGTTCTGGATTATTCTCTCACCTATCGCTTGCAGTCATTAATCGTTGGGGAATTGCGTGGTGGCGGTTTAGTGTCATTGTTTGCGTGGTGCCAGGGCGTTGGTGCTAAGTAGTTGTTGGTTACAGACACCTATGGGACAGGGTCAAATGACGATTGTAATTCAATTCACGCTACGTTGAGGTAACTTCAAATGTATTTGTGCTGGACCGGTCCAGGTTAATATAACACCTCGTTCAGAGCAAGCCCAATTTTGCGTAACAATTTTTATTGGAAATAATAATTGTTGAAATATTTACTCTCATATCATTAAAATAGCCTACAAATATGTATTATGATAGTTGCAGCCTCTTGTCAATCGACTGCTGGTTGAATATCCCCTCGCGCTGTGTTGCTCATGGGCGGTCCTTCGACTGTACTTCACCACGCTGGTCGGTGTGGGTTGATGAATTGGCGGGGTGGGGGGCCGGGACTGGTTCAGATATTACTCACGACTGATGTGAGTTGTGGCTGGGATGCGAACTCGGGTCATTGGGTTCATAGCAGCGCAGTGGGCGAATCGCCGTGCCACCAATTCACTGCACAAGGAATCACTTGGGTTTTTTTGTAAAAACGATGAGTGTACTATGGTTAAGACGGCGGTCAGCACACCGTGGCAACCGGTGGCAGGAATGTCTAGGGATAAACTCACGACCTGAACCATGCATGCACCCTGAACACACTGAGCTCTAACTTTCAGACGAACACTCTAAGCCAGCACCATCACGTTGCTAGGGCCCGGCACTGTGCGGTCAGTCCCATGGAAGCCCGAGCCAAAGGTGACGGTGGTGCCTCGGCACGTGGCCTGCAATCCAGTACTGTGGAGGCAGCGTGGGCTGTGGATCACACAGATGTTACCAAATTCCCATTCCTGTGGGCATCGAGAAACACCCTGGAGAAGGCACCATGAGAAGGCGGTACAGCAAAGTGCAGACTAATACCATCTGTTCCTTCTCTATGGCAGAGTATTCTGATTAACGGAATGTGTGCGTGTTTGTGTTCATGCATGTATATGGGCGTGTGTGTGTGTGCCCTTTGGTCTCTATCAGTTTCCCACAGCCAGATCACGCGCCTTTACAGCCGCTTCACGAGCCTGGACAAGGGAGAGAACGGCACGCTGAGGTACGCCTTGGGACAGCTCACCGGCCTGGCCCTCATTCAGCCTACATTCATTGTACATCGATTTACCAATTCAAGTGGATTCCCATGCCCACGAAACTTGTGTCACATTGCGCATGCGAGAATCGGTAATTTATTATGTGTGCAAATTATATGCTCAAGCTACATTTTGGCTCAATGAGCGAATAAGACTTTACCCAAGCGACATAAAAAATAAGGAGTGATAAAACAGGACAAGCATTGTGATTTCAGTGGGATTGATTACACCCTTAATCATGATGCTGTATCGTGGTGGGTTGGGCGAACTGTTACATGCACGGTCAACCACCAGTGGGCTTCGCCAGGACATTGTTCTTATGATATACAGCCCTTTGTCAATCCACCGCTAGGTGAAGGCTTCTTTATTGGTTGTGGGGATTGTTTGACCATACTTCACGCTGGTCTGTGCGGGTTGGTTAAGGTGGACGGTGGCGGAGGGGGGATGGGTAGGACAGGTTTAGATGTTGCTCGTCAGTTAATGGAGGTTGCCAGCAATCGAACTCGGGTTTGGCAGGTTCATAGTGCCCTGGTCAAACCGCTGCGCCCACGTTCCACGAGACAATGGCAGCCACGAGAAACACGGGAGCATAGTGGGGGGGGGGGGGCGACGGGGGTGGTGGCACAGTGGAGTCGCAGCGAGTCCCGGCATGAGATGACTCGCATACGTCCAGGACGCTGCACGGTGCCACTGCTGGGAAGGCACGCGGTTATTGCCGACACACCGCAATTATTTTAGCAACGGATCTTCTGCTGTGTGCGGTTTCTAACCTGGGTTGTGCCTTCATACATAAATGCCCAAAGGATTAGGCAGGAAATGAGATGGGAAGACTTGTCATGCCATGGCTCGCAATCATCGCAGGGCAATCGCTCTCTACCACTCCCATCATTGCCTCACTGTTGCCAGTGGGTGGCAAGGAAAGCGTGGGATTTGTTGCTGCACGATTGCCTATTGACGGCTTTGGAAAACACCGCCACGTTGCTGCCCATGTATTGACATGGGATATGGATGTTTTTGCATTTTTTTTATAAAACAATAATTACACATTTTATTAGTAATAATAGTTTTAATAAATGGTGCAATGTCACCATCATTACTGAAAAGTGTTCATTATAATCTGAATAGAACTCGCATAGCTGCCTGGCAAACCTGAGCAACCATGCTGCTCCACACCGGAGTGAACACACGGCTGAGAGTTATAATGCACCATTGTGCTGCAATATGAATATTAGATTAAATAAACCTTTGCTCACCTCTCCTCAAAGAGCATCTTTCTCTCATCCCTGAGACGAGTGTGTGCCAGCAGACTTCGTTTAAATGAGCAAGCAAACCAGTTTCACCCTCAAGAGCCTCATTAGCAGATTCAGGCTTGTGAAACAAACCCTGAGACACACTAGCGGTATTGGTTTCACGAGCCTGATTGTTGACGATGATCGATGGTCACCGATGGATGGGTCGCTCGCTCGGAGTCGGAGAGAGGGGGGAAGCGGACACTGTGTGGCTTTTGCTAAAGAGGGCATGCTGCTAGACACGAGGTACGCAGCAGGCGACCATTGCAGCCTTCGTCGTCATCATCATTGGCAGCCTTTATCCACTGCTGGATGGAGGTACCCCCAAGCCGTCGGCTATCTCTCGCGGTCCCACGATGTGACGTTCCTTCTCAACTTCTGGTTCCATCGCTGGAGAGAGCCTCGCATGGGTCGAGGGCGGAACCTGTGGAGCTTTCCTTCACTCCCTTTTGGTCGTGGCTTGGCCTTGCTCATAGGTTCCTAAGCGACTCGGTACAACAAAACTAATCCTGTGCCTTGGCAGATTTGCTCATGGAATCTACAGAAACATAAATGTGTATAAATAACAACTAATTATAAAGAAACATTTATGTTACTTAACACCAAAGTGGAGGCCGTGCTGGCGTTTGAGAGCGGTTTCATATTTTCTCTCTGTGCCTCTGCCTGTGCAGCCGCGAGGATTTCCAGCGCATTCCGGAGTTGGCCATCAACCCGCTGGGAGACCGCATCATCAACGCGTTCTTCCCCGAGGGGTGCGTCCACCTCACGCTCGCCCAGCCCACACTTTCCCAGCCCCCACACACCCGCAGCTCACACTCGTGCAGCCCGCACACACCCCCAGCTCACACTCGCCCGGGTCACACACTCGCCCAGCTCGCTCACCCTGCCCACACACACCCCCAGCTCACACTCGCCCGGCACACACCTACGCAGCCCGTACACACCCGCAGCTCACGTGCGTGTGTGTGTGTGTGTATGTGCGTGTATGTGGTAGGGAGGACCAAGTGAATTTCCGTGGGTTCATGCGCACCCTTGCACATTTCCGGCCGGTGGACACTGTCAAGGAGAAAGATCCGAACGCCCCCGCAGCCCTCAACAGCCGCGCGAGCAAACTCAAGTGTAGGGTCTCCTCGCACCCGAGCAGGGAGCCACGGCACCGTGCGCCATCACTACCGCACGTGCATGCACTCACGCACGCACACAGGCACACGTGTACACGCGCACACACAGGCACACACAGGCACACACGCACACACGCACACATGCACACACGCACACACGCACACAGGCACGCCACTCGCTCATCGGTATGCACGTGAGCACTTGTACAGTTTAGCATCATGTTAAATAGAATAATAATGACATTTATATATCACTTTTCAACAAGGATCTCAAAGCGCTGTACAAGACACAGCAGCAGCAGACACTCAGCATATAAATAATATAAATGCATTTTTAAATAATTAAATAAATTTAATAAAAATGTAATAAGCATTGTTACATTGCCTCGTCTGATCCAAGTCTTGCAGTGAAGACTTTGCGGTGGAAATGTTATAATGAAATAATCTACAGCCCTTTGTCCATACATGAGTGCGCCCCAACCACTCTGCCGCCACTCCCCTAATAATAACATTCATCATTTAGCCACAAAATTCTCACCTACACAACTATGTTTGGTTTTGGCCATAGCTGGGTATGGTGGCTCATTCCTGGACCCCAGCTCCAAAGATTTAATCATTGGCTGTGACCCTTGCTGAGCTGCGACGTCGCCAGAAGGTGGCAAAACATAAAATGGCATTAACCAAAAATCCCAGTGTAGGATGCTGCTGAAGTAGACTTGATGTATATTCAGTGAGGCTGTCATAGGGCACGTAAAGTAAGTGTATTAGTTTTATTCACGTTTAAGAACATAGTTTTCGAACTGTGACACATGCCTGAGAGTACACAATGGACCGGCATATCCCTGCCATACAGAAGCATCCGCGTGCCTCTGTCCTCACGTGTGTCCCCACTGTCCATGTCGCTGCAGTCGCCTTCCGGCTCTATGACCTGGACAAGGATGAGAAGATTTCGCGAGACGAGCTCCTACAGGTGAGGCCCAGCACTGATCACGCTTCACTGTGTGTGTGTGTGTGACTTACCATGACAACACTGCTGTGTGTGTGACTTACCATGACCACACTGCCTTGTGTGTGTGACTTACCATGACAACACTGCTGTGTGTGTGACTTACCATGACCACACTGCTGTGTGTGTGACTTACCATGACCACACTGCTGTGTGTGTGACTTACCATGACCACACTGCTGTGTGTGTGACTTACCATGACCACACTGCTGTGTGTGTGAGTCACCATGTGTCATCATTACCACACTCCACTCTGTGTGTGTGTGTATCACCTTGTGTCACCGTGTGTCACCATGACCACCCTACACTCTTCCTTCATTGCGCTACGAGGATGGCGCGAATACCACATGTGTTAAGCGATGATTGTAACGATCACCTGTGTGTGTGTGTGTGTGCGTGGCGACTTTCTCCCCGTGCTCGTGGCCCCGTGTGCAGGTGCTGCGCATGATGGTGGGCGTGAACATCTCCGACGAGCAGCTGGGCAGCATCGCCGACCGCACCATCCAGGAGGCCGATCAGGACGGAGACAACGCCATCTCCTTCACAGAATTCCAGAAGGTGCCTTGGGGCCGTAGCCACTTAGAAGCCCACGGTACCGCTGGGGAACGAGCAGGCGTGGCCCTAACGTTGACCCACTGCTGGGTGAGGGCCTCCGCATGCCGTGCGGGTCCTGGGGGTTATTTCTCCAAACTTTACCACGCTGGTCAGAGCGGGTCAGCGAAGACGGGGAGCGTAGAAATACAGTACAGGAATGGAGTTTCTCGCGCTGCACTCTGCCGCCCACCAAGTAGCCACTCGACGTGTAACAACTGGTTGTGCGCTTTGTGTTGTTGTCAGCCAGTGAAAAAAGTGGGCGTGCAATATTGTAGTAAGAGCATTTTTACTGATTCTGTGTGTGTGGAGGCCGTGAACGTATCATGCGGTAGCATAAATAGTTGAATTCAGCATCGGCTGTCTTGGTGAAAGTCGGCACGAATCGCCAACGTCCCTGGCCGACTCCCAACTTCTGATAGGCTTCGACAAAGCGCAACCACCTCAGTGGGAGAGGAGAGAGTCTGAGTGCGTTGCACGTCTCAGGGGTTTTTAGCACGTGGGAAGAGCCGTGACTCATAGCCCACTGTGTCCCCTCAATATATGCCTCCTGCTTGAAAACAAGCCCATCGGGCTTCTGGATTTTGTGTTGGCAAAGGGAGTCTGTGCTGATTTGTCACTCTACCACTGGCCAAACGAGCAGATAATAATAATAGGGGGTTGGTATATGTACGCATGTATGTTGAACTTCTTTCGCACTCTACGTAGCCAACCGGGCTAATCGGAGGTGCGGGGGAAGGACAACAGACTAAACACACGTATCAAGTATTATAAGAAATTGTCTTGCCACAGTCACCTCGTGGTAGCTCTGAGTGGCTCGGCTTGTGATTACGATCTGCGGCCGCTGCATTGGGGCGGCGCAGACGAGGCGGAGGCAGTGACCCCACGTGTGTGGATTGACCCCGGCGTCCCGCTCTGCTGCTGCTGCTGCCAGGTGCTGGAGAAAGTGGACGTGGAGCAGAAGATGAGCATCCGCTTCCTCAACTGAGCACCGCGGGGGAGGCGGACGGCTCCCTCCCTCCCGGGCGGTGGGCAAGCCGGCCCCCCCCCCACTCCCACAGTGCACCTTCTCCCGCACCGCCCTGTAGCCACCACTGGCGTAGCTGACAACCGCTATGAATTGATTTGAGCATTCTCTGCTGTTGTAATCGGTGCAAAATAAGGGAAACACCGACTGCGAGCCTGACAAAGAAACTGCCATCTTAATATTCATCCAATCTCAGAGCCTCAGGCGCTCTTTAAGATTATCGGGGTTCTGTGATCATGCCTGTGCTCTCTTTCACATCCCTCATGAGCATGCAAGGCAAATCGGAGCAAGCTTCCGAGTTTGAGACAGGCTTCAGAGTTTGCTCTTTTTTGACTTTTGCAGGCTGGCAGCTACGCATTGGTTAAGTGACGTAGCCATCGGTATCATAGGTCGTGCTTGGTGGACCGGTGCTGGGCGTTGAGGAAGCTTTGCCTCAATCCATGCACAGTCTGTTGTGTTGCCAGACAGATGTCTGCAGGCCTCTGCTGTACAATCATATGACCTGACACCCACTGCAGGCCTCGCAATTAAACTTGCATTGGTCACGTCCGCGGAAAGTGCTGATCGATTCGGCATATTGCCCCGTGTGTGGGCAGAGCCACACAACCACATGTCCCGATGTGCATTGCAGTGTTGAGTTGCTTAATCCTTGGTGCGTTATTTTATATGGCTGTGTTGCAGTGGTTATTACTGTTCTTACCTTCAGTATGTTATTGTGCTGTGAGTGTACTTGTGTGCAAGCACCCTGCGTGCTTGTCTTTGTCGCGTGAAGCAGTGGGGTAGTGGTTAACTCCCAGCCCCATGGTTACTCGCCAGGAGCGGCGCTGCCAGTAGGCCCGCTCGTGTGTGAGCGTCACAACTTGGGGAGCGAGGCCCTGCCGATGTGGTGCCAGCCTCGCCGCCCCACCGCGTGCCGGCCTTGGCCTTGGGGCTCTGTGGAGAACGCTGACTGCCCTGTCTGTGCGTCTGCCCACTCGCCGAACCACTGGGAGTTTCGCCCTGAACGAAGGAAGCCAATGCTTCCACAGTAATCCGTGTATTTTTTCAAACACAGATATCATGTAAACATGTGATGGATGCATTTTTTAAAATGCGCTGTTTATTCAACCATTTTTCCGCAAGCATTTTGAGAGTGTTCTGTTATTTGGGTACATTGCTTTTGCAAGTATTGTATTAAATGTTCTGTTTATTTCAATCGTGGAACGTTTTGAGAGACCATCGCGAATCCATGTCTTCGCGATAGTCCGGATTGGAAGGGTGTGCAATAACGAGCGTTGAATTGCGTAAGGAAATGCAGAGCGCCGTTGAGAAACGTGGAGTCACGGCTGCATCGTCCCCAGTAGCCCTGCCACTCTCTACCCAGTGGCAGGGCAAAGAGGAAGCCGTGAGAGCTCCTCGCTACCAAGTCACGGTCGTTTTGTTTGCCACCGTGAATTCCATTGTGGTAAAAGTGAAGCATGCTGTTTTTAAATGGATCCCAAAAATGAACAGTGTTCTGTTGACAAGTGCCTTTGCGCATTGGTGTGAGACCTAACCGCATCTTATTGGTCGTCTTCTGATGCACATTGACATCCATAAGAATGCAATTCCAAGAGAGTGTTTGAATTGCTGATCTCGTGTTCGGGACTATGCGTCCACAGATTGTTTTGAATCGGTTTCCGTGTTTCAATGTGCACACATTTATGAGACTGGTTTAGGGTGGTCACCGGTTCACTTTGTGACATATAGCATTTTGTCAGACGTGCAGTGTGATTTAAATGTTTACGTGATGTCTTGTAAAGGCAAAGTTTATTTACGTCTATTGTAATGTCAGTGTTGGCCGTGCACTTGTTATGCCCTCTCCGGGATGATCCTTATCGTGAGCGGCGGCGCTCGGCTGCAGGTTGAGGAAGCAGTCCGCCTTGGGTTTTCATTCTCGGGTGATAAGGTGTACAGGTGAACCCACCGAGAGACTGGCATGTGCTGGCAGTGGCTTCATCGTCGGCGCTTTCTCTAGCAGATGGGGCGCACGCAGCCCACACAGAACTGGTCAGCTGAGAGCCCAGTGATCACTTAGTCCACCTGGACGTGTCACTCGAGACTGGAAAACCCGACACGGACTGTGTTGCCTCCTGAACCCGGAGCACCGAGCTACCGCTGCTCGTCATGCTCACTGGCTGTGCGTCCCATCGACTGCGATGTAGCGCTGATTGTCAGTGTCTGATTGTGTTCGATATGTACCGTCGCGTGTAGCAACACTGTCTACCAATGCCACTTGCGCACATTTCTTGTTGATATTCGCGCTTCTCCTGTAAGGACACGCGTCTGCACGTGACGGAGCAGTGCCAACGTAGGTTCACCCTCGTCCGTGATGATGACGTGCTTTGCGCGATCACCTGAACGAGCGCTATCCCTGCGTTACAGCCGCAGGAGTAATAACGTGATAACTTGCAACGCTCTGTCAATCTTCTTGCTTTCTGAATGTGGGCATTTCCGTGACGTGTCAAACCGGGTTTTTTTTACCATACTTCACCACATTGGTAAAGTCGGGTTAATGACGGGGAGGGGGTGCAGAACCAATTAAGATATCACTGATTTTAACCATGGCCAGAAATCGAACTCAGGTCATTGGGTGCATGGTGCAGTGCGCGAACCACTGGGCCACCACTCCCCACACAAATTACGTGGTCGTAACGTCAGCTGAACGGCGTGGGCGATAGCTGCTGTATTAGAGCGGCTAGGCCGCTGAGGGCACCGATGCTGCGTGTGCCGTACCCTGTGCCAAAGCCCCTGTGATTGTCATGGCCTCCACCCAATCACCAATAGTTACATTTTGATGTAAACATTTGAGGGGTTACCGTAACACGTGGATTTTTTTCAGCCAGTGTGATTCATAGTTGATTTTAATGTTAGGCTACGTGATGATCTGACTCTTGACTTCCTGGACTATTACTCTTTGTCCTCATGATGCTGGACGTCGTTTCAATAGAAACCTCGTATCTTATCGCTAAATTTATTAAGAGCTGAAACGGTACTCGTTTGGTCACTAAACGCTTGTCCACATCACGATATGTCTGGCTGTGTCGGGTGGTTGATGGTCCCTCATGGCACCACAACATCTCCTGTATTAGTATTCATCGTTTGAAGGATTTTCCACGGGAAGGATACCGAGCGACGTGTTTACTTCATCGACAGTGGCGGTGAAGTAGTTTAGACTCGGGTGGTTTCCACAGCGTGACGGGCCACTGCTGTCATGAGAGATCCTGGAATAGAAATATAAATTTACAAAGGCGCTGTCATCACTCTGGATTTGCTATAATTCGCTAAAACAATGATAGTGTCATTTATTTATTCAGGAAATATATAATTCAACAGTGGTGACCAAACATCATACTAATTCATGGTACTTGGTGTAATTTCTGCCAAGGAAAGATTAAAGTGACATTGAGACAGATTTGCACCGCACCAACCAGGACAACGCTTGGTGAAACAGGCGATCGCTGTGGTAGAGAAGCAGCAGTGACGGCTGGAAGGGGAAGGTGCAGTGTCTTGCTTCAATCGCAGCAGCAGTAGCAGCACGTGGATCACATCCACGGGGAGACCCAGCAGCGTCAGCAGGTCAGCTGATGGGTGCGTGGTGCCGCGAGTGAACACCGGGCCAGTGGAAGCAGCTCAATTGGATTTAAATTCACAGCTGTAAAAAAAAAGCCCACAGAAATCTATATAATAAAAAATACATAGTTTCATAATTTATGACAAGTATGTAAATAAAAGTGCCCTGTATATGCAATGCAGTGTGAGCGTCAGTGTACAAACACGCGGCGTGGTGGGGGGCGCAGCCTGATGTACTCGCCCGTGCTGCGATCACACCCGCGTTATCATCACACCCGCGTTATCATCACACCTGTATTATACCCAGATTTGACGTAAGCTTTAAACAGCACACGAATGTGTAAACCCCACACGGCCTCTGCATTCCGCAAAAACCATCAGCAGTTCCTGAAGAAGTGCATTGTGGCCCTCTTTTTCAGGCCACCACCAAGCCACTTCTGAGCAAATTCAACGAATCGCTGTTGTCAGTCCATGTCACATTTCCCCACTTTCTCATGGTGGACTCAGAAATGAGGACCACAGTGCACTTCAGGAACTGTTGATGGTTTTTGCCCAATGCACAAAGGCTGAGTTTATTTTTCACACGTGTGTGTTGCCGTCTGAAACCCGTGGCTCGTCTGCTATGGTCGGGATGTATCCTTGACAGATTAGATTGGTATCGCAACCATCGATTGCCGAGTGGATGTACTTCACCGCTCTGATGTGCATTTTGAGTTTTTTTTTACTTTTTCAATGCACATTTCCGATTGTGCCAATGGTGCGATGTCGTGAGCTGAGGAATCAATTCGGAACTCTCTCAGAGCACAGCGCGCCCCGTGTATCGGAGAAGGGCCCGCGGAGCAGTCCCTTCCAGGCACGACTCTGGCGCTGTGCACAGCAGGGGGCGCAGTGCACTCGAGATCCGCCGCCAGATTGTTTTGGGCATGACGATCACATCGATAGTTTTAATTATTTTCAGAGCCGGAATCCAGCAGTCAAGCGCCAAACCAAATGTGCTATTGTGTGTGCAGTCACTGGTTACCCGGGCTGAGACCAGAAGGTCACCACGCTTGAGAACAGTTGAAGCACGGGCAGCTGCCGAGATTCGCACTCGGACTCCCAGCCGTAGCGGCCCAGCAGCGCCCCGACCTCTTGAGCCACCCGGCCACCGCGTTGCATTTTAAGTTTGATGGGAAACTGACTCCTGCACTAATTGGCACCACGTGTCACAAGGGCTTGGTTTTAGGTGCATTACTTTCCATGATCAAAGTCAAGAGGTCACCACGGCCAATGCCATTCATAAACCCCTGCGTCGCCATCGGCTTCCTTCTCCCGACGGCTCCGATCGCCACAGATACCGGCAGGGGAGGAGTAGCTACCAGCAGCTTGTTATTAAGAGAGAATGTGGCGTGCAGCAACCTCGCCGCTTTCAGCCGCTCCTATCGGGCCACGGACTGTCATCTCCCCACGAATGAGTGGCGACACCTGGCTCAGCGAGCCACCCACCCATCGCCTCTTCGTTCGGAGCGAGTGTTTGGAGATCACTTTGGCAGTTTAATTTGCAGCCCACGCGTTTTTTATTGCTCAGGGGAAATACATTTAATTTATTTAAACATGCCTGTGGATAATACTTGTAATGAGCCACAAATGCATACACTATTTGGCTTGTATTGTATTTTGGACGTGAATTTATAGTTATTTTTTTCTAAATGAGTAACATTTGCCTCCTGGTCGGGGTTTATGGGCTTGAGGTGCGACAGATCCATGCACGTTCACTGTACACAGACCGCACGCTGGGAGCACGGTGCCGGCTGAAGCCGGTCTCTGGCCGAGTCGTGTGGTTGTTGCCGCCGCTCACAGCGCCCGGCCACCGCGGGCACGGGAGGGGGCACGGGAGGGGGCACGGACCCGGGCCGGGCCGGGTCGGGCCGGATCTGCGCGACGCTGGGGCGGCCGCCAGGGGAGAGCGAGCGCGGCAGTCCGGGTCCCGGTGCCGGTCCGCGAGGTCACGGCGCGCCGGGCACCGCGGGGCCATGAAGAGGGCGCCAGCCTCGCCGCCCGGCGGGGGGGGCGCCCCCCCACCCGGCGAGGAGGAGAGCCGCCCCTGGACGTCGAGCGAGGTGCAGGCGCTCCTGGCCGTCTGGGCCGACCCCGTGGTCCAGGACGAGCTGGACTCGTGCGTCAGGAACGAGAAGGTCTTCGCCAAAATACAAATGCGGCTGCTGCAGAGGAGCGGCAGCAGCCGCAGCGTGAAGCAGGTGCGAGAGAAGATCAAGCGGCTCAAGGCCGACTACAAGCGGCTCAAGGAGCAGAGCAGGCGCGCCGGCGGTGGTGGTGGCGGTGGAGGAGGAGGAGGGGGGGGCAGAGACGCCGCTCGGTGTAAGCACTTCGAGCTCATGGACGCGGTGCTGGGCCGCGAGGGGGGCCCGAGCCCCCCAGCGGGCGTCTCTGACTCGCGCGGCGTGGCGGGGGGGGCTGCCGCGGAGCCGCCGCCCGTGAAGTCGGAGCCCCCCTACGGTGCGTCGACCCCTCCCCCCTCCCCGACCTGCGGCACGCGGTGACCCCGCGAGATCCTCGTGGGGTCACCGCGGGTCTCTGCCGTATCCGCGATTCATCGTCGGTGTCTCTTTGGGGTTGTTCCCAGGGGTGGGCAACCTGCGGCTCTTTAAAGGACTCCTTCGTGACGTCATGTATTAAGGACCACCGTCTCGTTTTGACACGCATTGTGGTGATTGATATATTGAGGGTTTTTTTTATTTTACCGAATTCTACAAAAAGTGTCTCTTGTTATTTTGTTTGCCGACCCCTGGGTGGGCAGCTCCCATCGCGTGGGCGCGTCAACTCGAACCTCCTCCTCCACCCAGCGACACGGCCAACCCGTGGAAGTTGTCACCTGGTGGTCAGATATGCCGATTGATGATTTTGTTTATCGACAAAACCTGAAAGTTGAAAGGCGCCAGCTGATATAACACGGCGCTCGGCTGGAGATTATATCCAGCATCATCACGTGTGAACACGCGCTCAAAATGAACAAATAACTATTAATCATAGCTGGTGAAAGCCTCCGTATAACACCACCTTGTACCATGGTATTGTTTACTGCGTGAGATGCATTCGGCAGTTACGCGCTTGGGCACATATCCTGATGACATTAACAAGATAACGATGGTAACTTCGTGAGATGATACTTCCCAAATTCAATGCGACCACAAGGAGATTGTTTCCTTCTCTGTGAGGACAAATTTCACTTAAACTCAGGCGCGGTTCGTCTAATAAAAATACTTTTCTCCAAATAGTTTTGTTGTTTAAAAAAGTTAAAATGACTCTTTAAACGTGAATTGCCTAATGAAGATATCATTTTAAGTTGTTTATATTAGAAACTGCTGCAACACCACAAGTCTGATTTGTGCCTCGGGGAGGTCTGTGAAGGCGTCCGAGTGAGAGAGTTCCCTTCAGTTATCGCGATGAGCTTCGCATTGCAGCCACGCCGCTTGAGTCCCATGCAGCGCGGTGACTAAGGCGCCCGTGGCTGTGATGAGAGACGACCGTCACAAGGCGAAGTCGCGCTGTGCAAATGGAGCAGCTCACGGCTTTTGGCAGTGTTGCGTGGTGTGAACTTGAGGGTCATGGGGACAGAATTTGAGTGCTTTGTTGTTTGGTTTCGTATTGTTTATAAACGCCTCCCGTTGGTAGATAAGACAGTTGTATCACTTTCACGGGAAGGCCAATAACATGGCAAAGTTTTTCTTGATTAGAACACCAGATTTTCAGAGGTCACTCACAACAGCCCCTGCTTCAGCTGTCATAGAATCCGTTTAAAAGTTAGTGTCCTTAAAGCATTACCGTAGTCTTGGAACGTTGGTGAAATTCGCTTGGATATATTGTGATGGAACAGGTGTCTAACGATGGCTTCTGGAGATATTAGGGGAAGTAGTGACGCAGTGGTCAGCGCATGAACCCGGCCAGCCGAATTAAATTCCCGGCCACGGCGGACATTAGTGGCGGGCGATACCCTAACTGGTCCTGGGCCCACTCCTCTCTTCACCAATTCGTATCATCCAACGTGAAGTCTGGTCAAACAACCCCTCTGAACGACACCGCGTGGGGGGTCCTCGTCTGGAGGTCGATCGATGAGGCACCGCGACTGTGAATGACTTCGCTTCGCTTGCCCGCTGTGGTGATGGAGGCCGCCCGTGGTTTTTTCTGCCAAGGAGATTCGCGTGACCCGCGCTGCGCCGAGGCAGCAGCCGCTGCCGACTCGCAGTGCGGCGAAGAGGAGGGGGATGAGGAGGAGGTGGAGGAGGTGGAGGAGGAGGATAAGAAACCGGAGGTCGTCCACCCCCCGCCTCCTCGTGCTCCACCCCCAAACTCGGCCTCAAGCTCCACAAACACTCGCCGAGGGGTCACGAGACGGCACAACTGGGGTGAGGAATCCAGAAGTCGGAGAGGAGGTGTGGAGGAGGTGCTCACGCACCGCAGCCGGCCAATAATGAGCCAGAGACACTGGAGATCCTGGGTTCGAATCCGGGTCTTCAGCACACCTGGTGTGTTGAAGAGCAATCCACACATTTACCAATTAGGGTCGACTTGTCGTTGGTAATTACATTTAGTATCATTAGGCGAGTGCCAGATTTGAACTCCTGCAGTGGAGTTTAACTCCAACCCTGGGAATCCCCTGATGATGCACATTGGCGTTGTACTCGGAAGGGCAGAGCCAAACATCAACTATGAGCCGTGTCCGTCTGTAAAGGGTCAATGAGATGAGATTGCACGTGGGCCCTTTTGACGTGGAGATGTGAATAAAGGCTCGGTGAGGAATGTGGAATGATTGGATATGTACGATCAGCACGGTTGGCTATATACGGTACAAAAGTATTTCAACATGCATACGAGAAGGCAGCTCTCAGATGACCCCTGCTCCCTCTCCATTGCACCTGCTCCCTCCCCGTGCCCCACAGGGTCGAAGCGCGAACGTCCGGCGGCCTCCGTGTGGGCGCGCTGCGTGAGGGAGTCAGGCGCGCTGCTCGTGCAGGAGCTGCGCGCCGACCGGGAGCTGCGCGAGCAGCAGCTCCGGCAGCTGCTCGACTTCAAGCGAGAGCAGCTGCGGGCCGAGCAGCAGCAGCGGGCGCTCGAGCTCTCGAGCTACAACGCCTCCAACGTGCAGCTCGCGTCCATCCTGGGCCAGATCGCCACGGCGCTCGGGGACGCGGCGGCGGCGGCGGTGGCCCGGGACGGCGGTGCGAGGCAGCCCCCGTAGCGGAGGGCTGCAGCCTCGCGTGATGCGCGCGTGAATAGGGAACGCACGGCCACTGTGATTCGTGCGATGGCGACGGTTTGGAGGAACATCTGGCAAGAGTGAACGCAATCAGAAGGTTACGAGTGGCAGTCTCGGTTGGGGTTGAGTTTGCCCATCACACCACACCTCGTGAATCAGAAAAATAAGTACCACTTTGTGGAAGGTCAACAACAGTGGTTGTCTTTGGAGAGACTGACCCCTGCCATAGGAATGTAGAATTCCCAGCGCTGGCTCACGGTCACCAATAGCGATGCACACCGCACAGCAGCAATATTTTGAGAAGGGAGTTTCCTTTAGGACTTGAATTTGTATCGTTTTAAAAAAACGTCATGTTTAACTTTGAAAACTTGAGCAGCAGCGTTATCAGGTTGACAGAGTCGATTAGGCTCTGGTAAATGTCTGCAAATCAGCACCGGATTGTTCAGACCTCAGCGGCGCGGGTGGCGGCTCTGCAGCAACTCGGCGATGTTTCACGATAAAGGCCCCGAGTCTGTTGCGTTAAAGTTCCGTGGTTGGCACGCAGACATCAGGGCAGTTTACAAGTTGTTGGTGAGAGTCTGCATCGTGTTAAATTGTGCTAGCACTTGTCCGATTAGGCTTTATTGATGATGCCAATATCAAGATTGTTTAATTTTTTACCAAATGTGCCAACAGTGATGCTGTACATGTGACATGCGCGGTTTATTAAAGAGGACTGCTCCTAACGTGATGTTCGCACGTCCGAGTTGTCGTGGCCGGGGTCGTTACGTGGTCACCCCCACGTCACGACGCCGCTCGACGCTCCGCACCACAAACCCGTGGCAGGACGCGAGGCCACGTGATGACCAATGCCACCACCGGTGTCAGCTGCCTGGCAACCCGGGAGGGGTAGAGATGCGCCTGCGTCGTGTGGCAGTGAGCCAGAGCCACCGAGAGAGGGGTCCGTGTATGAATGGGACGATGAGTCAGAGAGCGTTATTGACTGCATGTGGGAGGCTCCCGATGACACTAGGAACTCGGCACCGGAGAATTGGCGGTCTCCGTTCGTCACTGAAGGCTGCACAACGCGCTTGGTTTAGTATTTGTCCGAGCAAGTTGTGAATGAACGAAGGTGCACGAAAGCGCTTTTTTTCAAGCGCTAGGGGAAGAGCAACTTCGTGTTGGGCAAGAGCGCGGTGTTGGCCACCCACCCCTCGTGTGCTGTGCTGGCCTTCTTCATAGGTGCTCACGAACAGCATTTCCCGCAACAGTCTGGAAGCAGAGGACAGGGGCAAGGAGCGGTCTCTGTATATCTGCTACCACGCCTAAACGAGACGGGTTGGCAAGTGACCGTGCGGGTGGTGCCGCAGCGGGACGCGTGGGGGTGCAGGGGACGTCCCAGAACCTCGCCCCAAGCCCGAACCAGCGCGAGGCACCACGACACGCGCGTGGTGGCGGCGGCAGTCGGCAGCGATGACTCCCGTGCACGACGTCTCCCGGATTGCACGACGCTCCGTCGCAATTTGTAGGTGAATGTGGAACTAGATCAAACCCACGCATCGACGAAGAGAACACTCGTTACACGTTTGCAGCGCTGCCCCCCCATTCTGCACCCCCCCTCCCCGCTCTGCCCACCCCACCCACTCTGCCCCCCCCTACTCTGCCCACCCCCCCCCACTCTGCCCACCCCACCCACTCTGCCCACCCCACCCACTCTGCACCCCCCCCCAACTCTGCACCCCCCCCAACTCTGCCCCCCCCCCGCTCTGCCCCCCCCGACTCTGCCCGCCCCCCCTACTCTGCCCCCCCCTACTCTGCCCCCCCCCTCTCTGCCCACCCCACCCATTCTGCCCCCCCCACCCACTCTGCCCCCCCACTCTGCCCCCCCCCCCCCACTCTGCCCCGCATGGCGCCGGTGCCTTCACCTTGGGCGTGCGACTCCGGCTCGCGACTCCCCCCCCCCCCCCCGGGCGTGGACTCCCCCCCCCCCACCTGCTGCTGGGCAGCGTCGTGGCACAGCTTGCTGGCTCTCTGGGAAACGTCTCCCACATCCCGCGCGTGAATCTGCACGAGGAATCCACGTAGAACCAACACGAAGCACGCCCGCGTGACGTAGGACTCCGTTCCGATCTCTCTCCCTGGGATTCACCCGATTCAAATCGAGGGAGGGAAATTCTGCCCCGCCCTCACCGAACATCAGCAAGGTCACAGCACGAGCACGATACCCCCACCACCCCACACACTCGTTGCTACCACTCGCGAACGGGGCCAAACCGGACTTGGCCGAGCCGGGCCGGGCTGGTCTGGAGAGCGTGGTTGCCTCGCTGCTCCAATGTCCTGCCGGGCGTTGGGCAGAAACCCACGCCGACGCTAGAGTCTCTCAGTCCAGGCCCGAACCGGAAAGGCTGCATTTCTCTCCACGTGTCCACAATTGTTTTGTCAACGACTGGAAAAGCTGAGTTCAACAACACACGGGAACAGCGGGGAGTCGCGTGTTGGGCCGTGTAGCCAGTCACATAGAATGCCAAGCGCTGGAATGCAAAGTGTTAAATCCGATAAGCTCCAACCGCTGGAAACGAACAACGTTAATCATTGGAAAACTCACACGAAGGTGACACTGTTTAGGAAATGGCGGAGCCCAGACGCGTGTGAACAAGTCGAGCAACCTCTGCGGCCGAATGGAATTTCCATGAAATGGTGGCAATGTCCTGGCACGCGTCGCACGTGGCCTTCACCACTCGTTGCACTTAAACAATGAGAGGCCAGAAACACGCAGCCAATATCCAGAGTCCACGAGGCAGGGGAACTGAGACGGCTCTCAACAATGGATTCAATTCCCCAGAGATGCAAGATGATGAATTTGTTGTCGACATCAGATGCAATGAGATAACGATATCACAACAATTGACAGCACACTGAAAGTAGAGGGGCAGGGGGTATATGAAACCACAAGTATGTAGAATAAAAGAGAAAGCAGAATGAAAAGGAATGCACAAAGGCAACAATATCTACGGCACAGAGCACTCCGCGAAAATATTGGGGAAACTCTGAGAACGCGAGGAAAATAACTGGAGTTAGCCACAACAGGAACGGGAGCGTGAAAGCATTAACACGGAAGTTGATCAATCAGAGAGAGTAACAATAGTTACGTTTTTATATCGCGTTGTTTATGCAAAACTGCACCGCACCGCTTTCACGCCACCATTGTTGATGAAATTCTCAATCGTGGTCGTCTTGTGTTCTCCATTTTATTTTCTTAATCGCTTGAGAGTTGTGTTAAACCTTTGATGTAGCATGTCCGTATATTTCTCGTCTTCCTCAACATGCTTTGTTCCGCTTGCTATATAACTGGACTTTCTATGCACTATTCGTTGTATCTATGTTGAACTTCTTTTGCACCGTACGTAGCCAACCGTGCTCATCGGTGGTGCAAACGATGTTTGTGTGGTAAATTAGTTTACTGTAGAGTGCTACGAATAAAGGGCCATTCCCAAACATCACCTCTCCGCTTCCCTTGCATGGCAGTGTTATGATGAAATGTGTTGAGTTGTTGTAGAATGTCGGCAGTGATGGGTGGCTGTGCCTTTTTCAAGCACGCATCATCAGTGACACGGAATAAAAATATCTGGATTAGTACAATTTTATTTCTTAAAAACCGCGGAAATTATTGAGATCACAACAAACTGTTATCTTTTTCTAGCTGACGAGACAGTACAATTTCGACCCCTGCACGTCTGCTGGCGTGCATTACACAGCAGGCCTGCCACCCTGCCCCAGTCACCCAGCTCGGCTCTGCCCTGCTGGTATCTGCACTCAATTCGTGTCACCTCAAATGCCAACTCAATGGCTGCGTAACAGGGCAGTATCGTCGTCACCGAGACCTGGATGCCAGTTCTGGTTTGGCTACACTGCAGAGTTGTCTTTAAAAACACACCTACCAAGCTTATACCAGGGATGCACATGATGATGATTTTAAATGCAAAACAATATATGCCCGGGCAGTCGGGAAGGAATACTGGATTTCCTTGCTTTATGCGGGAGTAGATGCATTCCAAGAGCGCACAAAGTGAAATCGCATACTATAGACCACGCAGTCACGCAACCCATAGCGCACCGCACGACAGCTGCCTGCTGAGTAGCGTGTACAGTACCTACAATGTTGCCCCACGTCCGACTAAATAGCCGCATGCGAGTGAATTAAAACCGCATGAAGGGAATTTAAGGTAGAAATACGTTAGCCGCAGATACGCGAAATCACACAAACCATACCCGCATAAAGCGAGAGAGAGAGACCTGTAATCACTGCATAAGCAGCAAAGATACACCGTGATGACTTGCAGCCATTAATTCACTGTACTTGCGATGTTTAAAATACAGTAGATATTTCAAAGCATCAATAAAATGAACCAAAATATTCAAACATTGTGTAATGGGCCATCTTAAAATAAAATATTCTCTGCAGAATATAAGTGCACTTTAATAAACTGCTATTATAAGTTATAAACATGTGTCCAGTGTAAATCTCTCTTTGGATTAATATTCATCATAAATAGTTCAACCACAAGTGACACCAGCAAATGTTTGCACTCTCAAATATTCCAAACCAAATACAGAATAAAAGCAGGCTTGCCATAATAAATTAAATCTTGACTTAAAGCTTTCATGACTGCAGTAATTTATATTCTTGGGTCTTTCGGTAAAGTCACGTAGATAGAAACATAAAAAATAAATTACGTTTCGATCGCAACACAAGCAATCGTCTTCAGGTGAAAAATACGATCGCTCATGTTGCGATCGAAACGTCGTGATTTATTACAATTATGTTTCTATCTACGCGGCTTTACCGAAAGACCCAAATAATATTAATAAATTAAGCTACGTAATCTTCCATTTCTTCCAAAAGACTTTCTAAAATATATTTCTTTTCAGAATGGTGCAATAAAGACAGCAAACTTAGGAACTCAAATGACTGCTATCATTGCAAGGACTGTCAGCTTGGTGACAGCCATGGGTGGCACGCTCGGTGAGGCGCGCTGGCTGGAAACAGATTGTCCACCAAGAGACCGTGACGTTGTCAGGAATGTTGGCACTTCTGGTTCGTAACGTGTCTGAACACATAAGGCAGTTTATGGTGACATTGGCCTGGTACCCCAATACAAGTAGGGCTTAAAATATAATTATTTTTTTTGGTAAAGCAAGATTTAAAATCATATAATCATTACTTCCCTTAATTTTATCCCTAGATAGATTTTTGGAGGGAAATATATAATTTCAAGTTTTGTAAACCCACTGATTTCAAGGTCCCCTTATGGCGTGTTGGTTGGGAAGGTTGTTTGACCATACTTCACCACACTGGTGAGTGGGGATTGGTGAAGGGAAGCAAGGACTGGTTTGGAAATCACTCACCAATGTTAGTTGTGACGGGGAATTTAACTCGGGTTGCCAGGCTCATAGCGCAGTGTGCTAAGCACTGCACCACCACTGCACACACCTCATTTTAGCTCCAGCTGCACGCTAATATATATATAACGATGCACATGCAGCCTCCCAGATACAAATTGTTAAAATGATTAAGAAATACGGGGATGAGATGAAGAAACCCATTGTGGTGCGAACATCTGCCATCACACGTGGGGGGGGTGGGGGGGGTTACGATGGACAAGCAGAGCGGGACACAAGGGACTGTGTGCTGGTCAGTGCAGATTGCTGCACATGCTCGCTGCACCTGCTTGCTGCGCTGCCTACACAAGTGCCTGCAGCTTATAATGCAATGCATAGGAGTTTCTGACAGTATGAAAAATACAGTATGAAGCCGAGCCTGCTTCCAAAGAATACAAAATTGTATACAAATAATGAACACCATCCAAGAGGGAGGGTTTCAAAGAGTTTTTAAAACAAAAGCATGACTTTATATAACATATGGACCCATTTCTCCAATGTGCAAAATTTTGTACAAAAGGACTCTCGCGTTCCCCAGATGCCGAAGTTACACTGTGAATGAAGAGTTGTTGTGTGCGTCAGCTTGGGTTGTTGAGGTCGTGGCTGGGGAGGGCACGTGGGCCTCCTCTTCATCCCCACGGCCCTCTCCTCCCATCATCCCCCGTAGGCGTGCGTGCGGCGAGCACGCCTGCGCTCACAGCTCCAGCTCCCCAGAGCGCAGGTAGCCGAGCGCTGCGGACACGTGCTGCGGCATGAAGATGAACGTGGTGTACAGCACCATGGCCATGATGATCACCAGCAGCAGGTCTGAGCGGCACGGTCAAGGGAACGTACCAACCACCACGTGGACCGCGTGCCGGCCACAGACCCCGATCACACAAAGCGCTCGAGCACTCTGCTCGCCACCGAGCAAGAGCAGAATCAACACGGCAGAAGAAAACTTCACTTCTAAGATCATTCATAACGGAGATAATTTAAACACACAAAGTGGAAAAAAACACCAATGGTGGCTCCACGATCAAGATAGAAACATGCATTAGTCTACACTTGAGTATAAATTATGTACTCTAACGTCATACTTGTGTACATTGTGGACGTTTAGGAGTTCTAAAAGGAACACCTGTTTTGGGTTTTCGTGCAATGATATTAGGAATCTGTGAATGCAGCGAGGTACAACCCATCAGCAATGATGGCACCAATACAACACGCGGATCCTGGTGGACCGAGCGGAGTCCACTCAGTTACACGGATGCCGTGGAACGGCAAACACTTAACAACACACAATCGTAGCCTGTTGATCGTTTTTCAAACGGAATGCAAAAGAAGGAAATTGTGAATGCAAATCTGTATGAAAATTAGACAACTGACGCCTCGAGTGGAAGATTTGCTACTATAATGCAAGGAGCAGCTACAAATAAATATTTCACACTACTTCATAACTCCAGTGATGAGGTTGAACGTCAAGAGACGACTCAGATGGGCACCGTTTGATCCACCATGGGCAGCAAAACCTGCTTGTTCAGAAGCAACGAAGCATTTAACAGCGATGCATTCCCAATCAGACGCTGTCATGTCATGAGTTTAACTCGTGCCACAAGCCACGCGGTTAGCTTGCCAAGGGAGGTGCTGAGAACGGCTTCTGATCCGCACGCCCCTGCCAAAGGACCTCGCGTAATTTATTCACTCAGCTTCGGTGAGAAACAGAAAGCCTCCTCGACATCAGACTCCTGCAGAACGTGATTTTTATGGACAGGGTGAAGCACCACGTGGCTTCCCTTTGGTCACAGTGACAGAGGCATCACGTGCGACTAATCTTATTATCCTCAATTCAATTTACCCGCAATTATCTCATCCTGCTAAGGCTGCACTTGCCATGCAGCCTCCCAGACGCGTCGTCCACAGCGGCGACAAGGAAGCCACCTCTCTCACGACTCACGGAAGAGAGTGCGGGCCAACAAAGCAAGACCCAAGCTCAGGTGACATTACCCAAGAACAGGTTGGGTGAGTCACATCACCCCCCCCCTCTCATGGCGGGGATGCCCTGTGCAGTCAGAACCAGCACTCAGCACACCCAGCCCGCTCTCACAGCAGAATCATCACTCGCCACAAATATTGACTTACATCGCTCCCACCACAAACCTATGGTGAACCATATACCAAAACTCCCTTCTTTATAGCCTTAACACACTGCTGGGACAAGTGCTGTTAGCGAGCACCTATGAAGGACGGCATGGTACATGATGGGGGGGGGTATTTGTGGCCAACACCGCACTCAACCGCCTTTGTCTCGTCACACCAGGAACTCATTTGAGGCTGAGTCGACCGAGGGGAGAGGCCCAAGACTGGTTCAAATAATCGTCACTGGTGTTGGCCGTGATTGTAAATCGACCTCGAGTGTTAAGGGTTCGTAGCGCAGCGAGCGAACCGCCACACGACCGATCTTGCTAATCCCATAATAACCATCACCATCGCAACCACCACACCCCGATCCTACACTCAATCACTTAACACAGCACTCATCACAACCACACTCATCACTCTCCACAATAATCACAGTCACTTTATCACCACTGCACAGCCTGTGCGGCACGAACTTTAGAAGGCTCATGTCACGGCTCTTGGCGTGTGCCTCACGTTCCCTCCTCCTCCTCCTCATCACCACCACCACCAGACCTCACGCTCCCCACTCCTCATCAGCACCACCACCACCACCAGACCTCACGCTCCCCACTCCTCCTCATCAGCACCACCACCACCAAACCTCACGGACTTTCAAACGACGTCCATTTGAGGCCCCTGAGGGCCGAGGCGAGGGCAAGAGACACAGCGAGCAGTGTGACTGTGGCCATGCTACCCACACTGTGCATCGTAGGGTAAACCCGCAGACACAGAGATGCGTACACGCGGACACCCGCAGAGATATTGGACATTAAAGGCAAGCAACAGTAGCGCAGTGCAACCCAAACTCAAGGCCGTGTGGTCTATCACTGCAGTCCGCACCTCCGAGTAGCTCGGCTGGCTACAGCGCACGCCGCGACGTTCACGACGTAGACACACAACGAGGGGGGGGGGGGGGCAGAAGGACGACACGAACTCTCTCCCTGCTGAAGCCCTCTCGTCGTGGTGGGCAGCAGCAACAGCGTACCGCGACATCGCAATCCGAGCCCTGCCCGCGGCGCTCGCAGTGCTGCTGCTGCTGCTGCTATTACACGCGGGGACAGAGCCCGTGCGGAACCCTCGCGGGCGTGAGGGCGAGTCGAGTTCAGCGAGTCGAGTTCAGAGTGTACTTCAGAGTCTAGTTCAGTGTCAAGTTCAGAGTCTAGTTCAGAGTCTAGTTTAGTGTACTTCAGAGCGCACCGCGCCAACGACTGTTCGCACCCAACACCTCCCCGCGCCCATGGCCCAGCAAGCCAGACTCGCGCTGTTCTCTCTCTCTCACGCATTCATTCGCAGTGTCCTCAACTTGACAGCTCAGCCAGCAGAGTCGCGTGTGGATGGTGAGAGCAGAGAGTGGGAGCGAGAGGCGACTCGAGCGAAGAGAGAGTGACGAGAGCAAGGCGAGGGCGCATGGAGGGCGCGAGTCGGAAGTGGGGAACCAGTGAGCAGGGAGAGGGGCACGAGGAAGGAGCCGTGAGAGCGCCGCGCGGTCGAGGGAGCTGGGGGGGGGTCCCGATGTCCGCAGCGGGAGGATACTGAAGGCGGCGCGCTCCCAGGGCTCGAGCATGTAGAGCGCCGTGACGAGCAGGTACTGCGTGTAGAGCGCCGAGAGGCTCCGCGAGGCTCCCGCCATGCCGAGCGACTGCGCGTGTCGCGCCCCGTGCGTGGCGCGCGCCGCTTCCTGTCAGCCCGACGGGAGGGGGCGGGGCACCGGGGGGGGGGGGCACCGGGGGGGCGGGGCACCGGGGGGGGGCACCGGGGGGGGGGGGGCACCGGGGGGGGCGGGGACACGACTCGGTGACCCCGCCCCGCCAGGTGCAGCGCGCGCGCCGCGGGGGGTCACGTGCTGACCACGTGAGCAAGCACGCGCGTCGTCGCCGCGGCAACCGGGGTTGTTTACTTTCCCTGGAACAGCGGTCGCCGTGGTAACGAGGATCAAAAGCGGCGGCATCGGCAGCCGGGACGAGCGGCCAACACGTGAATGAGTTCGCGTTCGGATTTTAAAAAATTAGTTGCTGCCATGGTGACACGCGGATGCGCCTTCGCAAGTTTCAGCTCAGCATGTTATTTTACGACCACGTGACAGCACGGACACGTGACAGCACGGACACGTTCTGTCCCGTGATGGTGGGGTGGGGGCAGGCGGCAAGTCGCGGTGACCCCGAGGCGGCTGCGTCTCCACCCCCCCCCCCCGTCACGCGGCCTCGTGACTCCCGCCTCGCGCGTGCGTCACGGGGACGTCACGTGACTCCGCCCCGCGCGTCGTGTCACGCCACCGACGTCACGTGACCACAGCCTCGCGCGCGTCACGTGACTCGTGATTGACACGCGTCGCCGTGGGGGGTGGAGGGTGGGGGAGAGCTGACAGCAGCAGCCAATCACCGATGAGAACGCGCCTGGAGGGGCGGGGCGTGAGCGGGGCCTGCCCTTGTGTGGGCACGGGGCGGGGCGGAGAGAGGCCGAGACGGGGCGCCGCGCTTCCCGGGCTGCTCTGGGCCAGGTGCGTTCGGCGGCGCTCTGTTGACCTGCAGCCCGCCGCAGACACCCGCAACCACCACAGAGACCCGCAACCACAACCACAGACACCCGCAACCACCACAGAGAACCACCACAGAGACCCACCACAGAGACCCACCACCACCGGTCTCTGTCCGCTGCACCCGAATGCCATTGGGCCACACGAGAGAGACTGCACGCGCTGCACCCGCGCTATCGGAGAGGAACTTCTCCCCTTGTAGGTTCCATACAATCTGCTCGCATTGTCACACGCTGTGTGTCTTGAAGTCTAATTGTATCTCAGTCATCCATTATTTGAAAGATGTAATCGCATAGACAAGAGGTTTTCTCCCCTAAGAACGCCGTTAATCACATGAAATGTATTAATTGTGGGGAACGGTGACGCAGTGGTTGGTGCAATGTGGTATCTGCCAGTGAGCCGTGTCCGACGATTGTCCGTGGCTACGCCAGTGGCAGAGAGATCTGAACCGGCCCTGGGCACCCTCTTTACCGGGCCGCACTGACGGGCATGGTGAAGTATGGTCAAATAGCCACGTTACATGGAGTGATAAAAGGGTGGTAACTTACGCTCAATTATGTTTTGCGGAACGACTTGTTGCATCATGTCAGCCATATATCGAATGGCCTTCCCGTACGTTTGGGCACTTCAGAGTGGAGTACGCTGACTGGCCTCGGGGGGCACGGGGAGTGTCGTGTTCCCTGTGTGTCGTCCACCTCCCCGGGGTGACACGAGGCCGAGTCACTGTGCCCCATCCGCGTGTACGCGGCGCCACAGGATGGGCCGCCTCGACGGGAAGGTGGTGGTCCTCTCCGCCGCGGGACAGGGCATCGGCAGGGCCTGCGCCATCGTGAGTGCCGCCTCCACCGCACGCGCATTCATCCAATGGACCCCAATCACTCACCACTCTCACTCCCCACCCACTCACCACCCACTCACCACTCACTCCCCACTCTCTCCCCACCCACTCCCCACTCACTCCCCACCCACTCCCCATCCACTCCCCACTCTCTCCCCACTCTCTCACCACTCACTCACCACTCACTCCCCACTCTCTCCCCACCCACTCCCCACCCACTCACCACTCACTCACCACTCTCACTCCCCACTCTCTCACCACTCACTCACCACTCACTCCCCACTCTCCCCACCCACTCCCCACTCTCTCCCCATCCACTCACCACTCACTCACCACTCTCACTCCCCACTCTCTCACCACTCACTCACCACTCACTCCCCACTCTCTCCCCACCCACTCCCCACTCTCTCCCCATCCACTCCCCACTCTCTCCCCATCCACTCCCCACTCTCTCACCACTCACTCCCCACTCTCTCCCCACCCACTCCCCACTCACTCCCCACTCTCTCCCCACCCACTCTCCACTCTCTCCCCACCCACTCCCCACTCACTCCCCACTCTCTCCCCACCCACTCTCCACTCTCTCCCCACTCTCTCCCCACCCTCTCTCCACTCTCTCCCCACTCACTCCCCACCCACTCTCCACTCTCTCACCACTCACTCCCCACTCACTCCCCACCACTCCCCACTCACTCACCACTCTCTCCCCACCCACTCCCCACTCTCTCCCCACTCACTCACCACCCACTCCCCACTCACTCACCACTCACTCCCCACTCTCCCCACTCACTCCCCACTCACTCACCACTCACTCACCACTCACTCCCCACTCACTCCCCACCCACTCCCCACTCACTCACCACTCTCTCCCCACCCACTCCCCACTCTCTCCCCACTCTCTCACCACTCACTCACCACTCTCACTCCCCACTCACTCCCCACTCTCTCACCACTCACTCCCCACTCTCTCCCCACCCACTCTCCACTCTCTCCCCACTCTCTCCCCACCCACTCCCCACTCACTCCCCACTCTCTCCCCACCCACTCTCCACTCTCTCCCCACTCACTCACCACCCACTCCCCACTCACTCACCACTCACTCCCCACTCTCCCCACTCACTCCCCACCCACTCCCCACTCACTCACCACTCTCTCCCACCCACTCCCCACTCACTCCCACTCTCTCACCACTCACTCACCACTCACTCCCCACTCACTCTCACCCACTCCCCACTCACTCACCACTCTCTCCCCACCCACTCCCCACTCTCTCCCCACTCACCACCCACTCCCCACTCACTCACCACTCACCTCCCCACTCTCCCCACTCACTCCCCACTCTCTCACCACTCACATCACCACTCACTCCCCACTCTCCCCACTCACTCCCACTCTCTCACCACTCACTCACCACTCACTCCCCACTCACTCCCCACCCACTCCCCACTCACTCACCACTCTCTCCCCACCCACTCCCCACTCTCTCCCCAATCACTCACCACCCACTCCCCACTCACTCACCACTCACTCCCCACTCTCCCCACTCACTCCCCACTCTCTCACCACTCACTCACCACTCACTCCCCACTCACTCCCCACCCACTCCCCACTCACTCACCACTCTCTCCCCACCCACTCCCCACTCTCTCCCCACTCACTCACCACTCACTCCCCACTCTCCCCACTCACTCCCCACTCTCTCACCACTCACTCACCACTCACTCCCCACTCACTCCCCACTCACTCCCCACTCACTCACCCACTCACTCCCCACTCACTCACCACTCACTCCCACTCACTCCCCACTCTCTCCCCACTCACTCCCCACTCTCTCCCCACCCACTCCCCACTCTCTCCCCACTCTCTCCCCACTCACTCACCACTCACTCCCCACTCACTCCCCACTCTCTCCCCACTCACTCCCCACTCTCTCCCCACCCACTCCCCACTCTCTCCCCACTCTCACTCCCCACTCACTCACCACTCACTCCCCACTCACTCCCCACTCTCTCCCCACCCACTCCCCCACTCTCTCCCCACTCTCTCCCCACTCACTCCCCACTCTCTCACCACTCACTCCCCACTCACTCACCACTCACTCCCCACCCACTCCCCACTCACTCACCACTCTCTCCCCACCCACTCCCCACTCTCTCCCCACTCACTCACCACCCACTCCCCACTCACTCACCACTCACTCCCCACTCTCCCCACTCACTCCCCACTCACTCCCCACTCTCTCACCACTCACTCACCACTCACTCCCCACTCACTCCCCACCCACTCCCCACTCTCTCCCCACCCACTCCCCACTCTCTCCCCACCCACTCTCCACTCTCTCCCCACTCACTCCCCACCCACTCTCCACTCTCTCCCCACTCACTCACCACCCACTCCCCACTCACTCACCACTCACTCCCCACTCTCCCCACTCACTCCCCATTCACTCCCCACTCTCTCACCACTCACTCACCACTCACTCCCCACTCACTCCCCACCCACTCCCCACTCTCTCCACTCACTCCCCACTCTCTCACCACTCACTCACCACTCACTCCCCACTCACTCCCCACCCACTCCCCACTCACTCACCACTCTCTCCCCACCCACTCCCCACTCTCTCCCCACTCACTCACCACCCACTCACCACTCACTCCCCACTCTCCCCACTCACTCCCCACTCACTCCCCACTCTCTCACCACTCACTCCCCACTCACTCACCACTCTCTCCCCACCCACTCTCCACTCTCTCCCCACTCACTCCCCACCCACTCCCCACTCTCGGGTCCCCATCGCACCCTCGACCACATCCAGCGCCGTCCGTTGGGGAGTGCGGGGCCGTGGGAAATCCCACTGTGTGGGCCCCCGACGCCTTCACACTAAATCGGAAGTATCACATCTGGCACTGTGACGTCGAAGCGCCCCCCCCCCCCCCACACAAAAGCTCGGGCCCGGGGCGATCGCTCCGATTCGCTGTAGCCTAGGGACGGCTCTGCCCAAATATTCAATTCTTTGCTCGTCAATCTAAGCTTGTCTCTCACCTCCTGCCTCCTCCACCAACCTCAAGAGTGCTGACCCTACACAAGGGCCCTGGTTATTGCGGTTGACAGTTTTTACAGTTTCAAGATTCCGTCTTGCTCCAACGGTAAAACCCGCAGATTGCAGATGCTGGTTTACCTTGCAGCAAGTCCGGTTGCAACTCATTGTTATCCTCTTAATAGGATGGACATCGTTGTGCTTTTTGGAGCTTATGCGGCCAATCTACTAATGCACACACCACTGCATGTGGCCGCTTCCCTCACCGCTTGCAAAAACACCACAGGCATTTGCGAAAGAAGGGGCCAAGGTGATTGCCACAGACATCAATGGGGAAGCCCTGAAGGAGTTGGAGCAAATTCCAGGTATGCAATCACATGCACAAATTGTAGACTTGTCACTTTGAGGGTCATAAATAAACACGGAGGTGCCAAGTTTCTTTTTTTACGCTGTCTTCATACCGTACGTGGACTTGGGTGTGCACGGACAGCCTTTAGTCAGTCAACTGCGGGCTGGGGGACTGTCCACACTCTGTGGCTCGTGGGAATTGTTTGACGATACTTTATCCTTCACGTTCGTGTAGGTGGGGAGCATCGGCACGGAGTACAGTCAAATATGATGTTGCTGTATTGCCTTCTGCTGGCCACCTATTGTGCACGGTGGCCCCCATCCCAGTACTATCCAGGTCCAGTCCTATTTCTGAGATCCGATGAGATACGGGTACATTCCAGGTGATTTGATTAAGGCAGATACTTGGATAATCTTGTTTAATGAGTAAAATTACCATTCCTTCGTACGTGCATAACCACACACAGAAACCAGTGATTCAAAGTGCCGTCTTCTTGCTTGTGTTGGTGGTGAGCGGTGCTCAACTCTGCACCTGAGCCACGCGTGGAAATTACACGTCCTACTGAGCCATTCTCTCCACAGGATAACCACTGTCCACTTGCTACAAAGTGGTACTTTATGGGATTCTCCCCCCTTTCCCCAGCCCACACTGACCAGCATGGTGAAGTATGGTCAGACAATCCCCTTGGCTGGCAATGTATGGGGAGTTATTTGTAAAGTAATTATAAATTAGATGGATAATGCATTGTACCTCTTTGCGTTGGAATATGGTGAAGTGCAGGCATAGAGGTTGGAGTCCTGAATGTGACGAGCAAGGATCAGATCGAGGCTCTCGCTGCCAATATTGACAAAGTGGACGTCTTGTTCAACTGTGCAGGGTACTGACAATGCAAGAATGAGCCCGTATCGTCGTGCATACGTCACACTCTAACTGAAGAACGTTCTGATATAAACCAGACGACACTGATTCCCAATATATTCATCAACACGAGGCTTGCACTTAATTTGTGTTTGTCTCTGTAATAAAACCTCAATCAACTCAGTAATAGTTAAAATTGTCGAAATGTAATTTGATATAGATTTTTACAAAAGCAGTCGGATTGTGCCTTATAACCCATACTGAGGCAAAATGTATCCCCTGTTCAAACTGTAATGAAACCTGCCCCAGGCAGTCCTCATCCTAGTTAACCATAATGCACAAGTGGTGGAAACTCCACAATTCTCTGGACTGATTTAAAATAAGTCTCATCAGAATCGTGGTGAAATAGATCAATGTCGATTACTTGCTTACACACAATCTCCCACAATGGCAACATAAAACTATTGGACAATGTCTAACAGTTGTCTGCCCAATTGGGCAGCACTCGCCTGCGATGGCACCTTGAATCAGTGGTGGAGATTCGGCGTGACCCAAGACGACCTCCGCTGACTTCCCAAAAAGTGGCACTCATTTCATTGACCAGATAAGCGGCCCTGAAAGCCGTGGCTACGATTTGAACTCTCGCAGCCTTCCGACTGCGAGCCGGGTGCAGCATGACCACATCGTCCTTGGCCGACTTGTAAACCATTCATCTACACGCAACCATTCCACTCTTAACACCCTGGAGCACACGCAGTTTGATTAGGTGCTCATTTATTATTGTACTCTGCACAGGTTTGTCCACCATGGAACTATTTTGGACTGCGAGGAGAAAGACTGGGATTTCACCATGAACCTCAACGTTAAGGGGATGTACTACATGATCCGTGCGTTCCTACCCAAGGTACCCTGAACATTGAACGTGGATGTGAGTTGGTTACACATATGTGTTTACTGGTGCCTTGACCACCATTGGTGATTGGAAATCCTGACAATGGACTAAATATGAAAGTCGAAACTCAGGTTCTAATCGAATAGGACATCAATAATCTCGAGATGGCTGGTCGGTGTGATGAGGCACTCGGCTATTACGAGGTGAGGGGTATAGGGCATACGGAGAGTTTATCAGCTGACGATGATCATGGCCTCCGGTTATGGATTCAACAATCGACCAATTTCCCAGAACCCATGTTGGTTCCTTTCATGCAGATGCTGGCTCAGAAGTCGGGCTCCATCATCAACATGGCATCTGTGGCATCCAGCATCAAAGGTGAGAATAAATTACCGAGACTTATTCATGTCAATTTGTTTCCTGTGCTATATTGTCATTTGTGGAATTGGGTAAGGTATCCCATTTAAATTTACACTCACTGAATTGTCTAAAAAGTGGGCCAGTGTGGAGCAGTGTCTTGCTATTGATAGGAACCTCTGGTTATGGGTGGCGGTGGATCTTCTCAAGGTTGCTGGCTGCTTGGTGTTCAACTCGCCCTTGTTCGTGTGCTCGCAGGCGTGGCCAACCGCTGTGTGTACAGCACCTCAAAGGCGGCCATCATAGGACTCACAAAATCTGTGGCTGCGGACTTTTTAACGGAAGGCATTCGCTGCAATGCTGTCTGTCCTGGTGAGTGAAGTTCGTTCTGAACAGCGTTCTAATCCCGTCGTTCACAAGACCAGGCCATTTCTTCAGGCCCCCTTGAGGACCGGTTAGGCCTTTGCCTGGATCTTGCGAGTCTTTTTACTTGTATCAAGGCCTTGCTGTCAAAGTAATTCTAAATGTCCTCACTTCAATCAGGCTAGAGCTCCATATGACAGGGTTCACGCTCAGCTTCCCTTCGTGCTGCCTCAATGCTGTTGTCCCGGAGTCTTGTGTAAGACGCAATCGTCAGTGTTCGAGTCGACCGATCTTGTCAGAAAAGTGACATAGCCACACTCGTGAAATAACAGCTGAATTGGAAGATGTCGTTCCGCTTGAGTCTTGTGATGGGATTGAGTGACACGCGTTGTTGGGTTGTTCTCTTGCAGGCACGGTGGACACTCCGTCACTGCAAGAGCGCATCAATGCTCAGCCTGACCCAGAAAAGGTAGAAACTCAGCTGTGCTTAAGTGTTACCGAGTGACACTCTTGACACTTAGGTGGAGAGACACACTTGCGCTGTCGAGTACATCGGTACCACCAGGGGAATGGCAGAGCACCTCCAGTGAATCTCAATCTCACAATCGAAATTGGATTTGCTTTTCTGCATCCTTCACAAATAGGATGAAATCTGCGTTAGTAAACAAGATTTATTTATTTCAGAATAAGAATTATTTGTGATTGTGCTCAATGTATTGCATTCTCTTGTCACGAGTTTGTGTCGCAGCCAGAAAGCGCATGGCCATGACTCAAGGACCATTGTCTCCTGCACCCTGAAGCCATAAAACCATGCTTATGACAAGCATTAATAATAATAATACAATTTGTAACGCGCGCAAATTTGCAGACGTAGTGGCCGCAACTCAGAGGCGCGGAGCCAAGCTCAGAGTCGCTCAAAAGCATGATTGTAGAGGTGAGTTTTTAAGTGTCTCTTGAAGGAGGCGATTGAGGTGATGCTGCGAATGTGCAGAGGGATATCGTTCCAGACTGTTGGGGCTGCCACCGAGAAGCGGCGCGTAGACATGACCATCCTGGATCTTGGTATTGAGAGGAGGTCGTGAGTCGCGCTGCGCAGGCATCTGCCATGTGCTGAGCTGCAAGTTGTCAGTAATGAAGAAAGATATGGCGGGCAGGTGGATATGAAGGCATTGTGGCAGAGGCAGGCGGTCTTGTATGTGACCCTACTGGCAATGGGGAGCCAGTTGAGAGCGCGGAGACGAGCTAGTGAGTCGAGGCGGGGATGAGTGTGGGCAATGACGACGCGTGCTAGGTTATTTTGTAGTCTTTGAAGCTTCCTTAGGTTGCCAGCGGAGGTCCGGACAAGGACGGAGTTACAATAGTCAAGGCGAGACCCAACTATGCAACATGCCAAAGTGTTGGCAATTTCAGTAGAGATGAGAGGACGTATGTGTCTAAGAGCCTTCAGGTGAAAGTTACATGAGCTGATGATATGGTTGGTTTGACGGTCGAAGGATAAAGTTGAATCTAGGATGACACCGAGGTAGCTGAAGTGGTTGGTGAACTTGATGCTATGACCAAAGATGTGTATGTGTGTGGGGAGTGCTGCTGAATTGAGACGTTGCTTGGTACCTAACATGATGGCCACTGACTTTTTCGGATTAAGGGCTAGGTTGTGTGCAGTGAACCATTGTTGCACGGCGGTGGTACATTCCGAGAGCCTCTCGAATCCAGATGCATTGCTAGAATCGATGGCGGTGAATAGAATCGTGTCATCCGCGTATGAGTGATGCTTAACACCGAAGCTTGCAATGAGTCGGCCGATCGGGGAAGTGTAGGCTGTGAAGAGCAGGGGACCTAGAACAGAGCCCTGGGGAACCCCGCATAATGCTCTTGTTTCAGGCGATGTGGACATGCCCACCCTGACTGAGGATTGCCGGTCAGAAAGGTACGAAGCTATCCACTTGAGTGCTGAGCCGCATATACCGAAGTCGGATTTCAGGAGGGAAGTAAGGAGCGAATGGTTGATGGTGTCGAAGGCTGACGAAATGTCCAGACTTACAAGTGCAACAGTTGAGCCGGAATCAACGATCGTTAAAATGTCATCGAGCACCCTAGTGAGTGCTGTTTCTGTGGAATAGTTTTGACGGTAAGCTGACTGGAAGTTGCAGTAGTTTGCGGAGGAGGTGACGTGTGGTTGTAGCTGGGCGAGGGCTAGTCGTTCAAGGAGTTTAGAGAGGTTTGAGAGGTTAGTGATGGGACGATAACTAGATGGGTCATCCGGATCTAGATTTGGTTTCTTTAACAAGGGAGAAACCAGGCCAGATTTGAGGTTGGACGGAAAACACCCCGAAGAGAAGGAGGCATTTGCGATGTTCCTGATCATGATGGCGAGTTCCGGAGCACATTGCTTGAACAAGGAACCTGGGAGCACGTCGAGTGGAGATGACTTCAAAGGAAGTGATTCAATTAAAGCGAAAACGTCTTTTGTAGACACAGGCTTTAGCATAGTTAGAAGAGTGTCTGGGTTAGTGCTTACAATTTTAGGTACCATGAGCGGGGTACAATGGTGCAATGTGTCAGTAGACGTGCACGAGTTTGCGACGGCGATTAGCTTGTTGTTGAAGTAAGTATTAAAAGAGGTGGCAAGTTTCAGTGAGGCAAGGGGATCGCTAAGGTGAGGGACCATGGTGCTACCAGGATGGAGAAGATCTTTGAGAGTTTTCCATAGAATGCGCGGGTTTCCGGTTGCTTTTTTGATGCGTTCCTCAATGTGGGAGGAACGTGAGACAAGGATCAGTTTGTTAGTTTTCCTGCAGGCGACTCTGTAAGCAAGTCGATCAGCAGGTAGACCACTGCGGGATGCGATACGTTCAAGACGCCTCCTGGTTCGCTTAGCAATGATGGCATCTCTTGAGAGCCAGTGAGTGTCGTGAGAAGACTGCCTAGCGGTTCGTGATTTTAATGGAGCTAGTTTGTCCAGCGCCGCCCTCATGTCAGCTTCTAGTTGGAGAGCGCAGACGGTTGGATCCGATGATGGGGATAACATTGAAAGCGAGTTTGCAAGGAGGTGACGAAAAGCAGAAAATTCGATACCCTTAAAATTACGCAAGTTGCGGGTGAATTTGATGGTGATTGGCTTCGGAAAATGGAGGGAAGAAAGTATAAGGCGGTGGTCGGAGTAACCAGTTTGGAAAACTCCCAGTGCAGTGATGCGTCGGTGCTGGTTAGGTTCCAGAACCAGGTCGAGCATGCTCTCAACGTTTGTTGACGAAGCTCTGGTGGAGCCTGAGTTTGTGATGACCAGGTTATGGCAGGCCAAAGTTGACTCAAGGTGACTATCGATGGAGGCTGGGGTATTGCCGGGGCAATTGAAGTCGCCTGTAAGCACGAGCCTGTGAGATGGGTTAGGAATCAGATATAGGAATTCCGAAAGCTCATTTACGAAGGTGTTGATGCTGCCATCTGGAGGGCGATAGATGGAAATAATGTTAAAGCACTCGTTGTTAGTAGTAAGGGATACGGACTGGACCTCGAATGTGGCCTGAGCCATTGGTAGATGGAGCTCTTTAATTTTCAAGTGAGCATTGTAAACGACCGCTAAGCCACCACCCCGCTGGTTAGTTGCGCGAGGTTTATGTAGAACCTTGTATCCTGGGGGCGCAACTTCCAGAGAGATAGCTGGCGGGGAGTCTTGCCTGCACCAGGTCTCAGTGATGAGCAAAAGGTCGATGTGGTGGTCCGAGATGGTATCGTGAATCAGGGCTGATTTATTGGTGATGGAGCGTGCGTTGAGCAGACCGAGGCGGATATGTGAAGGTAGATGTGAAGATCCGTGCAGGTGAGGCGTCGAGGGAACAGAGGAGTTGGCTGGTTTGAGGTCGACCTGTGAACGGCAGCCCCTGCCACCTCTGCAACCACGGTGCCGATGCAGTCTCCGACGTTGGCCTCGGAGAAGCCCAAGGACAGAGAGCGTCCTCAGGAGTGCGGGTTGCAGGTGCAGATGATGAAGAGATGGTGCATGTCGTAGCCCTATTATATCAGCCCGTGCTGCAACGATGGTGCGGATGAAGGGGCCCGGATTCGGATGGACTCCAATCAGCGGCTCAGCTGCCCTGAGCAGCAAGTCGAGGTGTCGTTGTCCAAGCTCCACGCTATCAGCAAGCACTTCCCCGTACGTAGCGGATGCAAACACGCCCGTGTAAACACTCGCTGAGCGCGTACACGGGCGTGCAGAACCACGCAGGCGGGGCGTACAATGGAGCAGCCAGAAGTACACGAAGTCCAGTGGATTAGCTGACCACGCTCTGTGCTCCAGCTCGCAGGTGGTGCAGCAGGATGGACGTACCTCGCAGAGCTCCCGTTCACTGGTGGTGCTGGGCAGCAGGCAAGCCAACTCTCTCGTGTTGAGGAGATGACAGTCTGCTTCGCGTTCCCACTCGCTGATAGTGGTGAACGTTGGACGGAGCACGTAGATCTCCCACTTGCTGGCGATGCTGGGGCACGCCAAGCTCACAGTCGCTGATGGTACCGGAAGAGGTGCCTTGTGAGGACGTTGCTGGTAGAAACCGTGCCCGGGGCGGATGTTAAGCCGCGCCGCATGAACAATACAGCCAGCGTCCTCCAGCTTCGTGAATCGAAGCAACAGGCCTCGTTTACTCGCACTGCCCAACAGCTGTGCGATGCGGCAGTTGAGGCGAGTTGTGTGGCACTGCAGTAAACGGCATTTGTCGGCTGTTGTAGCGCCGCGAGGCGTGTGCAGTGAACACGGAGGCGGGCGGGTTTGGGTGCAGGGATCGGCCGCCACCCAAAACTCGGGCGACGCCAAAGTAATAATGAAAATAATGAAACAAAATAAATTATATGAAAAATGTAATGGAAGATGAAAGTAAGAAGAGTGGTGGTGAGTGAAGAAGGACGTGGGTAAGGTACGAGGTGTGGTTACAGTTGATAAACTGTGAGAGCGATCCGGGACTGCAGCCAGCTGCGCCGCTGTCGCCATGGTATCCATTATGCCTTATTTTGTGCTAATCTGAATTCCTTAATTTTATTTCATCACTAGTTTGTATAATCAAAGACCAACGATGTTTAATGGTAGCCTGTCGCATACTTGGTGATATGAAGGCTCTTGAGAATGAGTTGGTTTATACGTATAAAGTATATTCACCAGAATTAAAAGCTTTATGATCACAAAATGGCCTTTGTACCTGTGCTTTGGAGAGTTGTGAAGGGAAACGTCTCTGCCTCGTGGCTCGACGTTGACCACATGATTGAGTTAAAGTTGAGAGACCCGGAGACCCGGAGTGAGTCCGTGCCGTGTTGTTGGATGCGATGCAGGCGAGGCAGGACTTCATGGCGAGGCAGAAGAGCGGACGGCTCGCCAAGCCAGAGGAGGTGGCTCACCTCTGTGTCTATTTGGCGTCTGACGAGGTACGATCACGCGAGAGTGTAACTCAACGATATATTCAATGTGATCAATTGTACAATCACTTTTCAACGCAGTCGAATAAAATACCTTGGAAATTAAACATTCCCCTTGCTTTAAATCACTATAACAGCAATGCCAATGTATCGTCATCAGTGGCTGTGATATATTTGGGTATTTCATGCCTTTGCCAGTATATTGTGTGAAAAACTGTTTATGTTATAACATTCCACGTGCTATATCACTGCCTGTCAGAATGTTAGAACACTGATTTTGTGCAAAAAGTAAAATGTTACAGAGCGTTGGTGAAATGTCATTCTGAAAACTACGGTTGAAAAATCTGGTGCACTTCCTCGCGCACCACCCAGCTTTTGGGCCCTCCCCCCCCAACCCTGGACGAGGCCTCCTGTAGTGGAGACGTCGTCTTCCAGGGCCGCTCTCTAACGCAGGGTGGTCACACTGCTCACTGTACAAACGTATACATGGGAGGCTGTCACGTGGAGCGCAATTCAACGTAATTGGCTGATGAAGCGCCAACATAATTATTCCTGCACGCACGAGTGCCACCAGGAAATGGGATGTCCTGGGCACACCCAACAGTATCTAACCCTGCGTGGGTTTAGGCCTGCGTTACCAAAGTACGGATTGTGTTTAATTATGCATATTTCATTTTTTGCTGCAGTCTGCCTACGTTACTGGGAATGAGATGGTGATTGATGGGGGATGGAGCCTGTGAAGAAGATTAACATTTGCCTTACATAATCAGATTTTCATTGCAAGCATATTTTTAATTTGTAGTGCAATTATATCCCGAATGTAATGACACAAGTTATGATCATTTCTGCAATGTAATTAAAGCAATCCGCATATATTGCCTCTTGTCATGCTTGGTTTCAGAGTCGATGCCATGGCCGATCTTCTGACACTGCACAGCACTTGCGCCTGTTTGTCACACATTGAAGAGACACACGGGTATTAGCAGTGATGGAGACGGAGTTGTTGGCACATTGCCATTTCAGGAAGATCATTGTGAAGGTCATGAGGATCATTGTGAAGGTCATGAGGATCATTGTGAAGGCACATGAGCTGGTGTGGGGGTGTTGCATACAGATGAGAAGGTCCACGAGAGTGACTGAGATGCCCTTTTGTTGAGGTGTGGAGGCCTGGGAAGGAGGTCAGGAATGATTGAGTTTAGAACGGCCAGGGCAGGAGTCGGATCTTCGTAAAGTTTTGTTTGAAAACATTTATAAATTGAATATACGGTTTTGTTACTCTATATACGGCGAACTGGAAAATTAAAATCGCTTGTGAACAAAATAACTGCAGTCTCGTATCGCCCTGCCGTGGTGGCAGCAGCCACAGCCAGAATTAAATCCTCACGTAGGTTTCGTTGTAGATGAGACAAATTTGGGATAAAAAAATATTGCTTTTCACACGACCCGTGGATTTAAGATTAGCATGAGAACACTGTGCCTACCCGAGTAGCCCCGCCCTGAGCCTGTAATGAAAAAGAGAAAGATGTGTACAACCCCGACACCAGGCTGGAGTCTTCACTCCCCAGGGCTCTCCTTGTTCACACAACTGTGAAAGAGTTGTGTTAAATATTAGGTTACTAATTTCCTCATTTCATTTCAAAGCTGTGGGCGACCAATCTGAAGTCCTTGAGGGACGCTGCAGGCCGGTTTCAGTGAGGCGTTGAATCGGACTGCCGATGGGAAACATGGCAACACCCACAGGTGCATCAAGCTGCAGGCCATGCCAGGGTTGAGATGGCAGAAATGGTCGACCTGTGTCCATCCCTCTCCCGCAAGCCGTGGGCAACGTTGAACTTGTTCACTCCGTAAGCAAACCGCGTAGCCGCTTGTGTTGTCGGGTCGTGGGCATTCGGAGCACGTAGTTGCAGGCCGGCCTCTGTGGCTCCGATGACACCGTTTAGGGACGACAGCCAACTAATGATGCATAACCACACGATGCTTCATTATCTATACGCCAAGTTTTTATTATGGTTGGATCTAGTAACCACACATGTTATATAAACGCCAAACCACATACTGTAAAATTCTAATTTAGCAAAACGGTGCACTTATATGTACACAAATAACACATCCCTAATGTAAAACCATAAAATTCTGGTTATATTGCAGCAACTGTATAAACTGCAACAATGGCAGCACGTTTCTTGCACGAGTATTTGCTGCATCAAACTTCATTCTACTACCGAACAGACCGTTACAGACAAGTTGCCCATCTGTTTGGTCCCACTGTGGAATGGTCGTTATAAAGTTACATGCAGTTGGTACCGTTGCTGAAGGACTGCAGGGACGCACGAGGACGAGTTCCTGTGCACTCGCTTTGTCCCGACAGCTCTCACCAGCACAAAACTGCGACTTCTCTTCATAGAAGACGAGTGGGTGGGAATACTTAAGTTTCAGTTTTTTTCATCCCGTGACAAAATGTGGTTCACACATTAATAACATCAAGTGCTTCTGGTTGTCACCATAATCAACACGGTCTCAAGTACTCCCAGAAGGCTATGTAGCCGATAGGTTGTGTAAAAACTACTTGTGTGTATTTTACGTAGAGACACGTGGGAGGAGGCGTTATTGTATTAACGTTCTCCACAACGGCGCTGTGTTTTGTAACCCGTCTCAGCTTGCTTTAGAAGAGTGGAACGCCATAAAAAGTTCTGCTGGAGCAGAGTTCCACCCAGCCTGTGTGGGGCAAACACCTTAACTACAGATGTTGTGCGTCTCTGACCCGTGCGTGGTGTTCCTTGTGAAGCTGCGGACTGACCCTGTGTCACGCGGGCTCCCGAGGACCGCTCTTAGTGCAGAACGACCACCACTCGCACAGTCAATTCACGGAACCCACAATTCACGAGTTTTAGAGTCTTACACACGAGATTATTTGTACCGACTCTACGAGCATTGTTAAAATGTAAAAGGCTTCACCTGAACACAAATACATAGATGCATCAATATCATCTAGTCGCATAAACAAAATAGTTTGCTCAGATTGGAATAAATAAGCATTCTTTCATTTGCTCCCAGAGCATCACGATATTAAATAAATAAACTATAAACCTCCTACATTTAATGCTCGCAGCAACTCATTTGACTGTCTGCTGGTGCGTCTTCTGGTGAGTCTTCAAATGGCAAAACTGGGAAAACCCTTTCCCACACTCTTCGCACACATAGGGCTTCTCTCCAGTGTGTGTCCTCTGATGCATCTTTAAGTTGGAAATAACCTGGAAAGCTTTCCCACACTCCTGGCACACGAATGGCCTCTCGCCGGTGTGCGTCCTCTGATGAGTTTTCAGGGTGGAGATGCGAGAAAACCCCTTTCCGCACTCCTCGCACATGTACGGCCTCTCTCCCGTGTGGATCATCTGGTGGCTCTGGAGGTGGGAGATCCTGGAGAACGCCTTTCCGCATTCCTTGCACACGTACGGCCTCTCTCCAGTGTGCGTCTTCTGATGCATCTTCAGGTTGGACATCTTGGTGAAGCCTTTTCCACACTCCTCGCACACGTACGGTTTCCCTGGAGCGCAGGCATGTGGGAATGCGGTTAGCATTCGGCACGATTAAACAAAGTAGAGTACGGTTTGTTACGTCATCCTTTCAAAAGTACACACACATCCCTTACAATAAATCCACAGCCATAATCTATCCACTGCTGAATGAAGCCCTTCCCACATCACCATTCCCCCTTACAATCCTGCAATACAATCCAAGTCGATCCTGAACTTCCCTCCCTCCACATCACCTGGGATATCCTGCCGTGTCGTCTATGGTCATTCGCTTTCTCCCTCCCTTCGCACGGCATGAACTGAAATGTGGATATTCCAGTAAATTCAGCTGTTCACGTCTCTGGCAAAACACTGATGAGACGCCACATTTTTGACACCGATTTAAATCCCAGGTGCAGTGAAGCCGTGTTCATCCTCAGGCCCACAACCAGTGCTCTCAAATCCCCAGAAAAAGGTCACATCACCTCATTATTTCCTACAGCTATGACTAGTTGATGTTTGTTAAACTTCTTTCGCACTGTACATAGCGAACCGTGCTAATCCGGAGGTGCGGAGAAAGGACTACAAACTAAAGACAAAGCAGTCCGACTCTCGCAAGCGCACTGCCTCTCAATCACCAAGGCCTTGTGGAGTTCGTCAAAGTAAAGAGCCGCCTGATACCAATCCCACACGCATGGGATTGGTAGCAAGGTGCATTCGTGAGTTTGGGAGATAAAATTGTAAATTATCTGAAAAACTCTAATCAATTCAAACTATAAAATTACCAAAGGCAGCCCATGCAACATGAATACTATCTCACCTGTAAAGCCAGTTTCTGTCTTAACCTCCACTTCTTTCCACCTGTTGTGGGTAGTCTTCCTTCTTTTCTGTCTGATGAAATTGTCTTTAGGGAAGCCAGTAGCATCTGTCATAGAAGAGGGTTGACATGAAATGAATACATGAACCATTATTGAACGCCACACAAATTACCATCACGAATGTCTTAACGAGGCCTCCTGCTCTCATTACACCTCCCACTTGGCAAATTAATCTCTGGTTTTAATGTCGACCATCACGTCGATGCCGAGGACACGCAACGCTGCATCACCACTGACGCCATAAACCCGGCTCTGTCCACTCTCATCCGGCCTTGACGTGGTCTCGGAATGGTTGTAACTTCCTCCAGCTAAATGTGGCCAACATTCCACTCATGGTGAAAACTCCAAATTGAGCCTGTACATCCTAAACTCTGACACGACGCTGGAAAAGCACTGAAAACTTGGAGTGGTCATTGACCCCGAGCTCTCTCATTCTCTTCCCACACACCCCAACCCTGCGCAACATCTCCTACAATGAAGGCACGGACCCTTGTCCGTGCCGGACCCTTGTCCGTGCCGGACCCTTGTCCGTGCCTTCAGCGCGGTCTCACTCGACTCCTGCAACTCTCTGCTCTACAGCCTCCCCAAATCCCTTGAGACAACTCAAAAATGCCACTGGCAGACTTTTCACCTGCACCTGTAAACGAGACCACATTACCCCAATACTCCGATCCTTCCAATGGATCCCAATTTGAAGGATCGCACTCGCCATGTTCGAGGTCATCCATGGGCTCGTCGCTGCCTACCTCTTCCCTCTCATCTCATTCTATCCCGTCCTCGCCACCACAGATGCTCCACTCCAGCAACCAAGGACTTCTGCTGAAGCCCAAATTCAAGGTGAAACACGACAGGCCTTACATTAGCGCTCATTTACGTTGCTCACATGTTGACATTGCCGACTCCAAAAGCAGATTTTTCACAAATTTGGTGAAAAATGTGTTGAAAGTCAACATAGAAACATGTTAAAAAAATCAACAATCTAAATTGTTTCCAATGTGAGACAAAAGTAGGGTTTGCTCCGAGTCCTTCTCTTGTAGTGGCAACCACGACATTTGGCGAGGGTAGGGGAGGTGAACTCCCCATCCTCCGTGAGTGGGGTATGCGGCATGGTTGTGTGGCAAGCCTTCTCGAGTCACCACGCTTGTGCATTAACAATGCACCACAAGCAAAGTCCTGCGCAACGGGGAAAGTGTCGAGCCATGAAAATGACACAGTTGTGAAGTTGCTGGCACAATGGGATGACACTCCGCAATCCACGCCCCCTACTGGCAGGCCGATTGCATGCCAGGTGCTAAATCACCTTGTGCCCACAGTGACAGCTGCAGCTGAGGTGCCCTTTAAAATGCGTCGAGATGGGAGATGAAAGTCGCTTACTCCACCAACGTAAAGGAGGGCGGCTGTATCACTTGCGCGCGCATGATGAAGGCAATCATCATCACGACCCCCCCCCCACTGCCACTCTTACCTGAAAAACTCGTTTCAGCTTTCACGGAAACTCCCTGCCACCGCTCGTGCATGGCTCTTCTTCTTTTCTTTCTAACAAAATCGTCTTTAGAGATTCCAACATAGCCATCTGTTATAAAAGAGTGCATCATCAAATGCAATGAGAGAGCATGTGTTCATTAACATCACGTAAGACATTTGTTAGTAAGTTGGTGTGAGCTTGCACGACTCTGGGAGCCGACCTGGAGGCTGACTCCACTCCTCTTCCATATCCGGGACTGACGGCTGCCATTCGGAACATTTAAACCTCGCAACTGTTTCTGCGAAAGAGAAAAAGATAAAAAATTGAACAATTGTGCTCAGCACGTCCTGCAGCAGGCAGCCAGACACTGGCTGAGCAGAGACCACACACAACCACACCCTTGAAAGTTACTCCCAACGAAGTTAACATGTTTGTAAAGACTTTCAGAGTCTGAGAGTCCAAAAGAAAATAAACCAAGGACACACATGTCCAATGTTATTATAGTTCCAATGAATATAAAAATATACCCCATTTTTTGTTGCCAGCTGATTAGTAATAAGTGAGTCGCATGACCAGCCATTTATGTTTTTTCATTATGTCCTGTGGACCATCTCCTGACAAGACAAGCGTGTCTCAGCAGATGAGGCGATTGGTCCCAAGAAGAGGCATGAAATGCCTGAGCGTGTTTTCCAAAACCAGGTTTAACATCAAACCGTGCCACAGGTCTCATGTGACACTGCTTCACAGTAAGCAATCGAGCAGCGCTGCCATTCCCTCGGCTTTCACAAGATCACGGTCTTTGTGACCTTTACAACCCCCAATCACCTACATCCATGGCTCCCTCGTACGGAGATTTTAAAAATCACCCAAGACTGCCATATCTTTCTCGTTGCTATGGATGAGCAATAATGCAAAGTGGAACTGCGTGTTGCAGTGTTCATATGCAGCACGTGCCACCAAGCAGCACAACTAACACCACATCAGTGATGGTACTAATGGCAAAGCTACCCGTAAATATTACATGTATTTTTTTATCAAGATTGTATCGAAGTCAGTAAACGCCTACATCAACTGTAAGTTTATGTAGGAAACTATTTACGGTATGAAAAGCCGTGACGACGTGGTGCCCTTGAGCTATAGACAGACACGCGGGTACTTGTGTATCCCACGTGAGTACACTTTGGCCAATGTGGTGACGCCAAGTGAATGAAGTGGCACAAGCACTCCTGCAACAATCAGTAAAGGCAGCAGCAGCTGCAGGACATTATGACAAAGGACTCGCCAAGTTAAATGAAAACAAACGTAAAAATCAGCAGTCTTAAGTTTTCCTGAAGGCCAATAACAAGACGCGTGGGGGGCATGGGATCAACGCGACGAGCTGCGGAAACTGACTTGAGTATCCGTCCGTGTCGGGTGGCTCTCGGAGCTGGAGGTCTTGGTGTTGATTTCTCTCGGGATCATCAGTCCTCGGAGCCCAGCCTTGGGCCTCTCCGCTCGCCGCCCCCTCTATGGAGCACAGCTTCTGCACGGACAGCGCGAGCTCGTTACTCAGCCTGCCCAGCAGCGACACGAGCACGGCGAGCAGGCTGCCCAGCGCCGGATCCGTCTTCCCCGGCGCCGCGCGTGCGGCCTGGGCGAGCTGCTGCAGCGTAGCGTGAAACCGCGAGGGCGGGGGCTCGCACGCCGGGCCCAGCGGCTCCACCGCGACCCCGTGGCCATCGCCGCCGGCCCCGTGGCCATCGCCGGCCCCGTGGCGCTCGCGCGGCTCGGAGACCGCGGCCTCCTCCTCGGCGGTCACACCCTGCGCCTTGAGCCACGCGGGGAAGTCCGGGCCTGGCTCCACAAGCGCCCCGCCGTGATTGCCTGCCGTGACAAACACGACACCAAGAGGCGCTCACAACGGGGTGGCCGGTAGAGCGGCCGTGACCTAGCCGTGTGTATTTTTAAGTGATGTCCCATTGTACGTACGGGTTCTGTCCCACATGCAAAACACTCACCGAGTGCCCAAACACCCCAATCTAGAACCCTCTTTAAATTTGTCTTGAGACTTGGCGAACCTTTCCAGGGTAAATTAACTTACACAAAATACAGCTCGTTGTCAATGCACTGGTGGGGAAGGCCTCCCCTCCCCAGTGTCGGGACGAGGCTTGTTTGGACATTACTTCACCACGCTGTTGAGTGCAGGCTGGTATACAGGGACCCCAGGACCAGGTACATATACAATTGTTTATAAACTGATTAAGTTAAATTGCTTGAATTCTCACTGCTAAGCATCTGTACAACTTGGTCTGTTTTCTGCACTTGCGAGAGTTTATTCCCAGTCACTCTTTTTTTTGGAAAAAAGAACAAAACAATCGTAATTCTAGATTTGAAGCTTTCGTGACTGCAAGGATTCATATTCTTAGGTTTTCAGTAAAGTCACGTAGGTAAAAAAACATTAAAAAGTTAAATAAAATGAAATGAAAATCACGACGTTTCGGAGGCAACACAAGCTTCCGTCTTCAGGTGGTACCGTCACAGCCACGAAAGCTGTATCAAGTAAATGAGAGATTTCCGGAGCTACCACTCCGTTTATATAATGGTTGGAGAAGGTGGTGGGGCAAGGGCCGCATACTTTTTATTAATATGGTAAGGTGAGGCTTAAGACTAAGAATAGACTGCATAACAAACTGAGCCTTTGTTTGGAGAGGCACGGCTTGTGACTCAACCTGTGACAGGGAGACACCACTAAACATGGTAAAACTGTAATAGTTGTCTGTTAAATAAGATTGGCAAATAAGTGTAGTTAAATCTTTTTTGCATGGTTAATCACATCTTTCCAATGATTACTCAGTTTGTAACCGTCATCACGGTTGAAATTATGTCTGTGTTTGTATATTTGTACAGACATAATTTCAACCGTGATGACGGTTACAAACTGAGTAATCATTGGAAAGATGTGATTAACCATGCAAAAAAGATTTAACTACACTTATTTGCCAATCTTATTTAACAGACAACTATTACAGTTTTACCATGTTTAGTGGTGTCTCCCTGTCACAGGTTGAGTCACAAGCCGTGCCTCTCCAAACAAAGGCTCAGTTTGTTATGCAGTCTATTCTTAGTCTTAAGCCTCACCTTACCATATTAATAAAAAGTATGCGGCCCTTGCCCCACCACCTTCTCCAACCATTATATAAACGGAGTGGTAGCTCCGGAAATCTCTCATTTACTTGATACAGCTTTCGTGGCTGTGACGGTACCACCTGAAGACGGAAGCTTGTGTTGCCTCTGAAACGTCGTGATTTTTATTTCATTTTATTTTACTTTTTAATGTTTTTTACCTACGTGACTTTACCGAAAACCTAAGAATATGAAAACAATCGTAGTTTATACTCTTTGGTTCTTTCGGTAAAGTCACGTAGGTAGAAAAATAAAATAATAATAAAAAATATATCACGTTTCCATTGCAACACAAGCGGTGTTACACATAGACATGATATTAACTTGCTAATCCCCCTAATATCTCTGCCTAATTTATGATTTGTGTTGTGATCAATCTGGAAGTGATCTGGCTGAGCCGATTTGAGCTGCAGGGAATATAATAGTTAGTAATGTTTTTGTTCTGATTGCGCTACTTTATTGTTGTACTCTGTTTGGTGTTGGCTTTTGTCACTTTGGTGACCCAGGTCACTCTTGCAAATGAGACTCCTATCCTGGATCTCTTGAGTGCTCACCTGGTTACACAAAATCAATGTGGAACTTGATCCCCTGCTCCTTCACCTCCCCAGCCGGTGACCTGCCTCTGCAACCAGAGCTGCTGGACTGGGGGGCATCCAATAGTATTTAAATATCGCATGTTTGCCAGATGCACAAACATATTTCACAATAGGATTCCAACCAAAAGCTATTTACATCATCAGTTATTTTGCATCAAGTTGGCAAATGACTTGGTTAGTGTAGTTTATCAATGTTATTTATATGCTCGACAATGACACCAATGATGCCAATGATGCACTTGATTTACGTAAATTCATCAACACTTTCCAGGACACGCCTTATTGGTGATCGTCGGTCACCTTCGTCCGTAGAGCCCTTGGGAGTGACGGCAGCAGTGGCACAGGACTCCGCACAGAGATCAATGGTGCCCAGCTTCTGTGCGGAGAGCAGCAGCTCATGGTTGACTCTGCTCAGCAGAGCGACCAGCGCGTCGAGGAGGCTGCCCAGGTCCGCGTCGGTCCGCGGCACCGCAGCCTCCGATTGCGTTCCCTCGCCGCCGTCGCCGCCGCCTCCGCCGTCATTCCCGGTGCCGCGCGCGGCCTGCGCGAGCTGCTGCAGCGCGGCCTCGTGGAGCCGCGAGGGCGGGCGCTCGCTCGCCGTGCCCTGTGGCTCCACCGTGACCCCACGGCCATCGCCGGCCCCGCTCTCGCGCGGCCCGGAGCCCGCGGCCTCCTCGGTGCTCAGCCCCTGCGTCTTGAGCCACGTGGGGAAGTCTGCGCTCGGCTCGTCGAGGTTGCCAGCGTCGGGGCCTATTTAATTAAAGACAACACCGACATATAAACTGCAGGGAAGAACCCGGCCACTGAAAACGCAGTGCACAATACCCCGGTGGCAGAACATAAACAATGAATAAAGATTGGCGTGAACGTTAAAGTCACAAACCGAAGACCAAGGACGCAAGATGTTGCAAGGAAAGCATATTCTCTGGTTCTGTGAGTGTCAGAATCGAGTCCCCCCCCCCCCCCCCCCCCATAACTCTCCATGTTGAGAGCGCAAGTTGTATCCCAATTCGGCAGAAGCCTCAACTATGGATGGTTTCCTTTCTGTGGCTGGTCTAAATTCTACTCTAGAATTCAGGCCAAGCAAACATGCATTTCTGGGAAAGGCCTGCCCTACTCCTGTAAAAATAAGTTACGAGCAAAATCATGGAAACGAAAGTTTCCATTTGTACTCGAGCACAGGACTGACCTTCACTTGAACGCCGAGTTTCTGTCAGGCAAGGATGTTCTCCACAAACGTCTTCCGAACGTGCCGCTGCTGCGTCCTGAGACTCGCTGTCGGAGGGCATCCCGCTGCCCATGGCGCTCAGCCTCTTCTCGGTCAGCAGGAGCTCCTGACTCAGCGTGCTCAGCAGAGTGACCAGCACATCGAGCAGGCTTCCCAGCGCCGTGTCCACTCGGGGCGAGGCCGCGTCCGACCGTGCCCTGATGGCGCCGGCGCTCTGCATGGTTCTCAGCACCTGGCGCAGGACGGCGTAGAAACCGAAGGGCAGGCGGTCGCGTGCCGTGGCCAGCACCTCTTGCCCGACTTGCCCGTCGTCGGCGCACGCGCGCAGCGGCCCGTAGTCGCGGATCCCCAGCTCCGAGTCCATGGCCTGGGCCACCTCCGCACTGATGCCCTGCCCCTTCCACCACGTAGGGAGGTCTGACGACGAGTCTGTCGCCATGCTTCAGCCCTGGAGAAGAGAACACTGGTCGTCAATAACCGTTCAAATATTTCTATCGCAACGTCCCCCTTATCTTTGTCGTAGAAACCACCAGACTCACGATCTTTCTCTTGTACGTCGAGCCCACCACAACAGGCCTAGCACACCATCTTGGCGATTTTAATGATCTGTTTGCATAGACATTGTTCTCCATCAAGATGGACTGCTTTGCTGCTACACTGTACATGCCTGTCAATTGTGGAAACACAATCCAACTAACCAAATGAAAATCATGAAGACCAGGTTTTGGTTTTAACGTGCCCCCACAACCTCCGCATTTATGAGAGTTACCTAAAACCCTGCTAACACCTTCAAGGTAGCGAGTGGCTTCTGTGCGATCCACAAAAACACCATCCACCGAGTGCTGTTGGCGCACGGCTCTTCTCAAGAGCACCAGCACCTGTGAGCATGCAGGCACTGCCCCGGTATTCAAGAAATGCACAGCAGGGCACACGTACAGCCAATCACAGCAGGGCACACGTACAGCCAATCACAGCAGCCGCCATCGCCTCGCAGGCACCTGGCTTGAAGCATTGTCATCAGCCGAGATCTCTCCACTGTTTGATGAACGTCTCCCCAAGCGGTCATTCTGCCAAGATCTTGTGACGAAAGAATCCATGTAGCAGCTGAACACAAGCTGGGTTCGTTACTCCTTCTCCGTGGTGGATGTACTCTTGGGCTACCTCTCCTTTGTCCTAAAATATTGCAAGCGTATTGTGTCGCTTTGATCACGGTCTGCTTTCAAAAGCTGCCCCAGGTACTCTACACATCTCTCTGCCTCTTATCCGCAAATGAAGACACGAGGAAGAACGCGCCGGGATTACGTTTCGATCGGCTGGAGCTGTCGGATAACTCGAGTGTGGGACGGGGCTGGCAGTGAGAACTCGCACCTGTGCATCCGTCGGACGTGATACGTCTGTGAACCTGCGCCCAGCGCCGTGTTCACTGTTCACGGGGTAGTGTGTCGTGTTCACGGGGTAGTGTGTCGTGTTCACAGTGTTCACGGGGTAGTGTTCACGAGGCAGTGTGTCGTGTTCACGGGGTAGTGTGTCGTGTTCACAGTGTTCACGGGGTAGTGTTCACGAGGCAGTGTGTCGTGTTCACTGTGTTCACTGTGTTCACGGGGCAGTGTGTCGTGTTCACGGGGTAGTGTGTCGTGTTCACTGTGTTCACGCGCTGTGTGATCACCTCGCGGCCGTGCGGGACGCACCTGGGTCGGCGAGACGCGCACAGCCCAGGAGAGGTGGCGGTGCCGCCGTGCTGACGAGCGAGGCGGGTGGAGGCTCCGTGCTGATGAGCGAGGCGGGTGGAGGCTCCGTGCTGATGAGCGAGGCGGGTGGAGGCTCCGTGCTGACGAGCGAGGCGGGTGGAGGCGCGCTGCTGATGAGCCCCAAGCGTCGTGGAGACGCCGCACCTCCACCAGAGATTAGCGGAACAGCTTCGTCGATTCCCTGCCCTGCGATGTGCGCATCGGATCGCGCGCGCAGAATCGCTTGTTGTCGATCCGCGCGCCTTGCCTACGCGGAGTTTCCGCGTCGCATCGTCGCGAAGTAAACCCGGATCGATTCACGGATCGTTTTAGAGAAACAATAGCGACGATTTTATGAATCGCTTGGGCGTAAATCGTTAATGTCCCTGCTACTGTAGAAAGCTGAAACTCAACGACTCTCCACTGCTGGATGACGACCTCCTCACTCTCTCTACTGCTGGATGACGACCTCCTCACTCTCTCTACTGCTGGATGACGACCTCCCCCATGATCTCCACTGCTGGATGACGACCTCCCCACTCTCTCTACTGCTGGATGACGACCTCCCCACTCTCTCCACTGCTGGATGACGACCTCCCCCATGATCTCCACTGCTGGATGACGACCTCCCCACTCTCTCCACTGCTGGATGACGACCTCCCCACTCTCTCCACTGCTGGATGACGACCTCCCCACTATCTCCACTGCTGGATGACGACCTCCCCATGATCTCCACTGCTGGATGACGACCTCCCCATGATCTCCACTGCTGGATGACGACCTCCCCACTCTCTCCACTGCTGGATGACGACCTCCGCACTCTCTCCACTGCTGGATGACGACCTCCCCATGATCTCCACTGCTGGATGACGACCTCCCCACTCTCTCCACTGCTGGATGACGACCTCCCCACTATCTCCACTGCTGGATGACGACCTCCCCATGATCTCCACTGCTAGATGACGACCTCCCCACTCTCTCTACTGCTGGATGACGACCTCCCCACTCTCTCCACTGCTGGATGACGACCTCCCCCATGATCTCCACTGCTGGATGACGACCTCCCCACTATCTCCACTGCTGGATGACGACCTCCCCACTCTCTCCACTGCTGGATGACGACCTCCCCACTATCTCCACTGCTGGATGACGACCTCCCCATGATCTCCACTGCTAGATGACGACCTCCCCACTCTCTCTACTGCTGGATGACGACCTCCCCACTCTCTCCACTGCTGGATGACGACCTCCCCCATGATCTCCACTGCTGGATGACGACCTCCCCACTCTCTCCACTGCTGGATGACGACCTCCCCACTCTCTCCACTGCTGGATGACGACCTCCCCCATGATCTCCACTGCTGGATGACGACCTCCCCACTCTCTCCACTGCTGGATGACGACCTCCCCATGATCTCCACTGCGGGATGACGACCTCCGCACTCTCTCCACTGCTGGATGACGACCTCCCCATGATCTCCACTGCTGGATGACGACCTCCCCACTCTCTCCACTGCTGGATGACGACCTCCCCCATGATCTCCACTGCTGGATGACGACCTCCCCATGATCTCCACTGCTGGATGACGACCTCCCCCATGATCTCCACTGCTGGATGACGACCTCCGCACTCTCTCCACTGCTGGATGACGACCTCCCCATGATCTCCACTGCTGGATGACGACCTCCCCACTATCTCCACTGCTGGATGACGACCTCCCCATGATCTCCACTGCTGAATGACGACCTCCCCACTCTCTCCACTGCTGGATGACGACCTCCCCACTCTCTCCACTGCTGGATGACGACCTCCCCCATGATCTCCACTGCTGGATGACGACCTCCCCACTCTCTCCACTGCTGGATGACGACCTCCCCACTCTCTCCACTGCTGGATGACGACCTCCCCACTATCTCCACTGCTGGATGACGACCTCCCCATGATCTCCACTGCTAGATGACGACCTCCCCACTCTCTCCACTGCTGGATGACGACCTCCCCACTCTCTCCACTGCTGGATGACGACCTCCCCACTCTCTCTACTGCTGGATGACGACCTCCCCACTCTCTCTACTGCTGGATGACGACCTCCCCACTCTCTCCACTGCTGAATGACGACCTCCCCCATGATCTCCACTGCTGGATGACGACCTCCCCACTATCTCCACTGCTGGATGACGACCTCCGCACTCTCCACTGCTGGATGACGACCTCCCCATGATCTCCACTGCTGGATGACGACCTCCCCATGATCTCCACTGCTGGATGACGACCTCCCCACTCTCTCCACTGCTGGATGACGACCTCCCCATGATCTCCACTGCTGGATGACGACCTCCCCACTCTCTCCACTGCTGGATGACGACCTCCGCACTCTCTCCACTGCTGGATGACGACCTCCCCATGATCTCCACTGCTGGATGACGACCTCCCCACTCTCTCCACTGCTGGATGACGACCTCCGCACTCTCTCCACTGCTGGATGACGACCTCCCCCATGATCTCCACTGCTGGATGACGACCTCCCCACTCTCTCCACTGCTGGATGACGACCTCCCCCATGATCTCCACTGCTGGATGACGACCTCCCCACTCTCTCCACTGCTGGATGATGACCTCCCCACTCTCTCCACTGCTGGATGACGACCTCCCCATGATCTCCACTGCTGGATGACGACCTCCCCCATGATCTCCACTGCTGGATGACGACCTCCCCATGATCGCCACTGCTGGATGACGACCTCCCCACTCTCTCTACTGCTGGATGACGACCTCCCCACTCTCTCTACTGCTGGATGACGACCTCCCCACTCTCTCTACTGCTGGATGACGACCTCCCCACTCTCTCCACTGCTGGATGACGACCTCCCCACTCTCTCCACTGCTGGATGACGACCTCCCCACTCTCTCCACTGCTGGATGACGACCTCCCCATGATCGCCACTGCTGGATGACGACCTCCCCACTCTCTCCACTGCTGGATGACGACCTCCCCACTCTGCTACCCTCCTGCACGCTTTTGTGATGCCAAAATTCAAATTGATGAGGAATTATAAAATAGCTGAGTGGACAATTCGCCTGCTACTCGTGTGTACGCATTAGATTCCTGAGGCAAACGTTTGTCGCTCAACTGGCACATCTCCAGGGTCCAATTCTAGCTACACTCCCACGCCAAGTAAGATGGCATTCTAAGTAGGCATTGTCATCTGCTCACCAAACATGGGATTACGAACCTGGGGGCTGAGTACAGAATTATTTAATTAATGTTAGAGATGAGACTTCTACTAACTCCCATTCAATAAGGGCGTTAACACAATTAAACATGGTAAAGTTATCAAATATTCGGAGTGGCCAGGATCCCTTATACATCGATTGCAAATGTAAAACATGAACTGATAACACATCAGCAGACGAAATTTGTGTTAAAAACAAAATCAACACTGAGTGCAAATACTTAACCCAGCCACAAGCTGGCTGAAGCGCAGAGCGAGATCGTCATGCCGGCCACGTTGCATGGGGGCCATGTTGCATAGGGGGCACGTTGCATGGGGGCCATGTTGCATAGGGGCCACGTTGCATGGGGGCCATGTTGCATAGGGGTTGTCCACCAGGCAGCTGATGCAGGAGCGATGGTAACAATCCCGAACAACAGCTGCCATGCCCACAGCATGGCACTCATTAGGGCACCGTATACGCCTTGAATGTTTAAACATTTTCTCTTCCATTTAAGCTTACAGGACTTGACACATTTTAGACGCATCGTTTTTATTTGGGCCCGAGGAAGAGAGAGTTAACACCTACGATGGATCATTTTAATCCAGTCTTCAAGACCACAATACACCCGCCCAGCTGCACTTTACTTCACTCAGGATCCTGACCTGTCGTCTCCCATATATTCCCAGAGCGCATCTGCCCGGCTGCCTTTTGTCTATCCACTGCTGGATGGGAGCCTCCCCATGCCTTGCAGGTCATGGAAGCAATTTGTCCATATTGGTGTGGTCACCCATCCAAAAATCGCTGCCACAAAAATGTGATAAAAAGCGCACAGCAGGTGCCCTCAAAAGCATCGAGTAGTGCCCTGATCAACCTCTCGGGAGGACACTGCAGTGTCATGCCAGGGTCTGCCGAACTCTGGCTACAATTGTCCATTGGTTCGACCGATGAGCTGCTTGACCTGCTGAGATAGCCCAGCCCTGCTGCTGCTGCTGTTCTGCATGTGGCGTTGACGCACGTGGAGACGCTGCTGCATCTGAAATGTGTTCGCTCTGTGGCAGCTTCCCCCAACTGTTTTTCCACAACTGACGTCGAGCTTAGTTTTTTTTAATGCTTCGATTTACCATCACTACACATCGGAAACCTAATAGATGCATTTCAGGACTGATGTTTATTACAAATATTTAAATTAGGTATCTTGATTTGTTATTGTAAAAAGTAAACTGTTATTTGTTCTGATGCAGTCGTGTGTTGTTTGTTCAGAGCATGTGAAGTGCAAGTAATGTTATCGTGCTCAGGTGATGGACGTGGGGTCTGGTAACATCTGCAATTACCATTTCCACAACACAAGCATCTCACTGCCGTATTCTATATGCATCCTTTGTACGATTCCTTTCCTCTATGTGGTTAAGCCTATCCCTACATTTTGTGCATCACAATTGCAGAACATTGTAATTGAGGGAACAATTACTGAATGGCCTTTATACTGTATTTACCAAATTGTTTCGATTTTCGTGAAATTTTATGGCAAATGACCTCCATGCTGCAGAACTATCGATTGTTAAAAGGCTGCTGTGACCCAAATGTTCAGTTATTCCCATCCACTGTACTTAAATCGACTTCAGATGAACTGTCTTACTGGACTATAGTATTCACTTCCATATTTACTGAAATGCATTACAAACATAAAAGCATCCACCTATCATTATTTTACTTCTGCATCAATGTAATCAAGTAAAATAATTGTTACACCCGAATTAAAATATCATTACGGGTTCAAGACTTGATGTTTTATTGTTTGCAGTTGGTCACACAAAAATTACATCTGTAACAGGGGCTGGATATCTCATGTTTTCTACGAATCAAAATGCAGTATGGGAAAATAAAACTAGTCTGGGGCGTTACGATTAAATTAAACATTTTATTGGACCACTTGACGACCGCACACATTTCAGTGAAACAGCGTTTTGTGGAGAGCTTAAAACAAGCAAAACCGCAATATTGAACATCAATTCCAGATATTGTATCCCTCGACAGTTTCATCTCCCACAAACATTTTAAACAAGTACAGGAAAAATAAAACATGAACATGCCCTGAAACAATCTACAGTTGCATTACACGTGGTCCACAAGAAGTGTTAGGATGACAAGTTAGTGAAATGCTTGCTGCCATGCCTGTATATGTCATAACCAATACATGTACCTGTTGTAATCAAACTCTGGCTGATATGAACAACTTTGCTGGAGGAACAGATGTTGATGTAAATGGCAGGACAAGACGATGTGTGCACTTGTAAATGTATACGTGATGCCCAGCAGCCTGTGTATAGTTAATGGTATATACTCGTTAAATTTGAATGCCACGGCATCTTGCATTGTATCGATCATCCCAACACAGCGAAGAATCTTGACTACTTGTTTTGTGGCATCGCAGCCTGGAACAACTGGTACGCCATAATGCCCGTACCTGCAGACAACACACAATCCGATACAAAAAAAACACATCAGACTTCCCTTTGACAATACACAATAACACCAACAAATCAGACACCATTCTTACAGTGCAATTTTATCTGTGAGACACCGACTTGGGTGTCTGTGTGTTGATTGTATGTACTCCTCCTGTTAAACGTGGGTATAACAGGGGGGAGTACATACATCCCCCATATCCCAATGCTGAAAGATTAGGATTCCACAGCAGCAGCAACATCACCCCTACTGTGAAAACTCAGCAGGACCCTCCTGAAAAAGAGTCTTGAGACGAAGTGAGGCTTTCCTGGGTTTATCAACCATAATAACAAAAATGAGATTGAGTGTCTGACTCACCCAGGACGGTGAGGGTCATGGTGACCCGGTAGAGCACGGCATCCCTGACACCGCCCTTCAAGTGCACAGGAAGTCCGTTGTCCTCCTGGACATCGCAGGAGTCATCATTAACCAAGCCACAATAACTCGCACAGTTTGCAAATGGCTCAAGGTGACACCAACAATAGCCCTGAACTGGCTGAGCCAACTCACAAGCAGAATGCAAATGACCAGAAGCTATCATCAGCTGTGAATGGTAAAAGCAGTAGGAATCGCACAGTCATCTGGGTGTGGTGACACCACGGAGATTAATTTCTCACTACCAATCACCTAAGGGCAAACGCAGGCCTAAAAATATATACCAGAGGGAGAGGAAGTGTTCTCAAAATATAACATCATAACCAAGATACTTGAGTATATGTTAAACACTTAATGGTATATGAGGGGATTGTCAAACAGGCCATTGGCAACTCGCACTGCAAACCATGCATGTGTTGATGCCCTGCCACCAATCTGCATCATACCAACCCATTACCACCAGATTCCAAACATCAACAAAACATCTACGTACTTCAGCAGTTTTGCATGCTGTGGTTGTCCCACTGGATGACGATTGCTTGTGTTGCGATGGAAACGTCGTGATCTATCATTTTTCTACGTGACTTTACCGAAAGAACCAAAGAGTATGGGTTCCTGCAGTCACGAAAGCTTTAAATCAAGATCTACGTACAGTTGTGTCTTGAATTGCACATTTGAACACAATCGTAATGGACACATAACACGTCTGTAGGACTCGGCGGGGCATGTAGTATCCAGGCCTGCAGTAACACAGCCTGAAGGAAATGTTTGGCATGCACATCATCTCACCCACATGTGGGACAGACACGGTGAATGAGCTTCCCTGGATGGTCAACATTGTCCAAGTACTGGTGAAGTTGCCCACACTTGTTTTATGGGGAAAGCCCAGTGATACCTCTGAGTTTTTTTTCTCTCAGTAGGGTTTGCATTCAATATTTATAAATGTCAAAGCTTTAGGCAACAGAGATATTTCAAAGTCAACATCCGTGTGCTCGTTCTGATATGAAGCATGCTTATGGAGAGATTGATGACCATCTTGCAACCACTCATTAACATTCGAGCCATGGAGGTCGAGCTTATTCTTAAAAGGACAAAAGAGATAGAAGTGTGACAGTGCCAGATTTAAGCAGGAATTCTGCGTGGTGGCGCAAGCAGAGTTCATCTGTTAAACGTGGTGTGAATGTGCAACAGGGGTGGTATGGTGGTGATTGTGGATGTTTTGCAATGTAGATGGTGCAGCCTTCCATGGAGAGCCAGATGGAATAGTTTTGTTTGTTAAAATGTAATCCTAACAGTAAAATGTGGAAGTGATGTTATATTTCAGTGTTCCTATATCAGCTTTTGAGAGAGCTCACAGGCGACTCATTGATATTTTCAGGAAAGATAATTATGTTTCTGATGAAATAGTTGTGGCTGAGTGAGTACAAATGTCTCATTCTGTGCCTGAGTTTGAGCATTGTAACCGTGCTGTTTGTGCTGTGGGTGGCTGCAGTGCCTGTGCTCTCAGAGCCACCAGCTCACCTGGAACACTTTCTGGAGCTCGGGCACGCGGTTTTTTAACTGGAGGCGGCTACTGCTGCTGAAGTTGCGCTGGGCAAGCTGCCTTAATACCTGCGTTGTTTGCACACGAGGCATCACACACACACAAACAAAAACAAGAGTGCATTGGATTAATATTTTAGTGCCTATGCATTGCAAAACCAGCCATTATGTGTTCAACAGTTCTTTTTGCCATGTTGTGTACAATGCCACACTTGCTATACCCACTGAGAAATGACGTACAGCTCTGCAAATAAGCCATTCCTAATTTTATAAAAACGCAGACAAATCAAGAGCAGTTGCATGTTTTCCAAGATATTGTCAGACACTTGTAAGATGTGGCTAATCATTAATATCATCATCAAGTTGTGGACGTAATCGGACGGACTTTCATCCCTGCTGTGATGGTGATGATGCATTCAGTTTCGTGTATGTGTAATTTCTAAGCCATATTTCTCAAACTATAGAAGATTAGAGTCCATACGTGTTATGCACAGTGTATCTAAAGACCAGCAACCCAATTATTGGACATTTTGTAGGATTCATGAGCTCATATAACTCAACTGTTCCCTGGATAAGCATCACATCCCCAGATAAATCCAGGGATGACAGCTATCAAAGACACAGCGTTGTGCCATGCGGATGTGATCACACGTAAATTATGTTAACAATCTGCACTTTGCTCTGGCAGCCCAAACGCACGTGTTGCACTGGAAATTGAAGGCACACACGTACGTGGAGTGATGCAGTGCCCCCTGCTGCCACCTCCAGAGCTGTGTGCGCCATGGATGAATGGCACCAGGCGTGCCGCATGCGCACGTGCTTCTAGCCCCCGCAAGCCTTGTACTAGGTATCATGCAGCACCAAGCGCTTTCCTGTACTTTGTCCTCATCCAATGGTGAAGGAAGGCCTGCCCATCCCATGTTGGTGATGGGGGTTGTTGTTTGACCATACTTCACCACATTGGTCAGAGATATAGTGAAGGGCCGGAGGACCCACAGCTGGTTCAGATATCACTTGTCGTGACCAGGCAGAAAACCCAGGACGCTGGATTTGTAGCGGTGATAGCTAACCGCTGTTCCATAACTCCATCCACTTCCTGGAAAGTGCACTGTGCACATGCACCTTTTGAAGCATCCCCAAGGACACATTTTAACCTTGTGATCTAAACCTTTATTTCCATAAATGTAATTGAAAAAAAAATACTTACCCTAGTTATGTGAGAATCTACCAATGTCAAGATAAAAAGTTTATCACGGCCATTCTACCTGATATCACGACATCTTTTGCTATCACTTCCATCCTTCGCTATGCATCTGCCATCCAACGTATACTCTCACATTATCAGACCATTTGTGAGTTTATTAACCCAGTGCTACTGAATGTGCGAAAATTAGCAATTTTTACTTTTATCGTTAAAATAAATGTCTTTAAGCCCTCTTCCCAATGCTTAACTTTACGCAAGTGAACTCAAGACTGATCACGTCAATGATAGCTTGACCTCTGCCGAGATATGAGTGCATGCTTGCTGGGTGTGTCCGTCCCATGTTAAGCTGACAGACTCTAGATGCCCTGATAATACCAAAACGGATTTTGCTAAACGAGTATGATATCAGCATTTTCTGCTTCTGAAGAACCCAGAACGCTGCCCTTTGTTTCAAACAGTGCTTTACATTTCGATTTAAAGCTTTCGTGACTGCAGGGATTCATCTTCTTGGTTCTTTCGGTAAAGTCACGTAGAAGGGACAGACCTGGTCTTCACCTGAGGACGGCTGCTTGCGTTGTGGCCGAAACGTCGTGAGAATTATTTTATTATGTTTAATTTTTATTATTTTATTATTTCCCTTCTACGTGACTTTACCTAAAGAACCAAGAAGGTGCTTTACATTATCAACATGAACACACAAAAATAACATTAAGTACCAAGGGAAAAAGCAGTAAGCAATCAAATATCATAAACAAGTGCAAGCTAATATATTTTTACATTTTCTCCCTTTAGCTCCTGGTCAAGACCATAAAACACAACATTCCAAACAAAAGAAGCAGTCGGTGATAAGTGCTACCCAAATAAGACAATGGCGGGAGCAGCATGTTCACGTGGATCATTTACGAAAATGCGGGAAATGATTATAGAGGTCGGTAAGAGGCAGGCCGCGGCAGGGAGGATGCGGAAGTCAGAAGCCAGTGGGGCAGGCCTCGATTAGGAGCGGAGTCTCTTAGACGGCGTCTATCTGTAAGGCTCGAACAGGAAATGTTATGCACCAATCAAAAGCTCAACCCGTGAGGAATAAAACTGATCTCGGTTGGCAGCTCTGAGCCAATTGCGGATATTCCATATTGAAATGGCAAGGGGCAGTCGCTGTCCTCAGGACGACCACTGCTGACTTCCCACAAAGTGGTACCAACTTCGACCGGCCGATGTGCCGAGTCGTACTTGTGCGGGCCAGTAGTGGACCACCGAGTCCCCGAGTCCCACGCTCACAGCAGCCCGGGTCACCACGGGCGCCGGGACGGCATGACCTTGTCTCCTTCACGCCGCTCTCTCCCGAAACATATTTTTACAATCTCATCCCATACCCCGAATTTACGCAACATAGTCCTACCCTCAAAACACCTCCAGTAGGATCCTGTTACACGGATCCGGAGCGCAAGGAGAAATACCATGCGTATGAGGCGAGACTAAGGTGACATCACCTCTAATGCGACCCGTCTCGTGATCTTCACTCCGAGTCTGGTTCGGGCTCGAATGGGTGACCGCCAGTGCATTCCAGGTGGTGTCGTTGTTTAAAAAGGTCGTGAAGGTGCCAGGAAATGACAATACCGTATCGAAATGGGTAACGTCCACATTCCGTCTGCCCAAATCAAGATTGGACTGAATGTCGGGGTTTGTTATCCCCTCGTATGCATGGCGAGTTTCTCCGGGTTGTCCGGTTTCTTTCCACACCAAGTCAAACACTCATTCGTGGAATTTAGGCTTTCACTGCTACGCAATTGCGATTAGAGGTTCACGTTAACAGCCCAACGCCATCGTCGCGATGTTCATTCGTCCATGTGGAGCCAGGGCCCATCCGACACTTGGCGGCTCTGAGGCGCGCAAACGACGCGCGACCCGCGCCTCTCCTGCGGGAGGCCCCGCCGCGACCCGGGAGCAGGGCACCGCGATACCGCGCGGCCCGCCCGCCCGCACTCAGCTCCGAGACGCGGACCCCGAGGACGCCGCCGCCGCCGTGACCCACGACGGCGCGGGGCTCGCCGCGGCTTCGAGGGTGGAAGGCCGGAGAGCTCGTGGACACAGCGCCGCGACCCCGCAACGGAGCGATTTCTGTGAGAGTAAGGGAGGGGGGAGAGGAGGAGGAGGAGGGGGGGCAGAGCGCGTCCGCGCCTCTCACCACGAGGCTCCGCATGGCGACTCCGCGTGCTGCTGCTGTTGCTGTGCGACTCCGCGCGGCGACCTCAGCGACAAGGACGAGACAGACGGAAGTGACGTCACGGATCCTGCGGACGTGCAGGACGGACGTGACGTCACGGGGAGGTCGAGGCGCGCGCAGTGCGGACGTGACGTCAGCCAAGCAGGCTCGGCCGGTGAAACCGGTTTTGTTGTAATAACCGGTTAATCGCAAATGAACACCGGTCACTGATTAGCAGCACATGTAGGGTTGTCTTGAGCAATAAACATGACCTTACCTCACTAACTGACCAACGCAGGGAGCTTCCGTGGGGTAATAGCCAACGTGCCATGAAGGGATATTGCCCGAAACGTCGCCTATTGCATTTCCTTTGAAGGCCTCAAATGCAGTGTAATCGCGGTCTAATAGTTGGCAAACTCGACTTGCAGATCCCTTAGCCACTGCTATTGCTTTAGGCAATATGTTCAGGAGCTAAATGCCGATGTCTTCTCGCCACAACGAGAGGGCTTCAGGAGAGTGCGGGGTTCTTATTTATTTGACTCCGTCAGCAGAGGGCAGCCCGGGGTTCCTGCTGATGCCCACGTCTGGGCAGTAACCCGGGCCAGGTGCACCAACTGCTCCTCCCTTCTAGCCACGCCCCCCACCCCCCGTTCCATTCCGTGACGACCACATTCAGATAAGCCCCTCCCCCCTCCCCTTCACTTGTATTTAAGAGATTGGATCTTTGCTCACTTGATACAGTCAATTTAGCTGTGACGGTCCCACCTGATGACGGAGACTTGTGCTGCCTCCGAAACGTCGTGATTTATTATTTTATTTCTATTATTTTTATTATTTATTTTCACGTACGTGACTTTACCGAAAAAACCTAAGAGTATGAATCCTTGCAGTCACCAACGCTTCAAATCTACTGTATGGTGCACAGTTTGGGTTGCATCGGATGTGTGAATGTTCTGATGCAGTTAACCGTTACGCCAGTCTTCGAGGAAGACGATCTTATTCCATGAAGTGCGATGTCTTGCACGGGCGGAGTTTGGTGGTGGGTGGTACATGGGGACAACGCCCCCCAGAACTGGACACCTTTATTAATTTATTTTCAGTAGTTTACAATTAAGATAAAAAATACATTACTATTTGCATATTCTTGGTTCTTTCGGTAAAGTCACGTAGATAGAAAATAAAAATAACAGATAATACAAACATTTAAATGTTTTGAGTATTCTTATTTTATTTTCTGTAATTTTTATTTTCTACGTGACTTTAGGGGTCGTCCATAAATGACGTCACGCACCTAGGGGGGGGGTCAGACATTTGTGACGATGTGATGAGGGTTTTTTTTTTAGAAAAGTGACGTCACATCAAAATGCGCAACTTTAAATATGAACACGTTCTACTTAATTACTTTTTAATGTTTGTTCCTACAACACGAGAGTGCAGCGCCACATTAAATATGCACTACAATGACAATAGTTTAAAGCGATTTGAAGCGTGTTTTATTTTTTTGGAGGGGCAGAGCTTTTTGTCGCCATATTTGAGGTGGGGGGGGGGTCTGACTATACTCTTAGGTTTTTTTTAGGGGGGTCTGACGTTTTGTGACGTCGTGACGAATGGGGGGGGGGGGGTAAAAATCGTCCAAAATCGCGTGACGTCATTTATGGACGGCCCTTACCGAAAGAACCAATAATATGAATTCCTGCAGTCACGAAAGTTTTAAGTAAAAAAAATAAGTATATGCACCCGCGATTTCTAATGTCAGGAACGAAGTGAACCCCTGCCCCCTCCCCCCCCCCAAAATAGAAGTGAAACTCCGCTTATGATGTATTGCTATTGAATGAGGCGTTTACGCTGTCCACGTTCAACTCTTCGCCAACAGCAGCTTTCTGCTGTGGTGGCCCTCCAAACCTCTCTTCTCCCCCCTCCCCTCCCGCCCTATTGAAACCCGAGGGAGCAAGCTCTGCTCCCAGTCGCGTGGCCTTCCCTTGCGTGGCCTCCTCCGCACGTTCCAACGCAGGTCAAACCGCGTGGCGCGTGACACGTGCGTGCCGTTCTCGTTGTTTTCACCACGTGACTGGACCCCGGTACCAACATCGCCGCGCCCTTCCGTGCCCCACGTGCGGTCCCACATCCTGGATCGGTTCCGGTCTCATCCGGCACAGGTGCCCGAGATCTGGTCCACATCCGGTTCCGGCCCCCACATCCGGTCTCGCGCACCCTGGCGGGGCGGGCCGAGGAGCCGCCTCAGTGCGGAGCGGAGAGCGGGGCAGCGACATCGCCAACAACCACCACCAACAACCACCACCAACAAGCACCAACAACAACAAGCACCACCAACAAGCACCAACAAGGTCGCCAGCGCCAACAAGGTCGCCAACAACATCACCAGCACCAACAACATCTCCAACAACATCGCCAACAAGCACCAACATCACCAACAACATCACCAGTATCATCAACAACATCACCAACAACATCGCCAGCACCAACAACATCGCCAGTATAATCAACAACATCACCAGTGTCACCAAACAACATCGCCAACATCAGCAGCGACATCACCAGCATTGCCATCACTACAGCACCATCATTATTCGTCACATTGCCATCGTTATCCTGTTGATTACCATCGCCAAAACTACCATCAGCATCTTGGACAGCCATGCTCACAATTTACCTCACCATTATGTCCATCATCATCATCATGACCGTTTCCATCGTCACCATCACCGTTACCTTCATCGTCATCCATGGGTGGTCACCATCATATTCACTATTATCATCACCTCTTCATTAACCTCGTCACCGTTGTCACCTCCACCCACCGCGATTTTCCTCCTGGGGCTGCCGCGTTCTGCGTGAGGCGCCGATGTTGTGCGAGGAGCCGGAGGCTGCGATGGGTTCAGTGACGGGTCGGGCTCCCACGTGTAGCGAGTCCAGTGAAGAGCTGCGAGTGAGGAGTGTCAATGGTGTATTGTGAGTAGCGAGTGAGGAGTGTCAATGGTGTATTGTGAGTAGCGAGTGAGGAGTGTTAATGGTGTATTGTGAGTAGCGAGCGTTATGTTTTGTATTTACCCAGGAAAACCTCACCGAGTCTCAGGGCTGTTGTGCAGGAGAGCCCTGTCGAGTTTTCGCAGTAGGGGGCGAATGTGCTGGGTTTCATCCCTATTGACTCATTTCCAGGTACATTTCGTTATCGAGTTACTTGCATTGTGGCTGTAGAGATATTCTCCGAGACTTTATGTAACAAGAAAGGTTTTTTTTACGTTTCGGTATTTATGGTTTCAACTCAATTGTGGTGCAATACATCATTAAGGGTCCATAGTCCTTCGCTTCTGCATTGCAGAGGCTCATATCAGCACTCACGCATGTGTGATCGTATCTCGTGCAGTCGAGTAACGCGAGGCTGTGTTGAGGAATGGGGAGAGCTGTCCTCGCTCGCATCGCTGCTCTCGAGGAAGCGACGTCTCTCTCGCTCTGCACGGCGCGGAGAGCGCTGGGGTGGGGTGCAGCAGAAATTCATATTTTGAATAGCTTCACATAAAACCTTCATGAAGCGGTTTCCTTGTTTAGCAATCTCCAGCAAGCCGCTTGATGTTCTGACTGTTACCGCTTGTCGATGACCACATCGGCAGGAATGCGCCCAATCTCGTCAACCCTCATCAGCTCTCGGAATCTGAACAGGTTGGAGCCTGGATATCGCTCGCTGGACGGGTGACCACCACGCACAAAGAGGCTGTCTTGTGGGGAATGTGAGACTATGTGGTGGGCAGCAGCAGCCCGTGCAGGAAAATTCCATTGTTGAACTGTTCTTGTACACTCTTACATTCATCCTCCCCACCTTTACCAACCGTGGTGAAGTATGGTTAAATAACCCCATTAACCCACACGGTTTTGGGAGCCCTCACCCAGCGGTGGATTGACAAACAGGATGCACATGCATCATCACCTTTTCTTTCGGGAGTTTTATGAAAGTGACATCTGCCAAGCAGTGCCCAGTTGGGATTACGCACAGCATCATCACCTCCTACTGAGGCTCTCCTGGGTAAACAAGAGTCATACAAATTACAAAACTGGGCCACTCACAAACCTGATATCATCTCTCGGGCTACATGGTTGCTCTGCAGAAGAATGGCCTGTGGCGTCTACTGTTGCTCTAAAAATTGGGTTCCTTGTGCTGCCCGAGTTGAAAATTACTAAATTGCGGGGCCATGTGGCACAGTGGTCAGCAGGTGGACTTTCAGTGAAATCTGATGTTTGTAGTGAACTCCTATGCTCCCGCCTCAATGCTCTCCACCGTTACCAATCCACACTGACTAGTGCCGGGGAATGATGGTCAAATAAACTCCCATGACATGCAGGGCGTCGGCAGGGTCTCATCCAGCAGTGGAGTGACTAAAAGATGTCTCCATGTGATGTTGACCGCGAGGGTGAAGGACCTAATGACCTTGGGAGGACAGGGTTGGTGGTTGCAGTGCAGCACCAGCAGGTGTTCATCGATATCGTGGCTGTGAGCTTGACCTTTCTGCTTGCGGGTTTGTGTGCTGAAGGATTGTGTTGGGCACTAATCCTGGTTATGCGTTGAGCCGACCGTGGTTCAAAGAGTCCTCTCGTGGGGAAGGGGGTTGGCTCTGAGCCAGAGTAATCTCTCACGAGTGTCTGGAAGCGGAGAACACGGGCTGCTTGGCACCCGCAGTGCGACACGCCGTGGGGTGACGTGGCGTTGGAGAGGCATGCTGGCACGGCTAGCCCAGCGCTTTGGCGACATCTAAATAACGCAGCACGTTCATGCAGAGCTCACGCTGCATGATTAATCACACAGTCGCACGTGGTACATATTTAATCAGCAGTATGGAAGCCGATGGGCAGCTGTCAGGTCAAAGTTTGATTTGAATATTTGCAAAAACATCCTTTCTGATCTAAGTTTGTTCCCTGTTGTGGGCAAACCCACTGAAATCGTGTTTTAAGTTTCCTCTCGGGTGAGTCCCGATTGACAATGCAAGTTGTCCCACTTCAGCGTCGTTCTCATTTGAGTGTCTACGAGGGTTACGCCTCCCCACCCTCCATCACAAATGGAAGATGGAGAAAGCTGGTGCATTTATGCTTTTTAACCAAAGTTGAAAAGCATAAAACAGCAAATTTACAAACAATGGTGGAAAAGAAAACGCTGTGAACTTAAAACATACCAAAAAAATGCATGGGTAAAAAAATCCCATTATGTAAATGAGCAAGAGAAATTAGCTTAAGCTGCCAAATCTTGACAAATTACTAGCTGTGCATAAGACTGGTGAAATAATGAAATGCAGAGGAGCTGTCATCCCTGCTGTCTCGTATAAGAGCACCAGCATTGCCGTGCGGGCTGACGTTCTCTCCGTGCCCATTTGGGATTCGCGCGCGGTTCCTGTGAACTTCCCTCTGAGCGACGTTCCCATGTGACCGGGGACATGGCGCGCATCACGAGATGCGATGCACGCTTGCACCCTGCTTGCAATTACCGAAAAACAATGATGGTAAAAACCCCCACAGGCAGCTCTGCCTGTACACGTGGGTTATGTCACCCGGCCACACATGCCCAGTAATCCTGCTTATCCTGCGATATACGATCGCCGTGTTCCATCGCGCACGCCGCACGGCGCGGCGTGCGTGATGGAACGCTTGTTGCTTTCTATGGTTACAGTCCAGGCCATGAGGACTGCTGCACGCGTGTTTATGTAAGTTGAATTTATTTTGTTCTCTATGTAGCCAACCTTACTAATTGGAGGTGCGGGAGGTACGTGTGCGTGCACACGTAGCTCGAGAAGCCTCACACATTTGTGTCAACAGGATCAGTTATTTGTTATGGGTAATAGGGATTAAAACAAACTCGATGAGTGGTGTGGTCTGTCGATGGCCCTTGGAGAATTGCTGTTGGGCATGCATACTTTTAGAAGCGTGAACACTTGTCTACATGTGCGTCCGTGTGCGGATGCCGGGTGATGTTAGTGTACACGTGTGCTTGCGTGTCCTGTTGCACGATATCCTGCGCGTGCGCCTTGAGTGCCTGTGCTCGTGTGTGTGCGCGTGATGCGCAGGAGTGTGCTGCCAGGTGCATGAATGGCCATGAATTCCAAGGCGGTGATCAGCAAGGAGGTGTTTGGGACAAATGACGAGCGTATGCTGGCTGCCATGCAGGTGAAGCGACGTGGCAAGAAGCGCATTCCCTTCCTGGCAACAGGCGGCCCTGGGGAATACGTCACCTACATCTGTGTGTCAGGTACTCGCCCGCACGGGGACTGTCACCTCCATCTGTATGTCAGGCAATTATATATATCACTTGGCTGTGGCCAGGAATTGAACTTGGGTTTTGCGTGGCGCCGTGCGTTAAGCACTTTGCACCGCACCCACTGACACGCGCAAACTCATACGCACGAGCATACTCATCGCGTTGTAATGGACGCATGGCATTCATATACGAGATGACTAAATTCTGAATACACCCTTTCTCCACATACACAACGGTGAGACACTTGTATAGTGTATTATGGATTGGCATAGCACCTACATGCGCTGTGCAGGAACAGTGGCAGTATTTTGTCGAGAGGCAGTCGTCAGTCGCAGGCGGAGTGAAAGAGGAGTCTTGAGCCCGGTCTTGAACAGGGCTTGGGAGTTGCGAGCATTGGATGTGCATACTTACAGGCATGCACATGACCATGCATTGTAAACTGGAATTATTGAAACAGGAGAACATCTGATCCATTCTGATCTCGTTACATTCCCAGGCGTAATTTAACATTGAGGTTCTGCTGTTTTTCTGGAATACTTAACTTGCTTTTTCAAAATATTTTTTCTTTGTATAATTTGAAAAACTTCTTTTCTTAACTGCAACCCCTGTTTGTTAGCACGGCCGGCAGAACTGTGATTCTATGGGAGCTCCATGAGACCCAACACAGATGTAGTAAGTATATGGGAGGCTTGACGACAGGATCGGAGGCACACTTGTTTATTACACCAACACAGTAATTACAGGTCACTTGGCTACAGGGATTGCACAACAGCTAACCCCTCTAACCTATGCCCATTCCTCCACTACGGGGCTAGGGGAGGCTATCTGTCCCAGCCTGGTTAAGCTGGGATCCCGGCACCCTGAGTCTCCAGACCAGCTTAGTCTGGGCTCTCGGGGCCACGCCACCGGCTTGCCCTGGTCGGCTCTTATAAGGACAGCGAGCCAGGGGAGCTCTGGGGCCTATTCTAGCAGGTCTTCCTTCTTCTCTGGTTAAAGCTGAGCCCCCGACCTCGAGCCCTCGAGCTCATCACCTTTTATAGGACTCGCCCCCGAGGGGGGGCCCGTGGGGGATGCACATGCGGACGTCGGTGCGAGCGCCACCCTTGTGTACGGCCGTAACCCCGCCCCTTGTGTTTGTTGGCCATCCGTGGCCATGCATAATCACACCTCAACATCCGTAGCCATGCGCAATTACACCTCTACACAGGCAAGGACTGACATCTGCTCTGTGTCGCCCAGTGACAGGGAGCTGATTTTCCATATCCCGTCGAGATCATGAGACCAAGACGAAATGAGTGGTCGTTATCCTAGCCGTGGAAGTCCACGTGATTGTCACACGTTGTACGCCTTGCATTCTCCTCCATTCTCGATGCGTGGCTCGGCATGCCTGCAGTGTGCGACCACATACGTGCTCGGTTACACGCTACAGGAAACATGTAATTGGGCGTTTAATTGCATGCTCCCAAGTCTCTAGAGATGCTGATTTGAGAAGCCTGTAATGTACTCGGTGTGTGCTCTCAGTAATTGCACGTGTGTAATAATGCTGGGCGATTCACGACCGCCCACGTGTGTACAGAGCAGACACAAAAGGTGCGTGGACCTTGCAAGCTATGGTGTTATGTGCCTGGTTCGGTGCACGTCATTTTACATCGCGCGTACGAAATGCACCTCACACCCCGAAGGGGGCGCAGTTTGCCTGTTCTGCGGTATCGCAGGGCGCAGGAAGTTGTTCGCGTTCGCCAGCTCACCTTATCGCGCCACATATCTCCACGCAAGAGATAAGGCTAATGGAGCGCTGTGTCCGGGTGACATCAGCTGCCCCTTTTGGGAGGTCTCACGCCAAGTCACGCATCTCACGGAACCCTCGGGAGCCAGAAGCACGGGGAGGGGGACAGCTCCCTCCATGTGAACATCACGCAGACCGCACAGAGTGAGCAGGGCCGGGTTTGCAATGGAGCCACAGCGAGACCCGGCCCTGCGTGTAAGATTTAACAATGTATAGGTGCATTTTACAACTGTTTTATAGACGATTAATTTCTTTAAGATATATTAGTTTCTGGCAAATGATGAGGCAGGATGACATGTTGCATTTTTGGTTTCAATCTCTTCATATTTTGTTCACGATGTTTACAAAATGTTTTCCCGACGTGCCCACGGCGTGTGTATACCCAGTAACGAACCGAAAACCGACGCAAGGGTTCATCACGAAGGTGAAGCAGTTTGATGGGACGGCTGGCTTCGTGAAGCGCACCACTTGGGGACTCGAGCAGCTGCGGCAAGTCAACGGCATCGGCGCTGAGCAGGTCCGGCACTCGTGGCAGGCACGGCGCGGACAGCACACACACAGCACACACCACACACATCCAGCACACACACAGCACACACACAGCACACACACAGCCAGCACACAGCCAGCACACACAGCACACACAGCACACACACAGCCAGCACACACACAGCCAGCACGCACACAGCACACACCACACACACAGCACACACCACACACACAGCCAGCACACACAACGCACACACACACACAGCACACACACAGCAAATACCACACACACAGCCAGCACACAGCACACACACAGCAGACACACAGCTAGCACACAGCAAGCACACAGCATACACACAGCACACACCACACACACAGCACACAGCACGCACACAGCACACAGCACACATACAGCACACCCCACACACACAGCACACACACACAGCCAGCACACAGCACACACACAGCCAGCACACAGCACACACACAGCCAGCACACAGCACACACACAGCCAGGACACACCACACACACATCCAGCACACACCACACACACAGTATACACCATACACACTATACCTAGCAAACTATACGACACACGTGATGTCATCCGTGGGGATGGAGCGATGAAATTGGCACGTGTGCAGGTGTAAGATGGATTACTACATTGCAATGACCATGACACGTGGTGTTTGCTTGGGGAGGCCTTAATCCACCAGTGGATAGATAATGGCTGAAGATGAAGTGTATTATGAAACCAAACCCTTGTACAGATATACAAGAGACTTCGATAAACGTTTAAACAACTTGTGTAAGTCTCGAGATTAATCTGCTTCACGTAACGTGGGACCTGATCAAATAAAACTTGACATTGGGTTCCTATATATGTAGGCAGGGGAGTGGTGGCACTGAGGTTAGAACATTGTGCTATGAACCCAGTGACCGCTACGGCTGATATCTGTGGTGAGCGATATCTGAATTGGCCCTCTGCGATACTTCTCTTCACAAACCTGTACCGACTAGTGTCGTGAAGTATGGCCACGCAAATCAGGCTGACTGACATTGTGAGGATGCATTCGTGTACAGCAGCCAGCACCAACAGCACCGTGATGCCATGCAAGGTGCATATGTTTGTGTCGTGTGCAGGACTGTCCGGAGCTGGATCTGCTGTTCGATAATGCCCAGGACCAGTGGGTGGCCAGCTCGACGTCCGAGAAGAACACGTTTTTGCAGGTGCTGCACAACACGTGCCAGCGGTACCGTACCAACGGCATGCCCGCCTTCACCAACGTGCCCGCCCGCCTCATCTCAGGTGAGACGGGCACCTGAGATACGAGCGCGCCATTTCGCAGTGGCCGTGCGAATGGCATCTGTGTCGAATTTACTAAATTGTCATTTGTTGTCATTATACCGTTTGTTTTTACACAGGAAGGGCCTCACAGAGTCTCAATCCTCTTTCAGGATTGTCCTGACATATTTTCACAGTGAGCAGCAACATTGCTGCTATGTGTAATCCCAGTTGAGTGATTTGCAGGTAGTTTTCCAGCGTTCTGGTGTTGAACCATTTCAGAGAGGCAATTGGGTCGCCCCAGGGGGATTCTCATGGCAGGTTTCCATGATGTGGGGTCTGCGTCCGGGATTCAGCAGAGCTTCCTAACCATTGCGCAAACCCATTTCCACTTGCCAGTCCCCTGTGCAGGCCTCGAGAATAATCGTCCACTTGACTAGCCTTGAGTGGTCCTTGTTAAGCAATAAAACGCAACAGCAGCCTCCCAAGTGCCGATGCTGAGCACTTGGCCAGTACTACGCCCAGCTGCTTTTGCATCGCCAGAGCCGAAGTAGACACACCACACCAGATACCCACTGCTGTCTGAATTTCATTGCTAAAAAAAACCTTGAAAAACTCAATTGGGACTCCACAACATCGCACCTGACTGCCAAGACTTGGCAGGACCTTCCTGAGAGAGATTTAAGAGTCAGCGAGGCTCTGCTAGGTACGCAAGCTGATTAAGAACGAAGGCCTCGCCATACACTTTCAGTCATGTGTGTTAATTGGCCATACTTTCACACTTTGGTGTGAAAGATGTCAAATACTGCTTGGAGAAAATTAACAGAAAACCTCCTAGCTTGCCCAGGAGCACCGCAGGGCTTTCCAGCAAGCATTCTCGACTCCAGTGTCACACAGCTTCCCGTAGTTACCGACCGTCAGCTGCATTGGCTACATTCATACATGAAGAGAAAATAATTGATCACCATGGAAAGGCGGAGGGAGCATGGGGATTGGTGAGGACTCGTCCAGAGGGAGTATGGGAGTACGGCGAGACGCGCTGGTGCTGCCGCTTACAGTGGCTGTCATCGCAGGTCCCACTGTAGTGCACGCACAAGGGCAGCGTGGGTCGAACCTTCACTCTGGTTGTCTTGAGCTACGACTGCGCCGCCGAGACCTGGAACGAGCACTGCCACGCTAAGAGCGCTGGGTTCACCTTCCCTTCAGGTTCCAATGCTCAGAGGCAGGCTTTTTATCTTTTGAAACTGTAGGCCAATTCTAAAAATAGTTTTTAATGCCAAATTCCTTTGTGCGCATGCCCTGCGGTGTTGCAGCGTCTTGAGATGCAGTTCTATTTGGACGCTGCACAGATTGCAGTGTGCAAGGTAACAATGTGGATGTCTGACCCTGTTATAAGATCAATTCAGTGAACACGGAGACTGAGATTATTGTGTCTGTTTGCGGTGCACATCCGTGTGGTGTGCGAATGCAGGGGTGAGTATCCTGGGCTCTGCGGCGGACAGCATGAGCAGCGCCGTGGCGATGGCGAGCCAGGCGCTAAGCGAGCGTGGGGAGCGGCTCGGAGAGGCCGAGGACCGCACGGCCGAGATGGCGCAAAGCGCCCAGCAGTTCGCTGACACCGCCCACAAGGTCAGTCCCAAAAGGTCGCCACCTCTCCCTTCGTTTGCCTCTCCCTTCGTCACCCTCTCCCTTCGTCAGCATCTCCCTTCGTTAGCCTCTCCCTTCGTCACCCTCTCTCTTCGTTAGCATCTCCCTTCGTTAGCCTCTCCCTTCGTCACCCTCTCTCTTCGTTAGCATCTCCCTTCGTTAGCCTCTCCCTTCATCACCCTCTCCCTTCGTCACCCTCTCCCTTCGTTAGCCTCTCCCTTCATTAGCATCTCCCTTCGTTAGCCTCTCCCTTCGTCACCCTCTCTCTTCATCAGCATCTCCCTTCGTTAGCCTCTCCCTTCATCACCCTCTCCCTTCGTCAGCATCTCCCTTCGTTAGCCTCTCCCTTCGTCACCCTCTCTCTTCGTTAGCATCTCCCTTCGTTAGCCTCTCCCTTCGTCACCCTCTCTCTTCGTTAGCATCTCCCTTCGTTAGCCTCTCCCTTCATCACCCTCTCCCTTCGTCACCCTCTCTCTTCGTCAGCATCTCCCTTCGTTAGCATCTCCCTTCGTCACCCTCTCCCTTCGTCACCCTCTCCCTTCGTTAGCCTGTCCCTTCGTCACCCTCTCCCTTCGTCACCCTCTCCCTTCGTTAGCATCTCCCTTCGTCACCCTCTCTCTTCGTCAGCATCTCCCTTCGTTAGCATCTCCCTTCGTCACCCTCTCCCTTCGTCACCCTCTCCCTTCGTTAGCCTGTCCCTTCGTTAGCCCTTCCCTTCATTAGCATCTCCCCGCATTAGCCTGTCCCTGCATTCGCCTCTCCTTTCATTAGCCTCTCCCTCCATTAGCTGCACGCTTCATTAGATTCTTCTCAGCCATAGTCGAGTTTAATGGGTCACTCATAAATCTGGAAAATTGGGTTTAAAAAAAAATCTTATCGTAAGCGCTCTTTTAATGTTACACTGGATGATTGTGTTGCTGTGGGACCCATGCAAAACGGAATTGAAGAATGCTTTGTTCCTTCAGCAATAAAACCTTACCTGGTTCTTCGTATACCATGATGATTCCAAGGTTTATAGAAATACCTTGGCAATGTCAAATGCGCACTGCTTTATAACTATTATTTAACTTGTATTGAATTCTGGTCTATTTAAATCACGATGTAATTTACTTTATAGCCCAATTTGTAATGTGTTTCTATTTACTGCAGATAGTTTGATCTGTACCTTGCGATGGCACGGCAGTCCCAAGCCGCGACATTTGTTTTGAATATTTGTTGGATCGATGACGCTCGGCATTTAGGAGAAGACCTTGAAAGGCGTCGATCGGGGCGACTCCCCCCATCACGGCGGGACACGCACTCACAACGTTCTCCCAGCCGCACTCGTGTCTTTACGGTGCAGCGCCGCTTAAAGTGCCAGTAGCCCGACCAGGTTACGCAAGGCGTGCATTTATCGATGTGTACAGTGCTTTACAGCCACACATCTATACATTTCAAAACGTATACAGTATTGTACATCACATTACAAGGTCATGGCTTAAAATAGAATGCCTTGACCTACACCGCTCTTCTCAGCAATGTGAAGCCAAGCAATATTAACGCGAAGCTCACGTGATTCGTTTTTTGGGGCATGACTGGCCCCGCAGTAGTTCCGAACCCACGGTGTAATGAGCCGCTCTCTATATCGGCCGTCTACTTTTCCCGTTTGAGTAAGGGTGTCGTCATTCAGCCTCTTATTGGGCATTGGAGTTAAAATCAGGAATTCTGTCCAACAAATGTTACATTATCGATGTATTTTTTTTTCTGGTCGGTATATATATAGGAGCATAGAGCTTGGGCAATTGTTGGCGTCGGCTCACAGCTTGGCTGGCTTCCCACTTGTTGCTGGTTCCTTAGTGACTGTGAAATCAAATTTGAATGAACGATGATGCGATATAAAATTTACATTATTGTAACTCATTAACTGTTTGGCATTAGGGAATTAACATGTTTTCTTGCGGTGTCATTTACAAGTGGGCGGCTTCTGACTAAAGGCTCGTAGTTGTTGTCGTGTTCTTGAGATTTCACGTTTCTGTGCTGCTGTCTCACTTCCCTGTCCCTCGCCTTTTGCAGCTCGCGGAGAAGTACAAATGCTGAGAAGTGCCTGGAACCCACCCAGCTGTAATGCACACGCACACGTGCATGCATACGGCCATTTACACGCATGCACGTGCATGCAGTCGATGCCTTCGAGCCGTGCCAAAGACGGAAACATGAGGACGCCCGCATGCACAGAAGATCTCCCCCACAGTTTCTCCAGGCCGCTGTCGACATGACATGTGACCTGTTTGCGAATTTTTAATTTTGTAATTTAACCACCGAGGAAGCACATCGACATATAATGCGTTTACAAGTAAAGCACATGTGATTACCCAGCAACTCTGCGCCTCGTTCTTGCGGTGCAGACCCTAGGCGTATGATTGACTATTAAATATATATATGGAAGTCGGTCACGGTAAGGAGGGCATTGTGCGGACACAGGCGCATCTTCATTAGCGTGGAGCTGCAGCAGAGGAGGGAGTTTTCCAGTGGCTGCCGCTGAGATAGTGCCAGCCCAAGGCGAGATCAGGGCCGTGAGATTGCACGCCGAGGTTGAGAACGCGCACGGTTCCGTACAATAAAATAATCATAATCTGCAAGCGACATCCTTTGGACAAACAACAAACCTGCTTTTACCGCCCTGCGTCCATTCAGACGATGATAGTAATGTCACAAAGGCCATGGAAAACTGTTCTCAGGGGCCACCACGTGACTTTATGTAGTTGATGTAAATGCCTACTGCTGTGAGTTGGTGCTGTCAGCAATAACCTGTTGTGGGGTGACATCGGCAGTGGGCTCGCTGCCTCAATGGACATTCATTCCTCGTGCGTTTACATGGCAGTGGCGGCACCCGGTGTGCCTGCCTCCATTTCTTCCTGGAACACCGGCACACCAGCTTTATGTTCACCGCTGATTGCACAAACCAAACACTTAAAATTAATGACGTAATCTTTTGAAGCCCTAAATATGCATTCAGACTTTATGCACTGACACAATCACAAATTTCCAAAACAGCGTTGCTTCCGTCGAACTGGGTTGTCTTGTGGCGTGGGGGAGCCACGGCTGCCACTGGAGTTCAGAGCGGTCCGAGTGTTCGTGCCGTGCGCTATCGTTGAATTAACACTGAATTTGCACGTGCCAGATCGCCACAACGGAATACTGAAATAGACTTGTATGACAGGAAGCCTGCCCGTAATCCAAAGCAACTAAAATAATAAAATCCGACCGAACTATTGCGTCGCTTTGTAAAACACTCGTGTAGCTCAGGTAATTCAGCGGTGTCTTACCCTCGGCTTTATGAGACGGTCGTCATCTCCGCACGCCCTTCCCCACACCCGCGTTGTTTACAGCAGGACGCGCGCAGCGGCTCCGCGGAGCTCGCGCGCGTTACGCGAACCGCTCATCCGCAGTCGAGTCGGTGCACGCGACATGCACGCGTGGTTTACACGTGCATATCAAAGTAAACACCGTATCGGATCCTGTTATTTTGGTCACAAATCCTTTATACAAATGACACTGTCAGCCCACCAAAGCAATAATGAATGAAATAAGTTACATTGTGTTTGGAAACTCGGCGCTGGAAACGTATTTCTGGTTTATGATCCAACATGTACTGTACAACGCTTTGCTACCGTGTAGTATTGTGCAAGTATATATGTGCCATTGACTAACGTTGTCTCCGTTCGCCATTCGTTTTGATTCGCTAATGCCACGGTGCATACCAAGAGCACAGACGCTAAGGTACATGCGTAGCGAGGTCGCAAGCCCGCTCGTCTCATTGTAAGATATTGCTGTGCTTCTGCCCGTCGACAGGAGCGCATGGTCATCTCAGCCCCGTCGTCTTAAGACTTGCCATCACAGCCACGTCTTACAATGACGTGAATTAGCTGTGATGTTTGAGGGAAGCCGTCATGGGCAAATCTCGAGACGAAAAGGCTCAGGCGACCATCCAGGGAAAGTGTCCGAGGTCACTTGGCCCTGCATCGTTGCTCGTGGTCGATGTGCAGGGAGAGGGCGATTCAGAGCTTGTGCTGCCGCCGTGCGCCCACGACGCGCGCCCCGAGAGGGCCTTTGATGAAGCCCTTTTAACGCTTTCCTTATTTGCCTGCTACTTGTGTTTTTATGCAATTGTATTTTTAACACTAATTAAATTTTGTCTAAGAGAATACAATGACAGCTCGAGATGTCCGCATTATATTACGGAATTTGATTTCGCAAGTGCATTCTACGGGATGTCCGCAAACACCGCAGGTCTATTGATCTCCGTGCTTTGTGCCTTTGGGGGATTGTCCTGAGTTCGAGAAGCGGCTGTCGGCAAACCAAACGACGACCCGAGTTCGTGACGTGGTTTTTTGCTTCACACAAGACTAATGCTTGAATAATTTCCAACCTTGTTCTAATTTTTTTGTAAAAATGTTGCAAACCTTTATGATTGATGCTGTACGAGCCAATGTGTGCCAAATAAAATAACGTGTTGAGACGCCACGTGGCGCCTCCCTCTCCTCGGGCCCTGCTGCCCCCCCCCCCTCGGCGCACGCCTTGCGAGTGCACAGTATTGTCTTGATAGTACACGGTATTGTCTTGAGAGTACACGGTATTTTATTGAGTACACGTTATTTTTTTGCGAGTACACAGTATTGTCTTGATAGTACACAGTATTGTCTTGAGAGTACACGGTATTGTCTTGAGAGTACACGGTATTTTATTGAGTACACGTTATTTTTTTGCGAGTACACAGTATTGTCTTGATAGTACACAGTATTGTCTTGAGAGTACACGGTATTGTCTTGAGAGTACACGGTATTTTATTGAGTACACGTTATTTTTTTGCGAGTACACAGTATTGTCTTGAGAGTACACAGTATTGTCTTGAGAGTACACGGTATTTTATTGAGTACACGTTATTTTTTTGCGAGTACACAGTATTGTCTTGAGAGTACACAGTATTGTCTTGAGAGTACACGGTATTTTATTGCGAATACACAGTATTGTCTTGAGAGTACACGGTATTTTATTGAGTACACGGTATTTTTTTGCGAGTGCACAGTATTGTCTTGAGAGTACACAGTATTGTCTTGAGAGTACACGGTATTTTATTGAGAGCACACAGTATTGTCTTGAGAGCACACAGTATTGTCTTGAGAGCACAGTATTGTCTTGAGAGTGCACAGTATTTTATAGAGAGCACACAGTATTTTATAGAGTACACAGTATTTTATAGAGAGCACAGAGTATTGTATTGTGAGTACACAGTATTGTATTGTGAGTACACAGTATTGTCTCGGCGTACCAACGTGTACTCGTCTGGTCACTTGTCCACAATCGGCCTGCGGCTGACGACATTCTCGCTCCTGCGGGGAGGGCTTCTCGACTCTCCACGTCTCGCCCGTCGCCCCATGTGTGTCCTCTTCCCCCCTGCCCATGTGTGCAGATACGTCTGACTCTATTGTATGTAGGGTGTGTAGGTATATATGCCTGCAAAGGATATTATTCTTTTTTTGGGTTGGGTGGGTGGGGGGTGAGAAAAACATTTGGTGGGGGTCGATAATTTTTGGAAACCTATTGGATCAACTTCTTACCCCGACATCTGGGTCGGGGGGAGGGGCCACTTTCTACGACTTTTTGCACGTGGGGGCAGTGAATTATGACAAGGGAAAAGCGGCGCAACTGCGTGCTCCCGTGAAGCGGAACCCTTGCACCATGGACTGGGGTAAAGCATTGATTGTGAGCTGTACCTCTGGAGATCGAGCTTCGATTCTGGATGGTATTCACCTGGTTTGGTGTCTGGCGTCGAGTGCTGAATTGGGGGGTTGCTTGAGGCGCCATCTGGTGGATTGTGAAGGTGGCGCGTGGGGTCCCATCGTGGCTTCATCTGGTGAAGAGTGCTCGCGACTCTCCACCCGTGAGCTCGTCGTGTGTCCGACGAGAGTCTGGCTGCCTGTTCTCCGATAGGAACACTTCTCTTGCCGCTGCATTTGCACTGCTCGATGCCGCTGAGTGTCTCCTCCCGCCACACTCCAGTGCGGGTGCCTGACGGAGACCACTGCAGGCGGAGCTGACAGCTACTTACTTTGATGCATCACTCAGCGCTGCTGCTGCAGATGTCACTCGCAGCCAGACCCAGCCTCTGCAGGAAGGACGGATCACGGCCAAAAACGAGCCCCATTAGGACGTCACCGCCAAGATGCTGCATGATGCGTTTTCACTTGTAAACAATCTAGCATATTTACAAAGTAACGTGTAGAACGCGGATTGCCACAATAGTGCATCCAGGCTGCTGCGTAGGACGTGGTGTCTGCAAGGCATGAATAATGTGCCATTTGGAAGCAGCGATAGATGTATGTGACACTTGGTGTAAATCATTTTGTAAATCATATTGCTCAGGTTTGTGGTTTGTAATAAAAACATGAAACCAATCAGCTGTGGGAATCACGTGGAAAGCACCCAAGGCATTATATTACAATCGACCGATTTTTTTTGGCTCTGCGGCACAAGTGATGCTATTGGTTTAAGGTGACACGCATTATATGCCAGTTTTTTTTAACATTGTCTTTGAAACCCTGCACAGTAATGATATTGTTTGTGGTTATTGTAGTTGTACGTTTTTCAAGCGCAGTGAAGCCTCACCACCAGCTGCACGTATCCTTCAGAGCTGTGACCTTCGCACGCAACGCGCTCACCGCACGCAGGGCGCGCAGCCTTGAACGCTGCGCGGCTGTCCCACAGCTGTGCGGGCTGCACTCGCGCGCATTCCCCCCATGGGCGAGCTCTGCCTCCCTTGCTGGAGGCCAGCGGTGTCTCAACTCCAGTCCCCCCCTCCCCCCACGGAACAGCCTTCCGTGAGTACAAGCCACGAGGTGCGTGCAGCTGGCAGGCGCTTAATTTCGTTATGAGTAGAAAAAGAGGATGGTCCGTGGGCGATCGTGAGAGGGGGCAGCTTTGGTAGTTGGGTTCAAATGTAATGAGAAAAGGTTTGTGGTGAGTAAAGGACTGTGCAGGATGGAGGCGGGCAAGACAGTGATGGTGAGGTGCAGTGGCGTTCACGTCACTGGCCATGGCGCCTTCTTGACCTTAGGCGACCGGTGACCTCTTGCATGAGCAGAGGGTCGAGCCGTGCTCGCGTGAGTGATCGACAGAAGGTTCGCAACGTCTCTGCTACAGAGAATTTACTCGTTCCATGAAACGAGCCAGACATATCGACTCCCAAACACAGCCACGAGTCCACTTGAATAAGCATGGAACAATTAGCAAATCATCAAATCAGTGAATAAACCCATGGTATGTACGTGGAATTGTGCTCCTCAGAACAAATTATGTTGAACTATGCACATGTTATGCTCATTTGTGTTAATGTACCTTCAGGGTAATTGAACAAGACTAACGAGAAGGACAATAATGCATGACATATCGAGACCATATCAATGAGAGAAAGAAGCGAATCGATTCTTGAATGCCGTTTTGAGGCCGAGCCGTGAGCCCTGCTGCTGCTGCACGCAGGGACCCAGTGGCAGGCCCCCAGTGGCAGGGCCCCAGTGGCCCCAGTGGCAGGCCCCCAGTGGCCCCAGTGGCAGGCCCCCAGTGGCCCCAGTGGCCCCAGTGGCAGGGCCCAGTGGCAGGCCCCTAGTGGCCCCAGTGGCCCCAGTGGCAGGGCCCAGTGGCAGGCCCCCAGTGGCCCCAGTGGCCCCAGTGGCAGGGCCCCAGTGGCCCCAGTGGCAGGCCCCAGTGGCAGGCCCCAGTGGCCCCAGTGGCCCCAGTGGCAGGGCCCCAGTGGCCCCAGTGGCCCCAGTGGCAGGCCCCAGTGGCAGGGCCCCAGTGGCCCCAGTGGCCCCAGTGGCCCCAGTGGCAGGGCCCCAGTGGCCCCAGTGGCCCCAGTGGCCCCAGTGGCAGGGCCCCAGTGGCCCCAGTGGCAGGCCCCAGTGGCAGGCCCCAGTGGCAGGCCCCAGTGGCCCCAGTGGCCCCAGTGGCAGGGCCCCAGTGGCCCCAGTGGCCCCAGTGGCAGGCCCCAGTGGCAGGGCCCCAGTGGCCCCAGTGGCCCCAGTGGCCCCAGTGGCAGGGCCCCAGTGGCCCCAGTGGCCCCAGTGGCAGGGCCCCAGTGGCCCCAGTGGCCCCAGTGGCAGGCCCCAGTGGCAGGGCCCCAGTGGCCCCAGTGGCCCCAGTGGCCCCAGTGGCCCCAGTGGCAGGGCCCCAGTGGCCCCAGTGGCCCCAGTGGCCCCAGTGGCAGGGCCCTGCT